CCACTTTGGATTGAGCGTACTGTAATGCATCTTGAAAACGCTTTATAGACGATGGTATGTCAACTGGTGAATTAATGGCGTCCTCCACGTTTGCGACAAACTGTTTTTGTGCATCGAGCGCCGTCCCAGAACCGATAATGGACGTTCGTGTTTGCGATTGTGCACCGAGAATTGCCCATACATAAGTTCTTATCGATTCATTAAATCTTACAACTCCTGGGTTAGTAAAATTATTTTCCGTTTTATCATTAAGAAATTCATTCCAAGCGTTTGCGGTATCGTTCATTTGTATAAATTTTGTAACAATATAAGCCAAACCACCCTTAAAACTCATAAGAGAACCTCTCCAATCGTTACTCGAAAGTTCCCAGCCATGATTAAGCTTATGCAATCTTACAAAAAGATTGTCTATCTGTAAGAATTTAAATGGATCGAATGGTTGATGAGTTTTTTTAACTAAATCATCGCTGACTTCTTTAACAGTTCTTTGTCCGCTGTACGGAACACCTAGACCATGGTTTGCTCCTTTAATGCGCCAATCTTTACTCGTAGAAACATTAAATTCCTGACAAATAGGCTCATACGCGGACCTATCATAATTATTATTTGTGGAATTCCACGCTCGATCCTGCGGTAATGGAGCACTAATTTCTTTAAGTATACGTCTAATCTGATAATACACGTGAAATAATAAAACAGACTTATTTAGCATAAATCCTGGGGCATTAACAGATACGCCACATCCCGTTGTGGCACACCATATGGCAAAGTTTAACTGATTCTGCCAAAATTGCATCGGATTGTGAAACCAATCGTGCACCATTTTATCGCTAGTTGCCGTGACCCTGTACTTTTCAAAGATATCGGGGAATTTAACGAAAAATTCAGCACCAGAGGCAGTTACTATAATCGATTGATTAGTAATGTATCTCGATTTCATATTTAAGTTATGATATAGTATCATTGTATATTTAATATGTATGTTACACTCCCGGGAATAACAAATGGTCAGTCTATTGAACTGCTTCATACTATCGATAACTCGGATGGACAACTCGAAGTAGCTCTATGCGATGTAACGTATTACCCACTGTGGACCAATATAAGTGCTGCGAAAGATAATAATAAGATACATATAATAGGTGAAAACAATGGTATTGACAGAGCCATTACTACTATACCTGATGGGTATTACAGCGTATGCTCACTCAATGATGAAATTTTTAAGCCTAATGGAATGAGTCTAACACAAAATGAGTCGAATGGGACAGTGAAAATCGACTCTGGAGAAAACACTGTAATTCTTATCCCATACTTAGAAGTTACACTTGGATTTCATCATAGAATAGGAATTATAAATTCTAACAAACCACGACAGGGAATTAAATTACCCGATTTAGTTCCCTATAAAGAGTTGTTCATCCATCTTGATCAAATCAGCACGACAAATAATATTCAACTAGAAAGTCCTTCAACTCTGCTCAGAAGTGTTCCAGTGAAAAATGAAAAATATAATAGCGGTAGAACGGAATCTTTCTCGTCACTACAATATAAAAAATTAAAGCGGGGAATTATTTTAGACCTCAAAATTTCTGTATTAGATGTAAAACACCAACCAGTACATATAGGATACTTAAGTGTAACACTCCATATTATATAATGGTTAATTCCATATTTAAGTTATGATATAGTATCATTGTATATTTGATATGTATGTTACACTCCTGGGAATAACAAATGGTCAGTCTATTCAACTGCTTCGTACTATTGATAACTCGGATGGACAACTCGAAGTCGCTCTATGCGATGTAACGTATTACCCACTGTGGACCAATATAAGTGCTGTGAGAGGTAATAATAAGATATGGATATTAGATGAACAAAATATTATTGAAAAATTCATTATTATACCTGATGGGTATTACAGCGTATGCTCACTCAAAGATGAAATTTTTAAGTCTAATGGAATTAGTCTAACACAAAATGAGTCCAATGGAATGTTGAAATTCGACACTGGAGAAAAAGGTGTACGGATTGTAGGGAACTTATCAGCTACACTTGGATTTACAAGCGGAATTTTATCAATATTCAAGGCAACATTTGATGGAGAGACATTGTCCGATTTAGTTCCCTATAAAGAGTTGTGTATCCATCTTGATCAAATCAGTACGACAAATAATATTCAACTAGAAAGTCCTTCAACTTTGCTCAGAAGTGTTCCAGTGAAAAATGAAAAATATAATAGCGGTAGAACGGAATCTTTCTCGTCACTACAATATAAAAAATTAAAGCGGGGAATTATTTCAGACCTCAAAATTTCTGTATTAGATGTAAAACACCAACCAGTACATATAGGATACTTAAGTGTAACACTCCATATTAAAAATAATGGTTGATGCATCAGGCCCTGGAACAGTAAGACAATGTAATACAATTGCGCTTTCCGATCTCGGAGACACGGAAGGATTCGGTAAACCCGGCACCGATGGTAAGTTATACGCTTTACACTTACACGATAATGTATACAAGCGGAAAGAAGTCACATTCACGGGTAATCTAGGAGATTTAAGCGATGTCGATGTTAGTAGACTCCTTAAAAACACTTCGTACAATATTACTCGCAACGACGATAATAAATGGACTATGGTTGAAGCAAACATCGAGTGGCTACTGAATATCGTCATTACCCCACCTTATGTGATGATGGGTAAGGGACATAATTTAACTAAGATAATAAATAGTGGCATCGTAATCGCGGCTTATATCCCATCAAAACGAAAAAGTGTGTTAGTTACCCCCCTGCCAGAAAACCAAGGTCATATGATATATAGTCGTCCGGCCTTAAAAAATGTTACTTTAAATTTGGTTACTGAATTCGAAGATATTAAAGATAACTTGAATGCAATACCTAATCTTTCTACGCTTATTATTGAAGTCTTGTTCGGAGATGCACCGGAAGATGCCTTCGATATATTACCAGGTCTATCGATTAAATGGCAAAAGAAACACCAACGTCAATGTTGCAGTATTATTCATATCGGAGCATCGCCCGTTGCAACCCTCGAGGGGGTCCAAATTATTAAAAGTGACAGTATTTCTCTTTCTAAGATATTCTTGCCGTATAATATACATTTGATAAGATTGATGTATAGTCTCAAAACATTAAAGCAAGACCAATTAAAGACTATTATATGATCGCAATATACACTATGAGTTTATATCCGGCGCTCGGTGAAGCATTTTAAAAGATGGAAACTGTTGATGGATTTCGATTACATCAAATAAGCGACATAAAACATCGAATAGGGAAGGATAGGGAGTTGAGACTTGGATTGTATAAAAAGTATCGCAGAGCCGTGAATGCTCTGGACGGAGTTCACACCGTGCTTTTAGTATCTGGCATGGGACTCGGTGTAGCGGGTATCGGTTTACTATCAACTATAATCGCCGCGCCTATCGTGCTCGGCATGGAAATAACAGCTGGAGTCTCGGGACTGGCAGGAATAGCGATAAAATTCATTTCTCGTAGGTTACAAAAGAAAGCATTAAAACACGATAGTATTCGGGTACTCGCCGAAGCAAAGTTGAACAGCATTGAGGATCATATTTCGACAGCAATGGCCGATTGTAAGATATCCGAGGATGAGTTTCGTTTAGTGCTGTCGGAACTCACCAAATACAATAAAATGAAGCAGGAGATTCGATCAAAATCTCGTAAGACCAGTGGTATTAGCGAAGACGAGAAAAAAAAGTTCATAGAAGAGGGGAGGCAACAAGCGCGTCAATTATTCCGTGCCAAAACCAAAGAACTGGTTGGAGATTAAAAATAGATTGCTTACTATCGTGTGATTACATTTAGACAAATGCTAACATAAATATATAATAATGGAGAAAGCTATTCAATGGAAAGAATTACCACAAGGTTTTTATTATATCAGTGATGCCAAACCAACCAAATACGGTTATCAATTGTTTCTTATCAATTTACAAAAAGAGTGTAGTTATATAGTCTGGTCTCCTAGTAAAATGAACGAAGAACTTAATAAAAATGTTGAATATCGCTTTATCGATAAAAATAATAAAGAATATTTTTATTACCATTTAGACTCATCTAAAGCAATGATTGGCCCCAGGTATTGGTGAGCTAGGGTCAATTTAACTTAATCTCATGACTATCGTTGAATCGCATAATCATTTTGGCATAAAAAATTCCATCTGTAGTAGCAGTATAGGTATATAAATCCGGCTCCAGTGGAAGTGGTCCAGAACCCCTATTACCTATACTACTTATAGACAAGGAGTGACACCTGCCATCTTAGTCCTTATTCAAGATTTCGCACTCGGTTTGAATCACAGCTCGATATCGCATGAAATATGAATGTTTCAACCTTATGGCCCTTGCTAAACAAACCATAGGCTACACAATCATATTTATCTGTGGTCACCTTACCTCTTATTTATTTTAAAACAACCATCAAATCTCAACCCTAAGCTTCGCCGTCACGGTAAACAAGGAAAAGGTGGTCGGAAATTCCGATACTACACGGGCTTGAACTCGGCCAATGTTTCTGACTGGCTAAAATAAAAAATAGTGGATCTAAATATTAGCATACAGTGAAGGGAGGGAAATTCAAAAGTGTCAATGGTAGCGCCGTAATTTCCATCCACTTTTTTCTTGTTTGCCTCAGCGGCGAAGCTTAGACTGGACATTTTATGGTTGTTTTAAAATAAATAAGAGCTAAGGTGACTGCAGATGAACACGATTGTGTAGCCTATGGTTTGTTTAGCAGGTGCCAATAGGTTGAAATAAGTGACATTCTTATTTCATGTGATATCGAGCTGTGATTCGAACCGAGTGCGAAATCTTGAATAAGGACCAAGATGGCGGGTGTCACTCCTTGTCTACATGAACATATAGAGGGGAGTGATTTTTTTCGATACGAATATATTATGCTATACACGCTATCATCAAGTCCCTGTGGACAAATGTCAGTACTCACGCAGTTCAATGTGAGGGCTGATGGTCTGTTTGCTGTTGATCTTGGACTTGTCCACCTCACTGACCGTACTGGATGTCAGAACTGAGTAGTTGTCAGGGTCCTCTGGAAATACAAACCAAACAACAGGCATACTAGATGCAGTGCAAACACTCTTAGACATAATCTATAGATACCATATATTAACACAACACAAGATGACACTGCTGTCAAAATATTACAATCTGAAAACTGTTACTACTTCAGAAATTCTACTAACTTTGTGCACTATTTGTTAGGACAAGTATGTTTCCTAATTCAACTAAATGTCACATAACCTACTTGCAGCGTCTCGATGGATGATTGTTCTTACATGTCCCCATCATGAGTGATCAATCATAACCATACCAAAAATATGAACACTAAAAATACACGCTAAATGATCTGGCATGTTGAATCTTTTGTTCATAGAGAATTTTAGTTACCTTAATAATTCTCAATTAGACATGTCAATGGCAGCTCAAATATTTACAAAACATTGTATCTATTTGATTGTGTTTATTGATTGTGTTTCACTTTTATTTGACTAAAATATGAAATCTTTCCTGTTCATATTGATCACTCTGCTACAGAAAATACCTGTTCATAAATCATATTATTCTTTTGTCAATTTCCAAACATGAGACCAATGGTTTTTTTGATTGACATGCTACACTGATTACAATATAACTGATGTATAACACATACCTAGGAAGAAGCAGGTCAACATCATGCATATACAGAGTTCAGGTTTTCCAACATTACATGCCAGTAAAGGGATCTACATTCCACGGTCCCATGTCGCCCAAGCCCTAGACACTGTCATTAATATCATGTGAAACTGTGTAATTAGGCTGATCTCTACCAGGAAGATTGATATGCATAATAATACATAAACAAAGTGGTGTTTGAGGGTCATGAACCAAATCAGCTCGGACTGCCAAATAGACAGAGCCGAGTCCTCCTTCAACATGGAGAATGAACCCAAGGTAAATACTGTGGGGAAACAATGAAATGTCCATAACCTCAGCCAAACCAATATCACCGAGCAATATGGCCAAGTTGTTGTGTGAGATGTAACAGACTGAAGGTGTGACCACCCACTACCAGGGTAGGACACACCAGACACTGAAGGTGTGAGCACCCACTACCAGGGTAGGACACACCAGACACTGAAGGTGTGAGCACCCACTACCAGGGTAGGACACACTAGACACTGAAGGTGTGACCACCCACTACCAGGGTAGGACACACTAGACACTGAAGGTGTGACCACCCACTACCAGGGTAGGACACACTAGACACTGAAGGTGTGACCACCCACTACCAGGGTAGGACACGCTAGACACTGAAGGTATGCCCCACTACCAGGGTAGGACACACTAGACACTGAAGGTGTGACCACCCACTACCAGGGTAGGACACACTAGACACTGAAGGTGTGACCACCCACTACCAGGGTAGGACACACCAGACACTGAAGGTGTGAGCACCCACTACCAGGGTAGGACACACTAGACACTAAAGGTGTGACCACCCACTACCAGGGTAGGACACACCAGAGGCTGAAGGTGTGGAGGATCGAGTTGTGCGATCTCCCGATCACTTCACACATGATTTCGCCGAAATTAATGTTAACATTATTGAATCATTAGCTGATAATGTTTTTGAGATGGGGAAGACATCATGTCATTGGAAAACATAGGTTTATTAAAAATGTAAGTAAATTGAGCCTTGCTTTACCGTGCACTATAACCGAGTTAGCGCTATATTGAAGAGCACAATAGCGAGGGAACACTGTAATTGCTGCATTGACTTGTATAAGCAATGTTTGTTTTACAGACAACATTCGTCCAATTACATGGACAGGTAAGATTAACATAATGCAAGTTTAACAAGGTGGAATCATCACCAGTGATTGTGTTGATTCGCCGCTGATTGCGTACAGCCAGTTGTCAGTGACACGTCACTAATTAGTGATAGATGGACTTGTCGGTGGTCAGATATCAGTTCGCTATATACAGTCCGTTAGTTCACTGTAGACAGTTCTTTATGTATGTAAATTTTATATGAAAATATATGGGAGATAAATTGGGGATTTTTTAACAGTTTGTTATATCCGTTTGTTTGCTCTATCCATGTTCCTTATATCCGTGTTCTACTGTATTAATGCATCATACTTGGCATATTAATGTATCATACAAGGTGTATGAATGTAACATGCTTGGTGTATTAATGTAACAGACTTGGTGTATTAAAGTATCATACTTGTTGTATTAATGTAACATACTTCATGTATTAATGTAACATAATTTGGTGTATTAATGTAACATACTCGGTGCATTAATGTAACATGCTTGGTGTATTAATGTAACAGACTTGGTGTATTAAAGTATCATACTTGTTGTATTAATGTAACATACTTCATGTATTAATGTAACATAATTTGGTGTATTAATGTAACATACTCGGTGCATTAATGTAACATACTTGGTGTATTAATGTAACATACTCGGTGCATTAATGTAACATACTTGGTGTATTAATGTAACATACTCGGTGCATTAATGTAACATACTTGGTGTATTAATGTAACATACTTCATGTATTAATGTAACATAATTTGGTGTATTAATGTAACATACTCGGTGCATTAATGTAACATACTTGGTGCATTAATGTAACATACTTGGTGTATTAATGTAACATACTTGGTGTATATATGTATCATACTTGGTGTATATTTGTATCATACTTGATGTATATATGTATCATACTTCATGTATTAATGTAACATACTTGGTGTATTAATGTAACATACTTGGTGTATTAATGTAACATACTTGGTGTATAAATGTATCATACTTGGTGTATATATGTATCATACTTGGTGTATATATGTATCATACTTGGTGTATTAATGTAACATACTTGGTGTATTAATGTAACATACTTGGTGTATATATGTATCATACTTGGTGTATATATGTATCATACTTGGTGTATATTTGTATCATACTTGGTGTATATATGTATCATACTTCATGTATTAATGTAACATACTTGGTGTATGAATGTAACATACTTGGTGTATAAATGTATCATACTTGGTGTATATATGTATCATACTTGGTGTATATATGTATCATACTTGGTGTATATATGTATCATACTTCATGTATCAATGTAACATACTTGGTGTATTAATGTAACACACTTGGTGTATTAATGTAACATACTTGGTGTATATATGTATCATACTTGGTGTTTATATGTATCATACTTCATGTATTAATGTATCATACTTTGTGTATTAATGCATCACACTAGGTGTATTAATGTAACATACTTGGTGTATTAATGTATCATACTTGGCATATTAATGTATCATACAAGGTGTATTAATGTATCATACTTGGTGTATTCATGTATCATACAAGGTGTATTCATGTATCATACTTGGTGTATTAAATCATCATTCCTGTATTAATGTAACATACTTCATGTATCAATGTATCATACTTGGTGCATTAATGTTACATACTTTGTGTATTAATGTATCATACTTGGTGTATTAAATCATTATACCTGTATTAATGTAACATACTTCATGTATCAATGTAGCATACTTGGTGCATTAATGTAACACACTTTGTGTATTAATGTATCATACTTGGTGTATTAAATCATCATACCTGTATTAATGTAACATACTTCATGTATCAATGTATCATACTTGGTGCATTAATGTTACATACTTCGTGTATAAATGTATCATACTTGGTGTATTAAATCATCATACCTGTATTAATGTAACATACTTCATGTATCAATGTATCATACTTGGTGCATTAATGTTACATACTTGGTGTATTAATGTATCATACTTGGTGTATTAATGTATCATACCTGTATCAATGCAACATACTTCGTGCATTAATGTTACATACTTGGTGCATTAATGTTACATACTTCGTGTATTAATGTATCATACTTGGTGTATTAATGTATCATACCTGTATTAATGTTACATACTTCGTGTTTTAATGTATCATACTTGGTGCATTAATGTTACATACTTTGTGTATTAATGTAACAGACTTGGTGTATTAAATCATCATACTTGTATTAATGTAACATACTTAATGTATTAATGTAACATACTTGCTGCATCATACTTGGTGTATTAAATCATCATACTTGTATTAATGTAACATACTTCATGTATTAATGTAACATACTTGGTGCATTAATGTTACATACTTCGTGTATTAATGTAACAGACTTGGTGTATTAAATCATCATACTTGTATTAATGTAACATACTTCATGTATTAATGTATCATACTTGCTGCATCATACTTGGTGTATTAAATCATCATACTTGTATTAATGTAACATACTTCATGTATTAATGTAACATACTTGGTGCATTAATGTTACATACTTCGTGTATTAATGTAACAGACTTGGTGTATTAAATCATCATACTTGTATTAATTCATCATACTTGTATTAATGTAACATACTTGGTGCATTAATGTTACATACTTTGTGTATTAATGTAACAGACTTGGTGTATTAAATCATCATACTTGTATTAATGTAACATACTTCATGTATTAATGTAACATACTTGCTGCATCAAACTTGGTGTATTAATTCATCATACTTGTATTAATGTAACATACTTGGTGCATTAATGTTACATACTTTGTGTATTAATGTAACAGACTTGGTGTATTAAATCATCATACTTGTAATAATGTAACATACTTCATGTATTAATGTAACTAACTTGGTGCATTAATGTTACATACTTCGTGTATTAATGTAACAGACTTGGTGTATTAAATCATCATACTTGTATTAATGTAACATACTTCATGTATTAATGTAACATACTTGGTGTATCAACGCATTATACTTGGTGTGCTAATGTAACATATTAAACAGTTTCAACATATCATTGATAGTGTGCTAATGTGGTATATTAAACAGTTTCAATGTGGCATACTTGGTGTGAAAGGATGGTGTCATAATTTTAATTACTTGGGGTCATGTAGTGAATGAATGGTCAGTGATTTAAGACAAAGTGATTGGTTCAAAGTTTGAATTGAATTGTTTGAATATCTGGTCTCAATACAAATTCCCAGAAATGTCGGTGATTCTTGTGGAATATTATCGTGCTCAGGCCAATAATGTATAGGATCAATGTTAGTAACAATAACTTGATGTTTCATCATTACATCGTTAACACTCACACAAATTCAACCAATGTTTCAAATACCACAAGGATGTAAATACAGGCATCAGTTTTATTATTAATTTCAATATCAAATTGATAAAATTGTAATGTCAATTTCTTTTAAAAAGATTCTTAAAATAGAGTTGGAAAGAAACTGTGTGCCACAGGTCCACAACATATTACACACAACACAATCATAGCAAGTGATGAACCATGCAACATACAGCATTACCTTAGTAACATGTAAACAAGTGCCCATCACAAGCAACACAAACTGTTAATGACATACTCTGAGGAAGAACACAAGCAAGGGAAAATTATAGCTATGTGCTTCTGATTCAAAACAAGGAATTTACAGCACCTAAACCAGACAAAACCATTGAATGGTACCAGGTTATCATGGTGAGAGGAAACTAACATTGGAGCAATGACAGTTTTCTAGGGGAAAACAAAAGTCAAGTCAATAATCACAGCCAGAAAGTTTGACAGTGTGTTGATAATACACATGACAGTAATTTCATTCAAGGAAACTATGAGAGAATGGAAAGAAACTTTCTGCCAATAAAAGATCTTACATGTAAGGAAACTGGTTCCTATCAGAAACACACTTTTCATTTCACTGTCATCTCATGCAAATACCTTCATTGCTATCTCCATCAAATTTAGGGATGTATTTGACCGCATCAATAAATTCATTTTTTCTTGATATACAAGGACTTTGTTCTTTAGATGTTCCTCGGAAAAAAGATAAAACCCCACTTCCTGCACGCTTGCCTGAAGAAATTCCACATAAATTGTTCATGAAAAACAGTACTCATGTGAGGATATCAGGGGCCAACTTGCATCAGGGGGAAATCTTGGTAACATGAATCAAACATGAGGGCACAGGGCACAGAACTAGTACTTAAAACATCCCTACAGACATATCTTCATGCTGTTCATGTTCAACATTCACATTACCTCTACAACAAGTGGCTGTGTGCCTTTCTAAAATTTACAATAACTAAAATAAATTTCATCTGCTATTATGCCAAAAAGATGAAAGTATCTAGTTGTCAGGCATGTACTGTAGGTGACTGGCTTCAGTGTGACAAAGTGGGAAACCTGCCTTGGGAATACGCTTTCAGTTCTGTATTTCAAGACTTCTCCATCTGGCAGCCATACAGACAAACATTACATCGAGTGGACTATATGTTGCTAATAACATTGTCAAATGTTATGAAAAAACCTTAAAGGTTCCAAAAATAGGTTATCGATTGCATACAAGTGATGTGAGGTGCAATTGGCTTTAATGTTGCGATCAAGATTATTGCACTTGCATAGTGATGTATGTTTGTGTTTTTGCATGTGTCTGTCTGTGTAATTGTATTAGTCCGGACTAATGCCAAATACATAGTGCCCGCCCTTTGAGATACCATGCTGTGGTTTAACATGTAACTCTAAGCAGACCAGTCCTTATTTTATCTCCTTAAGGCCAAGCACCTGCCAGGGCAACAACAAGTACCATCCTTTCAACATTTTTGGTATGTGATGTCTGGGAATCGAACCACCAACCTTCCGCTCACCGGACATTCCGCTCCACCAGACCACAAAAACAGTCGATTGCATACAAGTACTTAGAATTGAGAAATGAAATAAAAACTCAAATACATGTAATCTGAATTTAAATGATGTACACCTTTTTTACGGAATGACATGACCAAGAAAAGGACTTACACATTTTGACATTCATCCACATATCACCAGACAGTATTCCAGAAATGAAGCGCCTGGCAATGTTGTGAATGCACAACTGGAGCACTGATATTATTGTGTGTGAATGTTGCAGTTCTGTTTCTGTATGACATCCTTTCAATGCTACTGATACACCTGTGTTGCTTATTGATGCATTTTTGTATTTCAAGTTCATTTTCTACTGTGTGTATGCAACTGATAACCAAGAGTGGTAACTATGTTATTGTGCATTAGTCATCATTATTTCATTTGATATATCTTTTACTGTATGGTGGCCCGACATTTCCCTTACAGTCTAAACATCATTGGAAAACAACATCTGGGATCAAAGATCCATAAACCTATCCTAAATGTACAAAATAGGGATGTTTATGATGATGATGTTCCAGATGACAACATCATGGCAATACAGGTGTCACATGACTCGGTACATTACTCCAGTAGACAATAACCACAAAGCATGGAAGACTGACTAGCAGCGCCACTTACCAGATTCTAGCACCGACTCCACGGCTCCACCACCCACATCACCAGACTTGGAGCCACCCTTGCTGGAGGACAAACTGGAAGCAAGGAGCCAGGGAGTGAGTGAATGCTGCATACCAGTTAGACACATTACAGAACTAGTTTCAGTCATCAACAGTGTCCATGACACTTTGTAAACAGCTGTACACATCCCTCATAGCAGCATTGCCACTTCATCCCTTGCTGGTACACCAGTCACATGATATACTATTTAATGACAAAATTCAAGATAACTCCATAATTACTGTATAAGTCATTAATGTTCGCATTTCTTTCTGACTATGCAGGCATTCCTTCTGACTTTTATATGTCAAAGCTTCAGTCAACTTCAGTGTATGCATTACCAGATCATTCTTTACATGAATCTGAATACTTTTGCCAGGGCTCCAGTAAAACAATTCCTAATCAGACACTTTGTAGCCGACTCTTAAGACCTACAGCAGGTACCCGGGTAGGGTCGGGTAATAGGGGGTCTGGTACCTGGGTAGTAAATTTGGACTTGTTCCAGCCCTAGCCCACAGACCAAATTTTGTTAGATTCCATCAAGTCCTCCAAATGAAGCACATCCTGGGTTTACTACTGACTGGTCTGGCTGGTGCTGTATTGTGGCTTTACCTACCTGCTGACCTGCTCCTTGGCAGAACCACAACAACACTGGTACTCTCTCAGTCGGACATGGTAGTCTCCACAACTGGGGGAGCAACCACATTGCATCAACACATCAGCATATACATCAAAACAACACACAACAAATCCATCATAAAAGTCTTAAAATTTCATCTCAGTGAACAGTAAACTTGAAATGTTTCCATGTTCAGATGGCCACGCTGATGATGTCAACATATTAACCTATCAACACAAGCCTATGTACCCCATGCTGGTTCATCACACCATATCCCCGACAGGGTGCATAACACCACATACCTCCAGGGACCAGTTGACAAGGAATTTATCTTAACGGCACAATCTTTTACCTTTTATCTAAAATGTCTTCATCTCTGGGGCTTGCTAACCATTTCACATACATCTTGAATGCTAGCAGATGATATAAACAGTAAATGACCTTACACTACAATCAGATATGCTCAGTAAGTTCGCTAAACTGCATTTGATAGGTGTTCAGTTCTGAGATAATATTATCATATCATCAAAATATTGTAAGAAGTTTGGCATTTCCAATCAGTTTCTTTGAAATTTGTACCCTATCTGTCAGCAGTATGGGTGAGTTTTAGCTAATGCTGCCTACAGACCAACCTTAGAGCATATGCTATGACAGAGCTGGGTTCATAGTCGTACACAACGACTGGGATCTTCTCACAGGGCGGCAGCAGGTAGTGCTCAGCTGGGTCACTGCAGGTACACACACAGGACATGCATCAGTTCAGAGTAACATGTACGACTCATCTTTCTGTTGGTGATTGTTTAATTCATGACATTATGTATTCCAGCTGTGAGGTTGCAACTATCTCTTTGCACCTATGACACTCCCACCATGGATCCAAATCTTATGATTATGTGCTCTATGTTACAACAATGTGCTGTGTCTTGACTTACAAGGGCATGGTGATAGGGGTGAAGCCAGGTGCTGACCACAAGCTGGACATAAGCGTCCTCCTGACCATTCCCTTCTTGTCCTGCCGGGCGTCCACACCATCTTCTGTCAAGAACATCACATCATGTGTAAAAACACCTCACCATAACATCACACCTCCACACCATCTTCTGTCAAGACTAACACCTCCACACCATCTTCTGTCAAGACTAACACCTCCACACCATCTTCTGTCAAGACTAACACCTCCACACCATCTTCTGTCAAGACTAACACCTCCACACCATCTTCTGTCAAGACTAACACCTCCACACCATCTTCTGTCAAGACAAATACCTCCACACCATCTTCTGTCAAGACTAACACCTCCACACCATCTTCTGTCAAGACTAACACCTCCACACCATCTTCTGTCAAGACCAATACCTCCACACCATCTTCTGTCAAGACTAACACCTCCACACCATCTTCTGTCAAGACTAACACCTCCACACCAACTTCTGTCAAGACTAACACCTCCACACCAACTTCTGTCAAGACTAACACCTCCACACCATCTTCTGTCAAGACTAACACCTCCACACCAACTTCTGTCAAGACTAACACCTCCACACCATCTTCTGTCAAGACTAACATCTCCACACCATCTTCTGTCAAGACTAACACCTCCACACCATCTTCTGTCAAGACTAACACCTCCACACCATCTTCTGTCAAGACCAATACCTCCACACCATCATCTGTCAAGACTAACACCTCCACACCAACTTCTGTCAAGACTAACACCTCCACACCAACTTCTGTCAAGACTAACACCTCCACACCATCTTCTGTCAAGACCAATACCTCCACACCATCATCTGTCAAGACTAACACCTCCACACCAACTTCTGTCAAGACTAACACCTCCACACCATCTTCTGTCAAGACTAACACCTCCACACCAACTTCTGTCAAGACTAACACCTCCACACCATCTTCTGTCAAGACCAATACCTCCACACCATCATCTGTCAAGACTAACACCTCCACACCAACTTCTGTCAAGACTAACACCTCCACACCAACTTCTGTCAAGACTAACACCTCCACACCATCTTCTGTCAAGACCAATACCTCCACACCATCATCTGTCAAGACTAACACCTCCACACCAACTTCTGTCAAGACTAACACCTCCACACCATCTTCTGTCAAGACCAATACCTCCACACCATCTTCTGTCAAGACCAACACCTCAGATGTTGAAAAATGTCTCTACAACTACACACCTCCACACCATCTACTGTCAAGACCAACACCTCAGATGTTGAAACACCTCACTACAACCACACACCTCCACACCATTATCATCAACAGAAACACAAGACTCTCATTCCATTTGTTATGTTAACATTTCTGTATGTTCAGTGATGCAAAATTAGAAAAATACAACCTCAATGGTGTATACACAAAAAACTTTTTAATAGGAGTTGTAAATTACAAAGAATTACTTTTCAACAATATGATATTTTATCTATCTTGCATTTTTGGGGAAAACTATCACACTGATTTTGCAGGAAATGAAAAGGTTGATTTACAGTTGATATAGAGTGCAATCTGAGGACAATGCTTTGCAGGGACTGGTTGTCTGATACAAGTATGGGCATTGGCAAGTGATGCATGAGTATGTGCTCTACACAGACAAGCTACCTTCCCTCAAGGCCTCCAGATTGTTAGATGACCCCCCTCGCTCCTGCACCTGGGGGGACAGGGAGGATGGACCTGCAGCACACACAAACAAAAACAATCCACTTAAAACAGGTGCTCGGCACAAACAAATCTGCAGTCTTTGCAAGTTTTAAAAGGATTGGACATTAAAATCATTCCTTAGCATATGGCCTCCATGGAGACATCAGGTCAGAAGTACCCATGTTTGTCACAAGAGCCAACCAACAATAATCAGTCAGTTACATGTAGGACCTGTTTGATTGTGTGCCATTGCGTCACATTGGTGTGCCATTACCACAGGTTTGTCTGGCCCAGACTGCAGCATAAACACATGGATCTAAACTATGGTCACAGTTGCATGATGTAACCAGTTCAAATCATACAAAAATGGAACATTTTCAGGAGGAATTAAAAACCTGAACAATTTTGTATGAATAAGTACTGTAGCATAAACACAAATGGCAGCACCTTTTATTCACGAATTATGCATAGTGCATGACGTCCTCAATCACTGAGCATGAGCAAAAATCACTGCACTGTCTTCTACAGGGGAGTCTTTCTACTATAAGGGAGTCTGTCTACTGCAGGGCAGACTGTCTTCTACAGGGGAAATTGTCTACTAAGAGGGAGTCTTTCTCCTCTTAGGGAGTGTCTACTACATGGGGAGTCTGTCTTCTACAGTGCACTCTGTCTTCTTCAGGGGAGTATGTCTTCTACAGGGGAGTCTGTCTTCTACAAGGGAGTCTGTCTTCTACAGGGGAGTCTGTCTACTATATGGGAGTCTGTCTTCTACATGGGGAGTATGTCTTCTACAGGGGAGTCTGTCTTCTTCAGGGGAGTATGTCTTCTACAGGGGAGTCTGTCTTCTACAGGGGAGTCTGTCTACTACAAGGGAGTCTTTCTACTACAGGTGAGTCTGTCTACTACAGGTGAGTCTGTCTTCTACAGGTGAGTCTGTCTTCTACAGGTGAGTCTGTCTTCTACAGGGGTTTCTGTCTTCTACAGATTGTCTACTTCAGTGGAGTCTGTCTACTACAAGAGAGTCTTTCTACTACAGGTGAGTCTGTCTACTACAGGTGAGTCTGTCTTCTACAGATTGTCTACTACAGTGGAGTCTGTCTACTACAAGGGGGTCTTTCTACTACAGGTGAGTCTGTCTTCTACAGATTGTCTTCTACAGGTGAGTCTGTCTTTTACAGGGGAGTCTTTCTACTACAGATAATCAACTATACTAGAAAGGCTGCACGGGAATCACCCACGTTGAGACGCCAAACGCTAACACCATATTCGTGCGTGCGTGATTCCCGTGCACCCTTTCGAGTTGAGTTGATTGGTTCAACTGTGTCATATGGCCCTGTGATGCAGATGTAGCATTATGCAGATGGCTTTTTCAATGAATGCTACAGGGGAGTCTGTCTACTATATGGGAGTCTGTCTTCTACAGGGGAGCCTGTCTTCTACAAGGCAGACTGTCTACTACTGGGGAGTCTGTCTTCTACAGGGCAGTCTGTCTTCTACAGCGGAATCTCTACTACAGGGGAGTCTTTCTACTATACGGAAGTCTGTCTTCTACAGGGGAGTCTGTCTTCTACAGGGGAGTCTGTCTTCTACAGGGGAGCCTGTCTTCTACAAGGCAGACTGTCTACTACAGGGAAATATCTCCATGGCTTCAACTTACCTCCACTATCACCCTCTGGTACATCAATGTTGGGGGAGTCAGTTTCCTTCCTGCTGTGTAACAACTTCTCTTCATATCGCGGGGAAGATCGGTCAAGCTGAAAGTAAAACAATGATGAAGTGATACTAACTGCATTTCAGTCTGCTTCCTTGATTCCACTCAAGGTCAGCATGAAGTGCTATGTCTTCTCCAGAATTGCCTGGACAGTGAAAGGTATTAACTGTTCTGCAAATCTACATTTTACCACTCATTATGTTACTGCTCTCATCTTTCCCCTCTTACCTCATCAGCAGACACAGACAAGTTGTCCTTGTCCCGGTCCTTCTTGGAGCCACTAGCCTGCAGCTTATACTTCTTCTGCTGGAGTGTCAGGAATTCCTGAATTCTGCACAATAACCAATATGTAGTGAAACATCCAACTTAAAGACAAAACGTAACCTGGGTATCTATCATTTTTACTCAACATGTTCAGAAAAAAACTTCATTTTCAGATTTGTCTTTTTAATCAATCAAAACTGTGATATTGGTGGCAACAATATTGATGTATAAACTGTGATGTTGGTGGCAGTATGGGTGTCTATATAATGTGATGTTGGTGGCAGTATTAGTGAATATATACTGTGATGTTGGTGGCAGTATTAGCGTATATATACTGTGATGTTGGTGGCAGTACACATGTATATATACTGTGATGTTGGATGCAGTATTGGTGTCTATATACTGTGATGTTGGTGGCAGTATGGGTGTCTATATACTGTGATGTTGGTGGCAGTATGGGTGTCTATATACTGTGATGTTGGTGGCAGTATGGGTGTCTATATACTGTGATGTTGGTGGCAGTATAAGTGTATATATACTGTGATGTTGGTGGCAGTATTAGTGTATATATACTGCGATGTTGGTGGCAGTACTGATGTATGCACTGTGATCTTGGTGGCAGTACACATGTATATATACTGTGATGTTGGATGCAGTATGGGTGTCTATATACTGTGATGTTGGTGGCAGTATGGGTGTCTATATACTGTGATGTTGGTGGCAGTATTAGTGAATATATACTGTGATGTTGGTGGCAGTATGGGTGTCTATATACTGTGATGTTAGTGCAGTATAAGCGTATATATACTGTGATGTCGGTGGCAGTATTAGTGTATATATACTGTGATATTGGTGGCAGTATTGGTGTCTATACTGTGATGTTGGTGGCAGTATGGGTGTCTATATACTGTGATGTTTGTACAGTATAAGTGTATATATACTGTGATCTTTGTACAGTATTAGTGTATATATACTGTGATGTTGGATGCAGTATGGGTGTCTATATACTGTGATGTTGGTGGCAGTATGGGTGTCTATATACTGTGATGTTGGTGGCAGTATTAGTGTATATATACTGTGATGTTGGTGGCAGTATGGGTGTCTATATACTGTGATGTTGGTGGCAGTATGGGTGTCTATATACTGTGATCTTAGTGGCAGTACACATGTATATATACTGTGATGTTGGATGCAGTATGGGTGTTTATATACTGTGATGTTGGTGGCAGTATGGGTGTCTATACTGTGATGTTGGTGGCAGTATGGGTGTCTATATACTGTGATGTTTGTACAGTATAAGTGTATATATACTGTGATGTTGGTGGCAGTATAAGTGTATATATACTGGGATCTTGGTGGCAGTACACATGTATGTATATACTGTGATGTTGGATGCAGTATGGGTGTCTATATACTGTGATCTTGGTGGCAGTATGGGTGTCTATATACTTTGATGTTGGTGGCAGTATAAGTGTATATATACTGGGATCTTGGTGGCAGTACACATGTATGTATATACTGTGATGTTGGATGCAGTATGGGTGTCTATATACTGTGATGTTGGTGGCAGTATGGGTGTCTATATACTGTGATCTTGGTGGCAGTATGGGTGTCTATATACTGTGATCTTGGTGGCAGTATGGGTGTCTATATACTGTGATCTTAGTGGCAGTACACATGTATATATACTGTGATGTTGGATGCAGTATGGGTGGCTATATACTGTGATGTTGGTGGCAGTATGGGTGTCTATACTGTGATGTTGGTGGCAGTATTGGTGTCTATATACTGTGATGTTTGTACAGTATAAGTGTATATATACTGGGATCTTGGTGGCAGTACACATGTATGTATATACTGTGATATTGGATGCAGCATGGGTGTCTATATACTGGGATGTTGGTGGCAGTATGGGTGTCTATATACTGTGATGTTGGTGGCAGTATTAGTGTATATATACTGTGATGTGGTGGCAGTATGGGTGTTTATATACTGTGATGTTGGTGGCAGTATGGGTGTCTATATACTGTGATGTTGGATGCAGTATGGGTGTCTATATACTGTGATGTTGGTGGCAGTATGGGTGTCTATATAATGTGATATTGGTGCAGTATAAGTGTCTATATACTGTGATGTTGGTGGCAGTATTAGTGTATATATACTGTGATGTTGGTGGCAGTATGGGTGTCTATATACTGTGATGTTTGTGCAGTATAAGCGTATATATACTGTGATGTCGGTGGCAGTATTAGTGTATATATACTGTGATATTGGTGGCAGTATTGGTGTCTATACTGTGATGTTGGTGGCAGTATGGGTGTCTATATACTGTGATGTTGGATGCAGTATGGGTGTCTATATACTGTGATGTTGGTGGCAGTATGGGTGTCTATATAATGTGATATTGGTGCAGTATAAGTGTCTATATACTGTGATGTTGGTGGCAATATTAGTGTATATATACTGTGATATTGGTGGCAGTATGGGTGTCTATACTGTGATGTTGGTGGCAGTATGGGTGTCTATATACTGTGATGTTTGTACAGTATAAGTGTATATATACTGTGATGTTTGTACAGTATTAGTGTATATATACTGTGATGTTGGATGCAGCATGGGTGTCTATATACTGGGATGTTGGTGGCAGTATGGGTGTCTATATACTGTGATGTTGGTGGCAGTATTAGTATATATATATACTGTGATGTTGGTGGCAGTATGGGTGTCTATATACTGTGATGTTGGTGGCAGTATTAGTGTATATATACTGTGATGTTGGTGGCAGTATGGGTGTCTATATACTGTGATGTTGGTGCAGTATAAGTGTATATATACTGTGATGTTGGTGGCAGTATTAGTGTATATATACTGTGATATTGGTGGCAGTATAGGTGTCTATACTGTGATGTTGGTGGCAGTATGGGTGTCTATATAATGTGATATTGGTGCAGTATAAGTGTCTATATACTGTGATGTTGGTGGCAATATTAGTGTATATATACTGTGATATTGGTGGCAGTATGGGTGTCTATATACTGTGAAGTTGGTGGCAGTATGGGTGTCTATATACTGTGATGTTGGTGGCAGTATTAGTGTATATATACTGTGATGTTGGTGGCAGTATTAGTGTATATATACTGTGATGTTGGATGCAGTATGGGTGTCTATATACTGTCATGTTGGTGGCAGTATGGGTGTCTATATAATGTGATATTGGTGCAGTATAAGTGTCTATATACTGTGATGTTGGTGGCAATATTAGTGTATATATACTGTGATATTGGTGGCAGTATGGGTGTCTATATACTGTGAAGTTGGTGGCAGTATTGGTGTCTATATATTGTGATGTTGGTGGCAGTATTAGTGTATATATACTGGGATCTTGGTGACAGTACACATGTATATATACTGTGATGTTGGATGCAGTATGGGTGTCTATATACTGTGATGTTGGATGCAGTATGGGTGTCTATATAATGTGATATTGGTGCAGTATAAGTGTATATATACTGTGATGTTGGTGGCAGTATGGGTGTCTATATACTGTGATGTTGGTGGCAGTATGGGTGTCTATATACTGTGATGTTGGATGCAGTATGGGTGGCTATATACTGTGATGTTGGATGCAGTATGGGTGTCTATATACTGGGATCTTGGTGGCAGTACACATGTATATATACTGTGATGTTGGATGCAGTATGGGTGTCTATATACTGTGGTGTTGGTGGCAGTATGGGTGTTTATATACTGTGATGTTTGTACAGTATAAGTGTATATATACTGTGATGTTGGTGGCAGTATTGGTGTCTATATACTGTGATGTTGGATGCAGTATTGGTGTCTATATACTGTGATGTTGGATGCAGTATGGGTGGCTATATACTTTAATGTTGGTGGCAGTATAAGTGTCTATATACTGTGATGTTGGTGACAGTACGGGTGTCTATATACTGTGATGTTTGTACAGTATAAGTGTATATATACTGTGATGTTGGTGGCAGTATGGGTGTCTATATACTGTGATGTTGGATGCAGTATGGGTGGCTATATACTGTGATGTTGGTGGCAGTATGGGTGTCTATATACTGGGATCTTGGTGGCAGTACACATGTATATATACTGTGATGTTGGAAGCAGCATGGGTGTCTATATACTGTGATGTTGGTGGCAGTATGGGTGTCTATATACTGTGATGTTGGTGGCAGTATTAGTGAATATATACTGTGATGTTGGTGGCAGTATGGGTGTCTATATACTGTGATGTTGGTGCAGTATAAGCGTATATATACTGTGATGTCGGTGGCAGTATTAGTGTATATATACTGTGATATTGGTGGCAGTATTGGTGTCTATACTGTGATGTTGGTGGCAGTATGGGTGTCTATATACTGTGATGTTTGTACAGTATAAGTGTATATATACTGTGATCTTTGTACAGTATTAGTGTATATATACTGTGATGTTGGATGCAGTATGGGTGTCTATATTCTGTGATGTTGGTGGCAGTATGGGTGTCTATATACTGTGATGTTGGTGGCAGTATTAGTGTATATATACTGTGATGTTGGTGGCAGTATGGGTGTCTATATACTGTGATGTTGGTGGCAGTATGGGTGTCTATATACTGTGATGTTGGTGGCAGTATGGGTGTCTATATACTGTGATGTTGGTGGCAGTATGGGTGTCTATATACTGTGATGATGGTGCAGTATAAGTGTATATATAATGTGATGTCGGTGGCAGTATTAGTGTATATATACTGTGATATTGGTGGCAGTATAGGTGTCTATACTGTGATGTTGGTGGCAGTATGGGTGTCTATATACTGTGATGTTTGATGCAGTATGGGTGTCTATATACTGTGATGTTGGTGGCAGTATGGGTGTCTATATAATGTGATGTTGGTGGCAGTATTAGTGAATATATAATGTGATGTTGGTGGCAATATTAGTGTATATATACTGTGATATTGGTGGCAGTATTAGTGTATATATACTGTGATGTTGGTGGCAGTATTAGTGTATATATACTGTGATGTTGGTGGCAGTATGGGTGACTATATACTGTGATGTTGGTGGCAGTATTAGTGTATATATTCTGTGATGTTGGTGGCAGTATGGGTGTCTATATACTGTGATGTTGGATGCAGTATGGGTGGCTATATACTGTGATGTTGGTGGCAGTATGGGTGTCTATATACTGTGCTGTTGGATGCAGTATGGGTGGCTATATACTGTGATGTTGGTGGCAGTATGGGTGTCCATATACTGGGATCTTGGTGGCAGTACACATGTATATATACTGTGATGTTGGATGCAGTATGGGTGTCTATATACTGTGATGTTGGTGGCAGTATGGGTGTCTATATACTGTGATGTTTGTACAGTATAAGTGTATATATACTGTGATGTTGGTGGCAGTATGGGTGTCTATATACTGTGATGTTGGATGCAGTATGGGTGTCTATATACTGTGATGTTGGATGCAGTATGGGTGGCTATATACTTTGATGTTGGTGGCAGTATAAGTGTCTATATACTGTGATGTTGGTGACAGTACGGGTGTCTATATACTGTGATGTTTGTACAGTATAAGTGTCTATATACTGTGATGTTGGTGGCAGTATGGGTGTCTATATACTGTGATGTTGGATGCAGTATGGGTGGCTATATACTGTGATGTTGGTGGCAGTATGGGAGTCTATATACTGTGATCTTGGTGGCAGTACACATGTATATATACTGTGATGTTGGATGCAGTATGGGTGTCTATATACTGTGGTGTTGGTGGCAGTATGGGTGTCTATATACTGTGATGTTTGTACAGTATAAGTGTATATATACTGTGATGTTGGTGGCAGTATGGGTGTCTATATACTGTGATGTTGGATGCAGTACGGGTGGCTATATACTGTGATGTTGGTGGCAGTATGGGTGTCTATATACTGGGATCTTGGTGGTAGTACACATGTATATCTACTGTGATGTTGGAAGCAGCATGGGTGTCTATATACTGTGATGTTGGTGGCAGTATGGGTGTCTATATACTGGGATCTTGGTGGTAGTACACATGTATATCTACTGTGATGTTGGAAGCAGCATGGGTGTCTATATACTGTGATGTTGGTGGCAGTATGGGTGTCTATATACTGTGATGTTGGTGGCAGTATTAGTGAATATATACTGTGATATTGGTGGCAGTATGGGTGTCTATATACTGTGATGTTGGTGCAGTATAAGCGTATATATACTGTGATGTCGGTGGCAGTATTAGTGTATATATACTGTGATATTGGTGGCAGTATGGGTGTCTATACTGTGATGTTGGTGGCAGTAGGGGTGTCTATATACTGTGATGTTTGTACAGTATAAGTGTATATATACTGTGATGTTTGTACAGTATTAGTGTATATATACTGTGATGTTGGTGGCAGTATGGGTGTCTATATACTGGGATGTTGGTGGCAGTATGGGTGTCTATATACTGTGATGTTTGATGCAGTATGGGTGGCTATATACTGTGGTGTTGGTGGCAGTATGGGTGTCTATATACTGGGATCTTGGTGGCAGTACACATGTATATATACTGTGATGTTGGATGCAGTATGGGTGTCTATATACTGTGATGTTGGTGGCAGTATGGGTGTCTATATACTGTGATGTTTGTGCAGTATAAGTGTATATATACTGTGATGTTGGTGGCAGTACACATGTATATATACTGTGATGTTGGTGGCAGTACTGATGTATGCACTGTGATCATGGTGGCAATACACATGTATATATACTGTGATGTTGGTGGCAGTGTAGGTGTCTTTATACTGTGATGTTGGTGGCAGTATGGGTGTATATATACTGTGATCTTGGTGGCAGTATGGGTGTATATATACTGTGATCTTGGTGGCAGTACGGGTGTATATATACTGTGATCTTGGTGGCTGTATGGGTGTATATATACTGTGATCTTGGTGGCAGTATGGGTGTATATATACTGTGATCTTGGTGGCAGTACGGGTGCATATATACTGTGATCATGGTGGCAGTATGGGTGTATATATACTGTGATCTTGGTGGCAGTACAGATGTATATTTACTGTGATTTTGGTGGCAGTACGGGTGTATATATACTGTGATCTTGGTGGCTGTATGGGTGTATATATACTGTGATCTTGGTGGCAGTACGGGTGTATATATATACTGTGATCTTGGTGGCTGTAGGGATGTATATATACTGTGATCTTGGTGGCAGTACGGGTGTATATTTACTGTGATCTTGGTGGCAGTACGGATGTATATATACTGTGATCTTGGTGGCAGTACGGATGTATATATACTGTGATCTTGGTGGCAGTACGGATGTATATATACTGTGATCTTGGTGGCAGTATGGGTGTATATATACTGTGATCTTGGTGGCTGTATGGGTGTATATATACTGTGATCTAGGTGGCAGTATGGGTGTATATATACTGTGATCTTGGCGGCAGTATGGGTGTATATATACTGTGATCCTGGTGGCAGTACGGGTGTATATATACTGTGATCTTGGTGGCTGTATGGGTGTATATATACTGTGATCTTGGTGGCAGTACGGGTGTATATATACTGTGATCTTGGTGGCTGTACGGATGTATATATACTGTGATCTTGGTGGCAGTACGGATGTATATATACTGTGATCTTGGTGGCAGTACTGATGTATATATACTGTGATCTTGGTGGCAGTAAGGGTGTATATATACTGTGATCTTGGTGGCAGTACGGGTGTATATATACTGTGATCTTGGTGGCAGTACGGGTGTATATATACTGTGATCTTGGTGGCTGTACGGGTGTATATATACTGTGATCTTGGTGGCAGTACGGGTGTATATATACTGTGATGTTGGTGGCAGTAAGGGTGTATATATACTGTGATGTTGGTGGCAGTATGGGTGTCTATATATTGTGATGTTGGTGGCAGTACGGGTGTATATATACTGTGATCTTGGTGGCAGTACGGGTGTATATATACCGTATATGACCGCGGATAAGCCGACCCCGTAGATAAGCCAAGGTGTTAACTTGACCATTGAAATAGGAAAGAAAATGATATGACCCGCAGATACGCCGTACCAGGAAGTGAAAGGCAAAAAACACTGCGTAGTCGGACTGCAAGACATGTGTCGGTACTCACAGATATTCAAAAATATAAGGTGAAAAAGTTATTATTATTTCTAATAAAGATTTAACAAACCCGTCATCCACTTTCATAATGTGGGCAGCTGTTTCTCTTGTCTTTTTTTAATCTCATAATGATCATTATATGTTGCCATCAACAACGAAGCGCCATTTTGTGTATCGGTGTATATAGAAATATGAACCCGTGAGAAAATATATCAGCATGGCGTTTTTGTGTCAAACTTATGATGAGAATGTCAGTTAATAAAAATATACCAACTTTTATACCCCCTTTATACCACTATTGTATGTAATCCAATTGATTTAAATAAACTATTAACACATTGAATGACCATCACTTACTCACAGGCTTGATCAGTTTATTAAACTAATCCCTCGAAAACAAAGGAATTAAGCCCCTACTCCCAACACGATCGCTAAGCACCCACAACTTGAAAATGTTTGTGTAAACAACATGACAATACCAATCGGTTCGTTATTATCAGTGCTCATTTCCTTGTGTACCATGTTGCTTTTTAAACAACAGGAAGCAATCACAGTGGTCACCGTTTGTGACGCCACAGGAAACAGCTGATCACATGTTTTTGCAAATGGCGAACGGAATAACTCGCCGTTACAGTTGTTTATTTGCCTCTTTCAATAAAGGTAGATACTTGTTCACCATCAATTTATGAACTTTGCAAAATGTACGTAATAGCTATTGGCGATTTCAGCTGGGGATTATATATTATATCTGTGAATTACATGTAAAGATTGTGGAGTTTATGAAGAACGATAAACTTTGAACATTCAATTGAAAACTTATTATCGGAAGTAGTAACATGCATAACATATTTTTAATAATGACAACATTGGTGTATAATAATAACTTTATTGATAATTTATAACAATAATGGCTCTAGTCGTGACAACTTCCAAACTTTCGGGAAGTTGTATTCTATCGGACTGTCATTCAAGTGATGTTTCTGACGGATCACAATCTGAAAAATACTATCATGAAAGTGTATCCCGTGGATAAGCCGACCCCTTTCTACAGAATCTTTTTTCTGGTCCTCAAAATTCGGCTTAAACACTGTCATATACGGTACTGTGATGTTGGTGGCAGTACTTACTTGTTGTTCCAGCGTACCACAGCCTCAGCTACCAATCTCTTCAACTTGATCAGGTCATCATGTATTTCAAGGAACACTGGCTTCATCTCAAGACCTTGGTGAAGGAAATAAACTTCCAAATAATTGGACTCAGCTTATAAGGATTGTAAATTATTACAATTACAACCAGTTGTGTTACCCTATTTCAACAACAAATTTTCTTTACTGCATTGTACATAAGTAATAATTGTTAATAATTCAAAGAATACTACCTTTATTACATAAGAGCCAAAATTCCTGTAGTTTGGCTGTCATCACACTATAAATATCTTAAGATTTTCACAACTAGCCATAACCAGTTGAGATACTAATAGCACACCATAACACAAATAGTACTAATACATATGCGCATGTGAGAGGCAGGAAAGCTCACTTTTTTCTTCGATCAATGGGGCAGTGGGGTAGGCTTGTGGTTAAAGCGTTCACTTGTTATACCAAAGGCAACACATTTGAATCCCCACATGGGTACAATGTGAGAAGCCTGTTTCTGGTGTCCCCGTTGTGATAGTGCTGGAATATTGCTAACAGCCATGTTAAACCATACTCACTCACTCACTCACTCACTCCAACATCAGCAACTAGAAGCAGATTATAGGAAGGTCGGTGTTAAATATTTGTATTACTTTTACTAGTATTATGTGAATTATTAACAAAGATAACTATTGTTTGATAAAACTCTACGAATACAAAACCTAAATTACATCAGTGCCAGAATATACCAGGGCAATCGATGGGTTCTGACATCTAGCAATACCCTTCTGAATTTAGCGAGAACTTTAACCCAAACTCAATGATTTCTGTCCAATTTTGGATCTTTAATTCCAGTATTTTGGGGTTACCTTATTCTTTCAAACAACATTTTACTAGTTGTTTTAACAAATATAGATATACTTCATCCCGAAATCATGTCAAAAGGCTTATTTTCAGAATGTCAAGGACATTTCTGAATATTTGGTACAATTTTATCTTCTGGTCGGAACATCAGGGTCATTGATGTATCACAAGCTCCCTACTGTTCATCTGATTCACCTAGCCATGAGACTTGCTTCCCCTCTCTCAGCCCAACGGCCAGGCAAGATTTCTCAGCCTGCTGGCGTGTTAGGAACTCTGTTCTGATGGATGCTTATCTCTGCAGATATTCAAGCATGGCCTGCATGTTATTCTGTTGCTCCTGCAACAATTCCTTCATGACGCTCAATGAGAGCTAAGGCATGACTTCTGTCTGGGGAGGATTGTCAGATACTGTAGGAAGTTTGGGTTTTCTTTTTGGCAGCTTGAGAATGTTTTTCTGGGCTCCGCATGGCGAGTGTTCAGAAGCTCCTCCTGCTTCTCAGCCGCCTCCCTATTACACATCATCCTAGATTCAGAGATCGTGACAAACTAATCCTGTGTAAGTGAGGCACATTGAGCGCATCTAGACCCCTTCACACATACTGTAGGATGGCGCTTCAAACAATCAGTTTGAGGATCACCAATAGTCTTGAAGTGAAGACGACAACACATTACCAAGAGACTAGACCCTAAGAAAACTAAATCCACTAATAACACAATCTTGTCCATTCACACCCTATGTGTACTGGTCAGTAACCTTATTCCAGTGTGAAAAATGACAGCTCTCAGGCTGAAAACATGTATCAAAACACAGGCCTCTGGTATGAGGAGCGAAAACCTTAACCACCAGGCTACCCCATCGCCCTGCTCATGTTGGAGAGTAGTGAGGTTTTCTTGCCGCGTGCATGAAGAAAGAGGCTTAGGAACAGAGTTACTATTAGTATTGCAACAAGTTACGGATAGTTGACAGTGAAGAGGACTTCTGTTGACCCCCTACTGCTGCACCCACCTGAACTGTCCCCACCCCCTACTGCTGCACCCACCTAAACTGTCCCCATCCCGTACTGCTGCACCAACCTGAGCTGTCCCCACGCCCTACTGCTCGTCCCACCTGAACTGTCCCCACCTCCTACTGCTGCACCAACCTGAACTGTCCAAACCCCCTACTGCTGTACCCACCTGAACTGTCCCCACCCCCTACTGCTCATCCCACCTGAACTGTCCCCATCTCCTACTGCTGCACCCACCTGAACTGTCCCCACCTCCTACTGCTGCACCAACCTGAACTGTCCAAACCCCCTACTGCTGTACCCACCTGAACTGTCCCCACCCCCTACTGCTCATCCCACCTGAACTGTCCCCATCTCCTACTGCTGCACCCACCTGAACTGTCCCCACCTCCTACTGCTGTACCCACCTGAACTGTCCCCATCTCCTACTGCTGGACCCACCTGAACTGTCCCCATCTCCTACTGCTGCACCAACCTGAACTGTCCCCACCTCCTACTGCTGCACCAACCTGAACTGTCCAAACCCCCTACTGCTGTACCCACCTGAACTGTCCCCACCTCCTACTGCTGCACCAACCTGAACTGTCCCCACCTCCTACTGCTGCACCAACCTGAACTGTCCCCATCCCGTACTGCTCCACCCACCTGAACTGTCCCCACCTCCTACTGCTGCACCAACCTGAACTGTCCCCATCCCGTACTGCTCCACCCACCTGAACTGTCCCCACCTCCTACTGCTGCACCAACCTGAACTGTCCCCATCCCGTACTGCTCCACCCATCTGAACTGTCCCCACCTCCTACTGCTGCACCAACCTGAACTGTCCCCATCCCGTACTGCTCCACCCATCTGAACTGTCCCCACCTCCTACTGCTGCACCAACCTGAACTGTCCCCATCCCGTACTGCTCCACCCATCTGAACTGTCCCCACCTCCTACTGCTGCACCAACCTGAACTGTCCCCATTCCGTAGTGCTCCACCCACCTGAACTGTCCCCACCTCCTACTGCTGCACCAACCTGAACTGTCCCCACCTCCTACTGCTGCACCAACCTGAACTGTCCCCACCCCCTACTGCTGCACCCACCTGAACTGTCCCCACCCCCTACTGCTGCACCCACCTGAACTGTCCCCAACCCCTACTGCTGGACCCACCTGAACTGTCCAAACCCCCTGTTGGACCCACCTGAGCTGTCCTAACCCCCTACTGCTGGACCCACCTGAGCTGTCCCCACCCCCTACTGCTGCACCCACCTGAACTGTCCCCACCTCCTACTGCTGGACCCACCTGAGCTGTCCCCACCCCCTACTGCTGCACCAACCTGAACTGTCCCCACCTCCTACTGCTGCACCCACCTGAACTGTCCCCATCCCGTACTGCTCCACCCACATGAACTGTCCCCACCTCCTACTGCTGCACCCACATGAACTGTCCCCACCTTCTACTGCTGCACCAACCTGAATTGTCCCCACCTCCTACTGCTGCACCAACCTGAACTGTCCCCATCCCGTACTGCTCCACCCACATGAACTGTCCCCACCTCCTACTGCTGCACCAACCTGAACTGTCCCCACCTCCTACTGCTGCACCAACCTGAACTGTCCCCACCTCCTACTGCTGCACCCACCAGAACTGTCCCCACCTCCTACTGCTGCACCAACCTGAACTGTCCCCACCTCCTACTGCTGCACCCACCAGAACTGTCCCCATCCCGTACTGCTCCACCCACCTGAACTGTCCCCACCTCCTACTGCTGCACCAACCTGAATTGTCCCCACCTCCTACTGCTGCACCAACCTGAACTGTCCCCATCCCGTACTGCTCCACCCACATGAACTGTCCCCACCTCCTACTGCTGCACCAACCTGAACTGTCCCCATCCCGTACTGCTCCACCCACCTGAACTGTCCCCACCTCCTACTGCTGCACCAACCTGAACTGTCCCCATCCCGTACTGCTCCACCCACATGAACTGTCCCCACCTCCTACTGCTGCACCAACCTGAACTGTCCCCATCCCGTACTGCTCCACCCACCTGAACTGTCCCCACCTCCTACTGCTGCACCAACCTGAACTGTCCCCATCCCGTACTGCTCCAACCACCTGAACTGTCCCCACCTCCTACTGCTGCACCAACCTGAACTGTCCCCATCCCGTACTGCTCCACCCACCTGAACTGTCCCCACCTCCTACTGCTGCACCAACCTGAATTGTCCCCACCTCCTACTGCTGCACCAACCTGAATTGTCCCCATCCCGTACTGCTCCACCCACCTGAACTGTCCCCACCTCCTACTGCTGCACCAACCTGAATTGTCCCCACCTCCTACTGCTGCACCAACCTGAACTGTCCCCACCTCCTACTGCTGCACCCACCTGAACTGTCCCCACCTCCTACTGCTGCACCATCCTGAACTGTCTCCATCCCGTACTGCTCCAGCCATCTGAACTGTCCCCATCCCGTACTGCTCCACCAACCTGAACTGTCCCCACCTCCTACTGCTGCACCAACCTGAACTGTCCCCATCCCGTATTGCTCCACCCATCTGAACTGTCCCCAACCCGTATTGCTGCACCCACCTTAACTGTCCCCACCTCCTACTGCTGCACCAACCTGAACTGTCCCCACCCCCTACTGCTGCACCCACCTGAACTGTCCTCACCCCCTACTGCTGCACCCACCTGAACTGTCCCCAACCCCTACTGCTGGACCCACCTGAACTGTCCAAACCCCCTGTTGGACCCACCTGAGCTGTCCTAACCCCCTACTGCTGGACCAACCTGAGCTGTCCCCACCCCCTACTGCTGCACCCACCTGAACTGTCCCCACCCCCTACTGCTGCACCCACCTGAACTGTCCCCACCCCCTACTGATGCACCCACCTGAACTGTCTCCATCTCCACCCAGGTCCTGTAGCTTCTGCTGCACATCCTGAGCCAGATCTCGTAGTCTGGACTTCTCAGACTGTTGTTCTGTGACGAACTCAGACACAGCCCGGGCTGTTGATTCACTCTGTGTTTCATTTCGGAGCTTCATCGTACACTCCAGAATAGCACTGTATTTTTCCATACCTCTGAAATATAAAAAACAGATTTGGAGGTGGCGACTGGGGGAGTGTGGAGGTGGGGGTTGGGGGAGTGTGGAGGTAGGGGCTGGGGGAATGTGGAGGTGGTGACTGGGGGAGAGTGGAGGTGGGGGCTGGGGGAGTGTGAGTGTGGAGGTTGCGACTGGGGGAGTGTGGAGGTTGGGGCTGGGGGAGGGTGGAGGTAGGGGCTAGGGGAATGTGGAGGTGGGGGCTGAGGGAGCATGGAGGGGGTGACTGGGGGAGTGTGGAGGTGGGGGCTGGGGGAGTGTGAGTGTGGAGTTGGCGACTTGGGGAGTGTGGAGGTGGGGTCTGGGGGAGGGTGGAGGTAGGGGCTAGGGGAATGTGGAGGTGGCAACTGGGGGAGAATGGAGGTGGGGGCTGGGCAAGTGTGGAGATGGCGACTGGGGGAGTGTCGAGGTGGGGGGTGAGGGAGCGTGGAGGTAGGGGCTGCGGGAGTGTGGAGGTAGGGTCTGGGTAAGAGAGAGTCTGGAGGTAGGGGCTTGGGGAGTGTGGAGGTGGGCCTATGGGAGCGTGGAGGTGGGGGCTGAGGGAGCATGGAGGTAGGAACTGGATAAGAGAGAGTGGAGGTAGGGGCGGGGGAGTGTGGAGGTGGGGGCTGGGGGAGTGTGGAGGTGGGGGCTGGGGGAGCGTGAGTGTGGAGGTGGCGACTTGGGGAGTGTGGAGGTGGGTGCTGGGGGAGGGTGGAGGTAGGGGCTAGGGGAATGTGGAGGTGGCAACTTGGGGAGTGTGGAGGTGGGGGGTGAGGGAGCATGGAGGTAGGGGCTGGGGGAGTGTGGAGGTAGGGTCTGGGACAGAGAGAGTCTGGAGGTAGGGGCTGGGGGAGTGTGGAGGTGGGGCTATGGGAGCGTGGAGGTGGGGGCTGAGGGAGCATGGAGGTAGGAGCTCGATAAGAGAGAGTGGAGGTAGGGGCAGGGGAGTGTGGAGGTGGGGGCTGGGGGAGTGTGGAGGTGGGGGCTGGGGGAGCGAGTCTGGAGGTAGCGACTGGGGGAGTGTGGAGGTAGGGGCGGGGGAGCGTGGAGGTGGGGGCTTGGGGAGTGTGGAGGTGGGGGCTGGGGGAGCGTGGAGGTGGTGACTGGGGGAGTGTGGAGGTGGGGGCTGGGGGAGAGTGAGTGTGGAGGTGGCGACTTGGGGAGTTTGGAGGTGGGGGCTCGGGGAGGGTTGAGGTAGGGGCTGGGGGAATGTGGAGGTGGGGACTGGGGGAGCGTGGAGGTGGGGGCTGGGGGGAGTGTGAGTGTGGAGGTGGCGACTTGGGGAGTGTGGAGGTGGGGGCTGGGGGAGGGTGGAGGTAGGGGCTAGGGGAATGTGGAGGTGGCAACTGGGGGAGTGTCGAGGTGGGGGGTGAGGGAGCATGGAGGTAGGGGCTGGGGGAGTGTGGAGGTAGGGTCTGGGACAGAGAGAGTCTGGAGGTAGGGGCTTGGGGAGTGTGGAGGTGGGGCTATGGGAGCGTGGCGGTGGGGGCTGAGGGAGCATGGAGGTAGGAGCTCGATAAGAGAGAGTGGAGGTAGGGGCGGGGGAGTGTGGAGGTGGGGGCTGGGGGAGTGTGGAGGTGGGGGCGGGGGAGCGTGGAGGTGGGGGCTGGGGGAGCGTGGAGGTGGCGACTGGGGGAGTGTGGAGGTGGGGGCTGGGCATGGTGTGGAGGTGGGGGCAGGGGAGTGTGGAGGTTGGGGCTGGGGGAGTGTGAGTGTGGAGGCTCAGTGATTGTGGAGGTGGGGACAGAGGAAGTGAGTGTGGAGGTGGGGCTGGGGGAAAGTGGAGGTTGGGCCTGGAGGGATGTGGAGCTGGGGGCTGGGGAAGTGAGAGTGTGGGTTGGGGTGATGGGTCCTTGTTGTTATCTGCCACAGTACTTTAACAATGGGGTTGGGCAGATGTTTCTTGCTTTGGATTCTGACAAATGTTCTATATTTCCAAACTTGTGGATCTGATATAATTACCATCTACATTTGCTTTTCTTTAACAAGATTGAAACTATTTTCCATGTTGACATAAGTTTGCATATGATCTTTCTACAGCAGTCAAATATGTATATGCACTACTTACTTGTTTGTGATGCTACGCACAACATCCTTGAGCTTGTCTACACTGGTAGGAATCTGATGGAGGGACACAATGATAGGAGGCAGGGCTAGTTCTCTCAGCAACAGTTCTGTGTATCTGGAAACAAATATTGTTGTGTATTAACCAGAAAGACAAATATGTAGGGCTACTCCCCTCAGCAACAGATCTGTGTATCTGGAAACAAATATTGATGTGTATTAACCAGAAAGACAAATATGTAGGGCTACTCCCCTTAGCAACAGTTCTGTGTATCTGGAAACAAATATTGTTGTGTATTAACCAGAAAGACAAATATGTAGGGCTACTCCCCTTAGCAACAGTTCTGTGTATCTGGAAACAAATATTGTTGTGTATTAACCAGAAAGACAAATATGTAGGGCTACTCCCCTCAGCAACAGTTCTGTGTACCTGGAGACGAATGTTGCTGTGGGTATCTGAGTCCTACCTGAATGATGCAACCATGTTGTTGTAGCCGAAGTACTGGTTGTGGTCTTGATGCAGAGAGTGTGCACATGGCTCCGCACTTGCCCGCCTGGAAAACTGCACGCCATGGAAACGCAACTCCAGGTACTTGGCGAAGGAAAGGTTCCAGGTATCCACAGTGATAGGGACAACTGGCGTCACCTACATAAACATTGAACAACAATCATGGAGGGCTCACTTTCTCTGTGTGAAGCACATGATTGCACAAACCTGCTTACAGCACAACACAACTACAGGACACACACCTGCTTGCACCACAACAAAACTACATGACACACACCGGCTTACACCACAACACAACTACTGGACATACACCAGCTTACATCACAAAACAACTACAGGACACACACTGGCTTACACCACAACACAACTACAGGACACTCACCTGCTTACACCACAACACAACTACAGGACACACACCCGCTTACAGCACAACACAACTACAGGCTACACACACCGGCTTACACCACAACACAACTACTGGACATACACCGGCTTACAGCACAACACAACTACTGGACACTCACCTGCTTACAGCACAAAAAACTACAGGACACACACCTGCTTACACCACAACAAAACTACAGGACACACACAGGCTAACACAACAACAAAACTACAGGACACACACCGGCTTACACCACAACAAACTACAGGACACACACCGGCTTACACCACAACAAAACTACAGGACACACACCCGCTTACACCACAACACAACTACTGGACACACACTGGCTTACAGCACAACACAACTACAGGACACACACCTGCTTACATCACAACAAAACTACAGGACACACACCGGCTTACAGCACAACACAACTACAGGGCACACACCTGCTTACACCACAATACAACTACATGACCCATACGTTCTTACACCAAAACAAAACTACTGGACACACACCTGCTTACACCACAATACAACTACATGACACACGCCGGCTTACACCACTTCTACAGGACACACACCTGCTTACAGCACAACACAACTGCAGGACACACACCTGCTTACAAAACTACTACAGGACACACACTGGATAACACCAAAACACAACTACTTGACACACACCGGCTTACAGCACGACACAACTACTAGACACACACCTGCTTACACCACAACAAAAATACATGACACACACCTGCTTACACCACAACACAACTACAGGACACACACCTGCTTACACTACATCTACAGGACACACACCGGCTTACACCACAACACAACTACAGGACACACACCTGCTTGCACCACAACAAAACTACAGGACACACACCGACTTACACCACAACACAACTACTGGACACACCGGCTTACACCACAACACAACTACTGGACACACACCTGCTTACACCACAACTACTGGACACACAACTTCTGGACACACACCTGCTTACACCACAACTACAGGACACACACCTGCTTACACCACAACTACTGGACACACCTGCTTACACCACAACTACTGGACACACACCTGCTTACACCACAACTACAGGACACACACCTACTTACACCACAACTACAGGGTACACACCTGCTTACACCACAACTACAGGACACACCTGCTTACACCACAACTACAAGACACACACCTGCTTACACCACAACTACAGGACGCACACCTGCTTACACCACAACTACAGGACACACACCTACTTACACCACAACTACAGGGTACACACCTGCTTACACCACAACTACAGGACACACCTGCTTACACCACAACTACAAGACACACACCTGCTTACACCACAACTACAGGACGCACACCTGCTTACACCACAACTACAGGACGCACACCTGCTTACACCACAACTACAGGACACACACCTGCTTACACCACAACTACTGGACACACACCTGCTTACACCACAACTACAGGACACACACCTGCTTACACCTGCAACACCAGCTCCACATCAAGATGTTGTTCTGTCCACCAGCAATCACAGAGTCCAGTTTTTTTAGGACAACATTGAGGTAGCCCTTGTCATGGGCAAATCGGCGGATGTGGTGAACCATCGGAGTGTCACATGTGACAGATGGACAGGAGTAAGATTTCCTGCAGTGAATAAGATTATTTGTTGAATGAGAGAATGAGTGAGTAAGATTATTTATTGAGTGAGAGAATGAGTGAATAAGATTATTGATTGAGTGAGAGAATGAGTGAGTAAGATTATTGATTAAGTGAGCGTGACAGCTGAGCTAGCCATCAATAACCATGGTCTGTACCCAACTGTCAGGCAATTCTAAAGTTTTTTAGTTACAGATTCTACATACTGAACCCAAAAGCACCAATCAGAAAAGAAAAGAAATTGTTAGAAATATATTATTTGTCCTCATCCTCCAGCTTTGATGGGATTTAAATTATAAGAAAATGCAACAGTGAAAATCATACCTAATCAAACATGCTTATTTATATTTGATCAAATGCATTGTATGTGTCTCAAGGGCACTGCAAACATCTCTATGAAGAGAACAAAATCATCTCTTTCAGTAGTCTACTCGTATGTACATCTTACTTTTAACATACCAAACAGTTTTGGCATAATTGTTTTCACACAAAACCCCAAACAACTTCATGCCACATGAAACATAAATATATTACTGAGGTAGGATTAAAGAGAAGGAGTCCCTAATCTATGTCTTGTATCATAGCAAATCACACTGCCTTGGTATGTCTGCCTTGCTGATATGTCAAAAGTCTTACTTGCAGAACAGAACACTGACACCGTGTCCTGTAGTTGTGCTGTATGCAGGTGTGTGTCCTGTAGTTGTGGTGTAAGCAGGTGTGTGTCCTGTAGTTGTGGTGTAAGCAGGTGTGTACCCTGTAGTTGTGGTGTAAGCAGGTGTGTCCTGTAGTTGTGGTGTAAGCAGGTGTGTGTCCTGTAGTTGTGGTGTAAGCAGGTGTGTGTCCTGTAGTTGTGGTGTAAGCAGGTGTGTGTCCTGTAGTTGTGGTGTAAGCAGGTGCGTGTCTTGTAGTTGTGGTGTAAGCAGGTGTGTGTCCTGTAGTTGTGGTGTAAGTAGGTGTGTACCCTGTAGTTGTGGTGTAAGCAGGTGTGTGTCTTGTAGTTGTGGTGTAAGCAGGTGTGTCCTGTAGTTGTGGTGTAAGCAGGTGTGTACCCTGTAGTTGTGGTGTAAGCAGGTGTGTGTCTTGTAGTTGTGGTGTAAGCAGGTGTGTGTCCTGTAGTTGTGGTGTAAGCAGGTGTGTGTCCTGTAGTTGTGGTGTAAGCAGGTGTGTGTCCTGTAGTTGTGCTGTAAGCAGGTGTGTGTCTTGTAGTTGTGTTGTACACAGGTGTGTACCCTGTGTTTCCTCAGATTCCATAGCTGCCCACCATGTTAAACCGCTCACTAACCTGAAACAGTATCTCTCAAGGAAGCCTCCCAGGGTTATATCATTATTACCGTAGAACTCCATCTTCACAACCCTGCAAATACACGGTAGAAAACAAACTGACTTTTTATTAGGAGATTTCGAATGTTCACTAAACCTTTGAGCAACAGAATCCAGATGGCAGGAGGTTCAAACTCACAGTTCCAACTTCCAAATTTAGTAAATCTACATCAATTTTCATCTCTGTGTGACTATTAGCTCCAGAGAAGCATACTCATAATCATTTTTAATTATTATTTTCTTTCAGTTTCAGAATATCAAAAACTACTTCCAATTATAAAACAAACTTAGTAAAATCTAAATATTTTGTACATTTGTATACTTATCCTGCATTACTCCGTATTGCATTTACTGCTGTCTTTGACAGAGAGACGAACTGTGTGATATCCAGGTGCTGAAGAAAGTTGTTTCCATCTGTCCAGGAACCGGCGCCCCCTCCCACACAGTCGGCACGTGACCCGGAAGACATGACGTCATGTCAAAACACGCTTTAACATAACATCAGAAACTTCGTGGGGAGGTAGCTGAGCGCAGGGGGCGCACTTAGACTTCGTAATGCAGGATAAGTATACAAATGTACAAAATATTTAGATTTTACTAATTTTTTTAACTTATCCTGCATTACTCCGTATTGCATCTTTATCAGACGGCACGGCCGGTGGGCATACCTTCAGATGTGAGACAGAAGAAAACCCTCGACAAAGGTCCGATGAAACTGCACCGCATGTACAAGAGATGACCGGAACACCAGCGACCATTCCTGTCGAAGGAAACGAGAGTCGAAGCAAAAGAGGGAACACGAAATAGGTGACAGAAATAGTATGAGGCGGGAAAGCCAAAACTAGAACTGACCTAAGAGCGAATGCGGAACGCAGTAGAGCCCTCTAATCTGGGGTGATAAACACCAGAGAGTTCGACGGGCCCCGCTCAGGGTAACGGAGAATCAGTGGCGTCGGGGGTTGGTGACCTGTTGAGCTACCACTAGGGGACCAAAGCTATGAACGCCAGCAACATCTTCCAAGGCTACATCACGAAGGTAGTGGCTGGCGAAAACGGTGTCGGACCGCCAAAAACAGCCTTCCATGATCGATTTGAGGGAACAGTTACTATGAAGAGCCATGGTAGACGCGACCGCACGAATCTTTTGGGGGGGTCTCTTGGGGGGGGTCCAAATCCGGCGACTTTATAAGCTTGGAGGATGACCGCCCAGAGCCACAGGGAGATAGTATTCTGGCTGACCTCCGACTGCGACGAAGGGGAGACCGGTAGGAAAAGGCGTTTCCTAGACTTGCGGCAGACTTTAGACCGTCGCAGGAAAACCTTCAGGGCCCTAACAGGGCACAATAAAAGCTCCCCCATGTTGTCGGCACCCACAATCGACGAAAGTGAATGGTGAAGGATATATCAGGCTGTCCTGGGAGTTGATTCTTTGCGATGAAGTCCCAGCACAGCCTAAGATGGACTGCGCCATGAGTCCCGCGTTTGAACCGGACACGGGAGACATCGAGGGCGTGGAGCTCACTAACTCAGGCGGCAGTAGCCAAGGCCAGTAGAAACACCGTCTTCTTCGTTAAGTCGTAAAAGGAAGACGAGTGGAGTGGTTCAAAGGGAGCCTCCCGAAAGAGCCTTTAAGACCACATTCAGATCCCATGCAAGAGGTCTGAACTTGGCTTTCTGGTCTTCGGGACGAAACGAGCGCAGCAATGCCTGAAGTTCGGGGATTTTTGTCATTCTCCAGTCGTCCGCGATGGCAAGAACGGAGTTGATGGCAACCAAGTACGTGGAGATGGTAGAGCCTTTTAATCGACGTGTGCTGCAAAAGTACAGAAGAAACTCAGCCACGAACTGCGGTGTCGCTGTCATCGGATCCTGGTGCTTGTCAGAAGACCATTTATCATCATATAGTCCCTGTGTTGATGGACAATGGGCTAAAGCAATAGCCTTGGCCACTCTAGTCGAATAGCCCTTGGCTCCTAGGGTTTTCTGCAGATGTGCCAGGCGTGCAGACGAAACCGAGCGGGACTTGGGTGTGGCAACCGACTGTGTGGGTGGATCAGCAGGTTGAACCACGCCGGCAGTTCTAGAGGGTTGTCTCTGGCGATGTTTTGGAGGTCGACAAACCAACTTCTGGCCGGCCACCAAGGCGTGACCAAAACCAGTGTCAGGTGTCGAGTGGCCTGGATCTTTTGAAGAACCCTGGGAAAGAGAACCGGAGGCGGAAAAGCGTACGCGCTTAATCCCTCCCAGGGAACACTGAAGGCGTCGACTGCTACAGCAGCCGGATCCAGGACCAGCGAGATGTAAGTCGGCAGCTGGCAATTCTGAGACATGGCAAACAGATCGATGTTTGGAGTGTCGATCGTTTGACAAAGGACGGTGAAGATCTCTGGGTGGAGTCGCCATTCGGTGGGAGCCACCTTGTCCGGTCTGGACAGAGCGTCTGCCAGAACATTCTTGCAACCTGGAATGTGCTGAACAATTGTCTGAACAGCGGTCCACCAGGTCGAAGAATCGGAAGGTCTGGTTGAGCAGGGACTGAGAGTGGAGAGTACCCTGATTCCTCAGACACCACACCACGGTGATGTTGTCCGTGGAGATGGTCAACTGGGCGTGACGGAAAATGCACTGCCAGTGGGAGACGGCCATAATGAGAGCTTCCAGTTCCAGGTTGTTGCTGTGCCAGTGGAGTCGATCTCCGGACCACAGCCCTGCAACTGTTTGAGTCCCCAGATGAGCCCCCCAACCCTGTTTGGATGCGTCGACGAACAGGTGGAGGGTGGGCTGTAGAGCGGTCAAGGAGACGTCACCGCAGACGTTCGATTCCACCGTCCACCATCGGAGGAAGGGGTGGAGGTGAACCGGGACGGTGATGAGGGACTCCGGATCCTGCTGCCGGATGAAGGGAGCGAGAAACTTTTACAAACCTGTAGAGGTTATGAATTCTCTGATGAAATCCTCCTTGGGGCATTTTCCTGGCTCAAGAAAATCTACATGAAATAGTTGTAACCATTTTCCTTAATAAAAATTGTTACCACACAAAAAACTGCGTTTTTGTATGATATACGTCCACCCTTATGGTGCCTCACCCTCCACGGCGCGTCACGCCAAGGGAAGCAACTCTCACCCAAATCACTTTCCAAATGTCTAATGCTGACGGAATGTGGGGAGGCGGGTGGCCGTGCCCAAAGGAGGATTTCATCAGAGAATTCATAACCTCTACAGGTTTGTAAAATTCTCTTTCAGATTAAATCCTCCTTGGGGCACTTATTGCATCAAGATAGACTCCTAAAGATAATCTAGGAAGTGGCATCCGTCAGCAACAAGCATGCATAAATACATCGTATTTTGATTATTTCAATGAATAAACAAAAGTTCAATAAATAGAACCAACCTTATCGTGAGGCACCACCGTCGAAAGGCGGGGGCTGGAGACAGGGCATTATCGACCATACACAATGAAAAGAGCCATTCTTTGTGGCTTATCATATCGAGAACTCAAGACACACACCCCCCCCACCCCCCCACTTTTTTGAACAAGTGATATGGGGGCACAGATCACGAGAGACTATTAACCCGTGCAGAGCTAGGCCAGAGGGTCCCCATGAATCGAAGGAGTGCATGTGCAAATACGATGATTATCGAGTAGTAATGGCTGGTATTGTTATCGACCGTAGAAGATATAATCCGGACCGTTACTGAGCAGTGTTATAACGGCTAGAGATGCAGAACTTTGCCCAGTTCGGAGAACTGACTGACCAAACCGAGCACGCTCGCTTGAGTGTTTGTCGAGTTGGTAATGTTTGATGAACGTGCTCGGCTGGCTCCAAATAGCTGCGGAGCAGATCTCCTCAATGGGCAGAGCCGCGGTGTACGCTTGTGTTGTAGCCACTGCTCTAACCGAATGAGCCTTCAACTTGGTAGGGGGGTCCCTGCCTTGAAGGGTGTACACCGTACATATAGTAGAGACTATCCACAAGGAGATAGTTTGTTTGCTCGCAGGTGAGCCAGCCTTCCTACCGCCATAACAGCAAAATAGTTGATTATCCTTACGGATACCCTTAGTTCTGCTGATATAGGACTTGAGGGTCCTGCGGACATCCAAGACATGAGCCCTTTGGGGCTGGTAGGTGCCACGGGATTTACCAAGACCACATCCTGTCTGGCCACGAAAGGGCGAGGCATGTTTGGAGACGACCTTGAGAGAGGAACGGTTTGTAGTTGCCTTTGGAGGACTTGACTGCTGATTGGTGCGTGACATGCTCCAAGGCTCTGAGAGCCGTTTCATCTCTCGCGAAGCTGGAGACTCGGGCGTGTGTAGCGGAGATGGCACCATTAAAAAGGGTAGGACCCGACCAAGGTTGTCGTAGTAAGGAATGCTTGCGCAAATGGTCGACTTGGCGAAGTTTGAATGTCATAACAGTTAGGATTGGAGTCGGAGAGATCCTGGTCAATGGCTCTGGCAGAGGAGGAAAGTGTAGACAGTGGCTTTAAAGAACGCCGCAGTTCCGCAGTTCACGAAAGCAAGTCGGGAGTCCAGCATATGTATGGTGGCGGACTGGGAAGACCCGGTCATTCGATGTAAGTCCTCGTCAAGGATGTGCGCATCGTCGGCCACATCGAAGGAGTGGACAGGGAAATCATCACGCCGGAACAAGGAGCCTTGAATGATGGCGTGAGGGACAACTTAGCGAAGTCCTTGTCCAACGCCGTAACAAGGTCTGTCAGCATTGGGTCGGGTGGTAGCAAAGTTGGGTTAGACCAAATCGTAGATTTTTGTTCGACATCTGAGCCCGGGGAGTGAGCGACGGAGGTCTAACGGTCCGCTAGCCAATCAGCAACCTGTGATAGGCCCAAGTGTGTATCAATCTCGGGAGATGGAGGGTCATAATCGGGTCGAAATGATCCTTCCGATGAGGAGGAACGATGTCGAAGACTATGTACGGGTGAGCGACTACGAGAACAACGACGGGATCGAGCTGACTTGGACAAGTGCCGAGAAGCAGTCGGAGGCGACCAGGTGTACGACGATCGAGACCGATGAGCACCCGAAGTAGAGGGGGCCGCAGGAATCGAAGTATCTGTAGTCGGGGCCGTCAGTTGCGCCGGTGTCGCAGGAGGCACCGTCGGCGCCGCTGAGGCGGGGGTAGCTTGCGTAAACAATGACTGCATCCAAGCTTGCATCCAAGATGGATCCATAAACGATGACGGGAGGGCATGTCCATACGTAGGTGGCGCCGCACAAGTCAAAGGCGCCGAAGTAGTCAGAGGCGCCGCAGGCATCAGAGGCGCCGGATACATCAGAGGCGCCGGAGTCATCAGAGGCGCCGGAGTTGTTGACGTAGATGGTAGAGGTGACAGGAAACCCGTTACGGGCAATGCTGCAGACGTTGAGGTCGAAGCAGGCGATGGTAAGGGTGGTGTAGGAGACCATGAACGGTCGTATGCGTGCCATGGGAGGTAGACTCTGCGTTGGATGGCATGTTGGAGTGTCGACGCACACGTTGAGTGAAATGTTTCCGAAACACTCGTAGGTAGGCGGTGAAGGAAACTGGCGACAGGACTACAGTATCTGCACTGCTCTGTGAGGGTACACAGGGTTGTACAGTCCAGGCAGCAGGGGTGGGGGTCCCGTCCAGATTTATTCCCGCAGTAGTTAGTGCAGCGAGACATACTGGAATTGAAGCAAAAGCATAAGGATGTGTAAACACACAACTCGAAACATAATGTAACTCAACATAACTTATTCTGTTACAAAGTTTATGAGAGCAAACAATTACGCTTCAAACATGCCAAATACAAACATTAAATTTAATGTAAAACTCCAACCAGAGAGCGAATTCAAAACAAAAAACACGAAAATACCTGGACACGTAGTGAATCGCAAAAGGGAGGGAAAAAATGGGGGGGAAAACCAAAATAGCAGGAAACAACAATACGCTCAGAAATACCGTGACGAGAGCCACAACACGAGTGAGAAACGTTACCAATTAACAATAGAATGAAGTCAAAGGTAACAAACCAAATACAAGAAACAACACAGCAGACTTTTGTCGTAGTAAACAAAGAAAGTCAGGATCAGATAAAGATTTAATAGTTCCACGAGGGATACAGTATACTCCGTTCCGTGTGGCTAACAAAGCAGTTATGAGTTTTGACATGACGTCATGTCTTCCGGGTCACGTGCCAACTGTGTGGGAGGGGGCGCTGCTTCCTGGACAGATGGAAACAACTTTCTTCAGCAGATGGATCTCACACAGTTCGTCTCTCTGTCAAAGACAGCAGTAAATGCAATACGGAGTAATGCAGGATAAGTTAAAAAAATAACCACATTTTCTTCTTTTTGTGCCATGAACAAAACCTAGGTCACATAAGGTCCAAAATACTTTATGACAGCTCTGTACGCAGTTTTGTTCATTTCAGTGCTGAGGAGTAGAGTACCCCAGAATGGAAGTCAATTATCAGCAGTTTAGGCTGGGATTTCTGAGATATATTGTTCTACAATCATTTAATCCACATGCAGTGGGTGTCTGTGAGGGAAAGGATGAGAAACCCTTCTTTCATTAGCTTGATCAGATCATCTTGAGTGTGTGCCGACATTTTGTTTGAAGAAAATGCAAGAATATAACTTGCAATGCCACTGGTGTTGCTGCGTTCGAGCTGAGGTAATAATCCAGCCTAGCTCGGCAAGGGTGGAAACTGGACTTTTATAGTCGGGAAAATGTCCCATGGCGGGAGGGTGTTGATATTAGTACTTGATAATGATGCTTCTGTGTGTGGCTCTACACCAGGTTTGAACATGGATCATAATAGAGCAAGAAATTGTGTACCAGAGAGGATGTAGTTTGTACAGCTAAGTTATTGGACAAGCGATGATACCTACCATGGATAGACACAAGGGTTGGGGTGATTGGCTGACTTGTGAGAGTAGCTGCTGAAGAGGACAGCCATCTTCTGGTGGTTGCCTGTGTCGAGACAATCAATCTGTAACAAGCAACAGTTACTAACAACATCAATCTCTCACAAACATATCACCCAACAAAGCAACTGACTATTATTTGCAGACAAGCAATTATTTGAATGTAATATTCTTGGGTACAGCAAGTTGAGTCGTTAGGTATGAGAGAAACTATAAAAGAGTCCAAGCCAATTCTTTGATCACCTTACAGCTTCCAACAATGTCCACTGTTTTCAAAGCATACCTTCTTCTCCCAGTGAACTCCAGGTTTGTTTTTCTCATTTTCTGATTGTTCATCAAAGATAGCTTTACGCATCATATCTCGTTGTAAGTCAAAACGTGGATCAAGGGGAGGTAATACGTTTATCCTTCCACCACGAGCTCGGAAGTCGGCCAGTAGGGCCTGTAAATAAAAGTGTATCTGTAACTGAAATAATCTTTACATTCATCAATCAGGATCTGGGAGATTACATATATACTCCACCTATCAATATATTAATCTGAAACATTAAAATTTTTCTGACATTTCTGTCTTCATAATATGCTGCCAACCTGTGTGGTGTTTTCATGTAATGGTGCTGTAAGCTGCTGCAAGATGAACGGATGAGCTTCGGTGATATGAATGTTGGACTTGGGAGTGTAGTGACCGGAGTAGTCACCATCATAATACTTTGACCTTGACCTTTGACCTTGTTCACCTTCAAATAACTGTGACCAATAAATATCCTCTGGCAGATATTTCCTTAATTCACACTTCGACCCATGTGCTGTTTCCAGATAGGGAACTTCATATTTGTGATATGGTGATATGGACAAAACTAAACCTATCAATGCCTTCTTAAACTGCCATTGTTTAGTCTGTTTGTGTTCCTGGAATGACACTTTGCTGTCAAAAATAGACTCATCTTTGCTGTTCTGATAGCTGTGGAGTGGGTCACTCAAATCTGTCAACTCAGTCCTCTCCACTGACTGACGTTTACATGAATCTTTACTTGTACGCTTGGAATCAGTATCTTTTTCCACTGAATGACCTTTCCTCAACACAACTTCTGAATCTTCTTCATTTCCTTCGTCCAACTTCACTGTGGAACTACCATGTTCAGCCATGACACAATTTTCTACCTTTTCCCCCCCACTCTTTCCCTCCACATCAATAATCTGCTGATCTTGAGCCGGTTTGTCTGTAGTCACAGCTTGTTTGTTTTCATCTTCGTTCTTCACCCTCTCCGGTGCATCCTCCGTCAGCGTTAGTTCTCGGATTGTCTCCGCAAGATCAAAGTCATCTTGTGCCTGTATTTCGTCAGGGTTAGGTGGTGGTAGAGCAAATTCATCCATACAGTAGGATATCTCCAGCAGAGAGTTGTAGGAGGTGTAGCTCATCATCTTCACGACTTCCTTCACCTGCAGCAGAATGAAGTCATCATGTATATGAATGAACAGTTCACAATACAGTATAATAAGACTATAAGTGCCCTGGTTCTCTCCTCCACAGCCTCTTCCCTTAGCCTTCCTGTGGGGACTCACCCATTCTTTTCATAAAAGACAACTAAAAAGAACAATTGGCTAACTGTTGGTCATTATAACCCTTGGTGATGTCTTCATAAGAAGGAACCTGCAAGACATTTTTAGCTTTAACAGTCAAGCAGTATCAGAGGAAAAGATATTTAACAGCAAAACTCAGTGTCAGAGTCAGGTCAGTGTCAGGGTTACTGTGGTTTATAGGGCCCTGTACCTTTAAGTAGTCACTCATGAAAGGACACCCTTCTTTGAAGGGCTCTGGGTCCCAAGCCCATGCCTCAATGGCCGAAGGAATGGCTGTTTTGGCTTTAAGCAGCCATAGGGTGACTGACACACTTGTCAAATTGGCAAATACGCTGACCTGTCGTCCATGGACAGTTAGGGTCTGCTTGCTATGGTTTCGCTCTTTTCTCAAATATAAAAAGAGTTAGGGTGGTGAAACTTGACCTAGACCATCCTATCAACAGCCTCTTTTAATGATGTTTGAACCATTTCTTTGCGAAATCAAGTTTAATTCCATGGCAACCATATGCAAAAACCTACTTTTTGCCAGTGTTCCACAATGTATGCAGAAAATCTAATGAAATATAGTGGCTTGCTAGTGTGTGGTGGGTTCTAGGATACAGTTTTCAATTTTGCAACTACTTTGATGAGTACTGCCCATGACAGCCCTTTTAATTTGGTGACACCAACTATTATGCTGTGAAGGTCAAATCAAGGTCAAAATACTGCAAAAGAACTAACTATACATGTGCAAAAGAAAAAGGCTGTCATGGTGGCCATGTTTCAAATGTGATCGTAATCCGGTCCTGTGAACACCTTTTGGAGACACTATAGATAACATCAATCATGCCAAGTTTCACCTTCACTGACCTTTCAGTTTGAGAGGGAATATTGAAAGTCCATTTAACTCTATAAAACAGACGTACATGAAAGTCAAAGGTTGTAACTGGATAAAAAATCTAAAATGCTCAAAAATGTATTATATGTTATTGCCAAAAAGACATAAAATTTTCTGCTTATCAAATTTCATAAAGATTCATGAAGAAATGGCTGGGAAATAGGAAAAAAATGAAATTTTCAATTTCCATGTACAAACAGTGTTTAGCGACACAACAGCTGGAATCATTGGATCCCATGTCATGGTGAACTTAAGAAACCAAGGAGTGAAGTCTGGCCTTAGATAGGTTGTAACAGTAGTTGAGCCTCTTATAATGAGTTGTTCCTGCAATGTTTCAAGTAAGGGCCACATGGCTTCTCCCAGAAAAGTAAGTTGGAGGAGAGTTACCTTCCTGAGTTCATACGGGGTGCCCCCCCTGAGACAGATCGTACAGCCCAGGTGCGTGGCACAGCCATCCATTACTACAACAGTCTTCAGACCACCTGCACAACATACATCATGTTAGACTCATGTACAATGTAGCAAACAGTTGTAGAACACATCTGTCAGTCGGTCATTTGAGTAAAATTGTGAAAGAAGGATTTTTCAATGGTTTTAAAGAATACCTTGTGTACGACTGCCAAACTTTCTAGTCACATGTCAGTAAGCAAAACAAGTAACATAGTTACCAGATACAAGGATATGAACTATGGAAGTAGCCATAGAACAGTTTGGAGGAAGTTAATAAGGCTATAAAACAACTGTGTTTTCAAATAAGAGGTTTCAAATTCAATTTTCTTTTCAAAACCAAACAGGTAATAGGAGTTCTAAATCTTCCAGCAAAACACAAAATGTAACAACATAAACCATATGACCAAAAAACATATCCTCATCTGAAGTTTATCCATTCCCAGAAGAGTGTGAAAACTGTATGGTATACCATTAGGCAGTGGATAGGGCTGACACTTGAAGGAGTGACAGAAGCCAAGCTTGGGGCGGCTGACAAGACCATCTATGGAGGACACAATGTCCGCCTGGGTGATCCGAGCCACTCTCTCCATCACCGACTACAACACACCAAAAGAAACAATTGACATCCAAGAAGAAATACTTTCTAGACCAATAAGACCGAATAACTTACCAGTCATCTATTTCTTATTAATAAAATTAAATTAATATGAAAACTGCGAGTGTCCCATGCTTGCATGCATTAATTAAGTAACACATTTTTATCTGACATATTGGAGTATATTGTCAGGTCAGTGTTACTGAGCATGGGCGGAAAAAACGACATACATAATAAAACTCACAATAAACAAAGTAATTGAGAGCTAGATTTAGTGTTTCTCACTAAGTTCAGTGTCAATCATGGTCAGTTTGTCTGCACAAGTTCATCAAGCAGTTATGACAGTCGCCAACCATGTAAGATGGCGTCATTTTCTTTGGTAACCGGACAAAAAATCTTATAATGAGAACCAAACACTGTTCACCCATGCAGCGAAAATGTCCAGTACAGTAACAGCAATCATGGTGAATACCTAGCACTTCTTCTTACATTCAAAGTATTTCACAAACTTGTCTAACAACTCATGGAGCCTGTAAATGTTTTTCTGTGACCTAACCCATCTAATCTGAATATGCCTTATTTGAAATTTCCTGCTTTCGATTTCATTGATGTTGGATAACAGGTCAAGCAGTTGAAGTTAAATCTGTGGTGATATTAGTCAAAAGGACTGCATTAGTTTAATGATTTACAGTACATATTTCTCTATTATCTAATTACACACACTAACTAAAACAGTGTAACAGGGATTTATTTAGTTAAGTTATGTCGTGTACATAAATGTATAATTAATCATTTTAATCTTATTTCAGGTTTTAGTGATCCAGCAGACGACGATTGGTTTATATATATACAAGTTGAAATTAGTTGTCAGTCCGTCTGTCTCTTGCTTTTATGTTTACTGCACAGTTCTGTGTCACAGGGCTGGTCACATTTTGGTTACAAGGGTATTTGGTTTGGTCTATTTTCATGTCATTGTCTTTGGTGTTTAACAATAGCCCAGGCCAAGCTTCTCACTTGATTGGTCCTGTTTTCAAATATACATGTCATCCGCCATGTTACTAACCAGTCACACTATCACTGAATGAGGATTGTACACCTGCTTGATTTGTGCACAACTAAAAAGGTTAGTTAGTATACATTTTAGTTGTTATATAAATTGTAAATTAAAGTCTAATATAAATCATATATAAAATAGGTATAAATATGTTCATGATCAACCTAGTGTAAGTATATACACAATCTACCATTTAACCTGTATGAATGTGCGTATGGTTTGTTTTCTATGTTTAATCTGGTCAATATGCTGGCTAGAAATTATTGTTTTGTAACTGTTTACTGTATGGTGTAATATTGATATATCATGAATCCTGTATTGTTGATAAAATAGTAGACTTTCATTGTGGTGGTCACTATTATGTATATATGTTTCACTTAGTAGAATGGTAGCCCTTGATCAATGTATTATCCCTTATATAGGTTTACTATACGAGTTGGCTGTCGGGCTACTTGGTGCGTGGACACACTCCCGTGTCACCCACAGGGTAGGTTTCTTTGTACAGACTCTATGGTCTGTTTCATTATTAGGCCATGTTATTTTTTATAGTCTTCATGTCAACAGATACTTTGTTCATCACATGTAAACATGTAATCATATAAAGTCATTTGTGTAATGCATTACTGTGTAATACCTGTATATGATGATATATATGCGCATTTATGTACTTAGTTCATAATGATGATAAGTTGACCACGTGTGATTTTAAATCGAGTATATTGTTTATTTCTATTATTATTACAGAGTGCCTTCGTCCACTTTGCTGGAATAAACAGATTGTACCTCACAACCCGTAGCCTGTGGTTTATGTAACACACACCCTAACACCACTATATCATGGCTGCAACAATGGAGCCCCCAGTGAGGAAATCTGTGCAACGCCAATAGCCTATTTTGGACAGCATTCAACTGTGCCTCCGAGAGATGAATCTAATGTTCCATGTCTGATTCCAGTCTGGAGTTAGACTTGTGCCTCATGCCGGGTGAGAACTTTGATAAGGACTATATAGTCGTGTGACTATGATGACATTATATCAGTGATTTGTGGCTTTCTATGTATCTGACACTGATCTAGATCAAACAAGTTTGAACTTTTTGTGCATTGAAAAAAGAAATTCTTGGATAGCTATGCGCTCCTTCTTCATGATAAAGAGATTGATACGCCTCATCATTTGTATATATAATGTTTGAGTGAAGTATAGCCATAAAGGCTTCATGCTGTTTATTCCTTGTGTTGATATGTGGTATACCTTACTTGTATTGTGATACTTAATTGTATTTACACATATATCTGCTGGCTTGTCAAAGTTTATTTGGCTTAGAACTTAAAAGAAACATTTTTTTTGAATTCTATTTTTTTGTTTTTTATTTATAACAGGCACACTTGCATGCATGTTACTACCGTGCCATTAGTAACTTGAACTAGTACCGGTACTACTATAGTATATGTAGTTTTGTGTATTTGCCTTAGTTAACCTAGGGATGGCACTTGTTTTTCTTAAGCTTGGGTAAGGGACATAGATTGGTGATTGCTTGATGTGTGACTGAGTGGACTTTGAATACATTCTCAAAGTATGAATTAAATAGGAATAAATTCTTTATCACGTTGGTAGTAACTCAAATTAGTGTTATTTGATAAAGCATATTTGATAGATTTCACATATCACTGCACCAACACTGCATTATACTAACAATACTTCCTTTGTAGTATACAGGTCATAGTTATCGGTGTATTTTGGGCTTTTCTTCAAGGATTGGTTGATATATGGTCTCTGGTGTTGTTTCTTTGAGTTCTCCGTGACACTGAATAATTTTTGCTTATGCGTTGCGCTGCGTGCCCGCGCTGTGCCTGAAATTGCTGCTTTGCCGCGTTGTACTCTACGTTTGCTGCTTCTCGCGTAACCGCGTTGTACATCACCTTTACTGCTTTGCTTCGATGTTGCATTGCTAGTCTACACTTTGCTTCTGATACTCGATATATTTATTAAGTACTACAAGCTCTTGACAACAGGTAGGTATTATTACTGTACATATAGTTTTTTTTCCTAGTCTATTTACTTCTCTCTGCGATACAGTGTGCATTTAAAGTGGCATTGCTACTATACTTTGGTATACCATATACCTTTTACTTCAACAACAACAGTTGTTGCTCGTTAGAGTGTTTGCAATTCACGTTCAGTGAATATATGCGCATTCATTCATAATGGAACTCAGCAAGGAGGAACTCGGTAACATGGTGGAAGCATTCCGAAAGGCAGGACTAAACCCCAAATCTGACACACCCGAGGAATTCAAACATTGGGTTCAAGGATTATCACAGCAGGACATAGCCCCTGTGATTAAGAAGGAGCCTGAAGGAGAGAACCCAGAACCTGATATGAAATCATCCACAGTGACCTATCATAACTTTCCTAAACTGCCTTTCTTTAGTGGAGAGCCTGGTAAGGATGCGGAGTATGACTTATGGCGCTATGAGGTGAACTGTTTATTGGACACACAGACCTATTCCAAGGGGACAATCTTACAAGCAATACGGCGATCCCTAAAAGGAGAAGCAGCTTTAGCAGTGATGAAAGTGGGACCTAAGGCCACCATAACCGACATCTTATCAAAGCTTAAAAGTGCTTTTGGGACACTTAGAAGGAGCTCTGTACTTATGTCAAAGTTTTATAGTTCTTGTCAAGGAGAAAGCGAGGATGTCTCAGCATGGAGTTGTCGCTTGGAAAGGTTACTCTATCAGTTAGCAGAGCAGAAGTCCATACCACCAGCTGAGCAAGATGAAATGTTGAGGACAAGATTATGGGATGGACTGAATCCATCTCTTAAAAGTCTGGCTGGATATAAGTATGAGTCAATCACAAACTTTGATGATCTCCGCCTTTGCCTCAGGGAAATGGAGTTTGATCTTCAACGAATCACAGCTGACGCACCCAAGGTCAAGGCCAAACAAGCCACAGCTCATACAGCTAAAGCTTCAGTCACAGACTCATCTGGTCAGGACCTTTCTGAGATTAAGTCGATGTTCAAGGAGATGTACTCTGAGTTTGCTGATATGAAGGAACGACAGCAGCACATGACCGCTCAGATACAGCAACTGCAGCCTTCTCCATTTGTCAATTACAGCCACCAAGGACCTGCAGTTACATCATTCAGAGGTGGATATAACAGACATAGAGATAGAGGTCAATATAAACAGGGTAACGAAGGTTGGTCAGATACCATTCCTGGTAAAGTATCATCTGCTCCTTCTGTAGTACCACAGCAGACTACTTCCCATTCACCCTCTACACCTTCCCCAGGTCAGACTTCTTCACAGTCTCAGGAACCAGTCTGTTGGAGATGTGGCTACTCAGGTCACCTTGCTTATGGATGTCGGGTCAGGTTGGATCATCGCCGCAAACCTTTAAACTGGAACAGGCCTATGGGCAGGGGGGACTATCAGGCCTAGGATCACAACCCCGAGAAAAACCGTTAATGGACAGATTAGTAGGACATTCCAATGAAGTTGAAATAAAAGTTGAAAGTATTTCTGTTAGAGCTTTATTGGATACTGGAGCAACTGTTTCATTTGTATCGGAATCCTTTTATGACAGTTATCTCAGTCATATACCCATACAAGCCTTAGACTGCATGTTGGACATTGAACATGCTGGAGGGTCGTCTTTGCCATATAAGGGATTCGTGGAAGTTAACATTAAGTCTGTTGGTTGTGGCATCGACAAGGATACAGATACCTCATGTTTACTCTTAGTTGTCCCTGATACCAGATACAACTGCAGGGTACCAGTCCTATTGGGAACCAATGTCCTTTTACATCTGTTGGAAGAATGCAAGGCCTTTAACGGAACGAGATTTCTTCAGAAAGGTGACTTGTACACACCATGGTATTTGACATTCAGGAATTTGGTCATACAGGATAGGGAGTTGACTAAGAATGGAGGAAAGTTAGGACTTGTCAAATCTGCAGAATACAACAGTATTTCCGTACCGTCTAACAGTACAGTTACAATCAAAGGACAGTTGTGTCGTGGAATCCCATATCGTCAAGTATGTGCCCTCCTACAGGCTACAACAGTATCATCGGTATCATCTGATTTGGATATTGCACCAACTCTTGTCACTTATGATTACCACCGCCCTGAGGAAATAGAGGTACTTGTGTCCAATATCACCACACAGACAGCTGTTATACACCCCAGAGCTGTTCTTTGTGAACTACAACCGGTTACAATTGAGAGTTTATCACCTGGAACACCTGTGGACTCAGACAATTTACTGGAACAAGTGGAAGTTGAACAGGATGGATTAACAAGAGAGGAGATAGCACAGGGGCTTGAACTTATCATGAAGTTTAAACATATTTTCTCCAAAAGGGATGACGATTTAGGACACTCAACTATGGTTGAACACAGGATAGACTTACAGGATGACATTCCATTTAAACAGAGACATCGTCGAATTCCACCTGGCATGTATTGTGAAGTGAAGAGCCATCTTCAAGATCTTTTGTCTGCTGGAGTTATCCGACCTTCACATAGCCCATGGGCCTCTAATGTTGTCTTGGCGAAGCGCAAGGATGGACGATTGAGACTATGTATAGATTTTCGCGAGCTCAACCGACGCACGATCAAGGACAGTTATGCACTTCCGCGAATTGAAGAACTTCTTGATTGTCTGGGAGGAATGAAATACTTCTCTGTTCTTGACATGAAAAGCGGATACCATCAGGTTGAAATGGCAGAAGAACATAAACAGAGGACTGCGTTTACAGTTGGCCCGCTAGGGTTTTATGAATATAACAGAATGCCTTTTGGATTGTCGAACGCACCAGCCACGTACCAAAGACTTATGGAAAAATGTTTGGAAGGACTCCACTTGAAAATTTGTTTGATATATCTGGATGATCTCATAATCTTTTCTAAGAACTATCAGGAACATGTAGAACGGCTTGAGCTTGTTTTTAGACGTCTTCAAGAATGTGGACTTAAGCTTGCCCCGAAGAAATGCAAATTCTTCAAGACGAAGGTACGTTATGTTGGATATATCGTATCAGCAGATGGAATAGAAGCTGACCCAGACAAGATTGACAAGATCAGACATTGGCCAACACCTACCACGGCAGAGGAAATAAGACGCTTTCTTGGATTCGCCGGTTATTATCGGAAATTTGTCAAAGATTTCTCCAAGATTGCCAGACCACTATCGGACCTTCTGCCCAAGACAATTCCAAAGAAGCACAGAATAGCCAAATCAAGGACTCAACAGGAATGGTATTGGGGATCAGCACAAGAAGAAGCTTTCAACCAGTTGAAGACCTGCCTTTCTATCCCACCAGTGTTGGGATATGCTGATTTCTCCAAACCATTTGAACTGCATACGGACGCAAGTACACAAGGTCTTGGAGCTGTTTTATATCAAGAAGACGGAGGTAAACAACGTGTGATTGCATATGCCAGCAGAGGGTTGAGTAAATCAGAAAGGAATTATTCTGCACACAAATTGGAATTCTTATGTTTGAAATGGGCCATCTCTGAAAAATTCCATGATTACCTCTATGGAAACAACTTTGTTGTACTCACGGACAATAACCCACTCACCTATGTCTTGACGACAGCTCACCTCGATGCAACGGGACACAGATGGTTGGCGGCCTTGTCAAGTTATAACTTCACCATCACCTACAGACCAGGAAAACGTAATGTAGACGCAGATGCTTTGTCCAGATTACCGAAAAGGAATGACACTGACACGGAAGAACTATCTACGGATCTTGTAAATGCAATCTGTAACAAGGTTCAGGTCTGTAGCTTGGTGGAAACCTTGTGTCTGTCTGCTGATGTTATAGGTGATGATGACTCAGAAGTATTTGATGACAAGTGCCACAACAATGCCAAGGAATGGAGTCACGCTCAACGTAGAGACCCAGCTATTGCCACAATTATGGACAGTCTTGAAGTTGGACATAAACCCGACAGGACTCTATATATTGGAGACAAGGAAATGACCTCACTGTTAAAGAGCTACCATCATTTTAAGATCAAAAATGGAGTTTTACACAGAATCACCTGTCCAGAGGACTCGGAGCAGGAACAGCTTGTGTTACCTTCCAGATGTAGATCAGCAGCCCTTCGTAGCTTGCATGACAATGTCGGACACCCTGGGAGAGACAGGACATTTTCCCTGCTGAAAGAACGTTTTTTCTGGCCAGGCATGGCACGTGATGTTGACATGCATCTACAGACATGTGAACGGTGTGTCAAGAGGAAAGCAACTACAGACAGAGCCCCGTTAGTTAACATCGAGACCACCCAACCACTAGAGTTGGTTTGCATGGATTTTCTTACCTTAGAATCATCAAAGGGAGGACACCAGTACGTGCTAGTAATCACTGATCACTTTACTAGATACGCCCAAGCTTATCCTTGCAAGAACACCTCGGCCAAAACCACGGCAGATCTATTCTTCAACAACTTTGTCAGTCACTACGGGTTACCAAAAAGGATCCACTCCGACAAAGGTGCTAACTTTGTTGGAAATCTAATGACCGAGCTCTGTAAGCTATTAAGAATTGACAAGTCCTCCACTACCCCATATCACCCCATGGGTAATGGAATGTGTGAAAGATTTAACAGAACTCTGTTGAACATGCTGGGAACACTGGATCCAGAAGCTAAGAAAGATTGGAAGACACAGGTAGCGCCCTTAGTGCATGCCTATAACTGTACAAGGCATGAGACCACCAAGCACTCTCCATACTTTCTCATGTTTGGAAGACACCCAAGACTTCCCATAGATTTAGCCTTTGGCCTTGACATAGACCCAGTAAAGCCAAGATCTATGCTCAAGTATACAGAGTCATTGAGAAAGAGACTACAACAGGCATATGAACTGGCTGCGGAAAAAGCGAAGATATCACAGAACAAGCAGAAGGAGAATTACGATCAACGAGCCAGAGCTGCTGTTTTGGACATAGGCGACAGAGTACTAGTGAAGATTGTAGCCTTTGAAGGCCGCCATAAAATCGCTGATAAATGGGAAAACGATGTCTATGTTGTGATCAACCAGCCAAATGCATCTGTACCCGTATACCAAGTAGGGAAAGAGAATGGTGAAGGACGAAGAAAGACCCTACATAGGAATCTCTTGCTTCCTGTAGGATCTCTACATCAACAGGATATTCCAGTGCCAAAGCCACGTAGAACTTTACCAGCACCAGCATCTAAGACAGTGCCAAAGCTACGTAGGGTTTTACCATCAGCACCACTCTCTAAGACAAGATCATCACGGAGATTACAAGGAAAAGAACCTGATCCTGAAGATAGTGACGAAGAATCTGTGATAGTCCCCATCACTTCATTCCAACCGTCAGTTTCGAGTGCTGAAGCAGTCGATGGGCCAACTGAGGTTATAACAGAGGAGGACACAAGAGCCACTGCGATGGATGATGATGCAGAGGAATCGACAGATCTACCTACTCCAGATCAAGAGCAGGAAGAGGAATCATCTTCAGAGGAAGCTTCTCCCGATGACGTCACAGTGCTTCAAGACGTCACGCCTGTAGTTTCGGAAGAAACACCAGATCGGGATACAGGTGATGATGACGTCGCACCGACAGATAACCCTCCACCCCCAAGAAGATCCACCCGTGAAAGAAGTAGACCACAGTGGATGGAAAGTGGAGATTATGTCATGTCAGTTACCATGGATACAGACTGGAGGAGACGAGCAGAGTACCTGGCATCTCTGATTGGAACCGGTGTGCTGGATGATGTCAGTGCTCGTAACACACTTCTCAACCTTATCTCTGGATGCAGCAAATGATGTGGACACCATTTTGTTGCAGGGGGGGAAATGTGTAACAGGGATTTATTTAGTTAAGTTATGTCGTGTACATAAATGTATAATTAATCATTTTAATCTTATTTCAGGTTTTAGTGATCCAGCAGACGACGATTGGTTTATATATATACAAGTTGAAATTAGTTGTCAGTCCGTCTGTCTCTTGCTTTTATGTTTACTGCACAGTTCTGTGTCACAGGGCTGGTCACATTTTGGTTACAAGGGTATTTGGTTTGGTCTATTTTCATGTCATTGTCTTTGGTGTTTAACAATAGCCCAGGCCAAGCTTCTCACTTGATTGGTCCTGTTTTCAAATATACATGTCATCCGCCATGTTACTAACCAGTCACACTATCACTGAATGAGGATTGTACACCTGCTTGATTTGTGCACAACTAAAAAGGTTAGTTAGTATACATTTTAGTTGTTATATAAATTGTAAATTAAAGTCTAATATAAATCATATATAAAATAGGTATAAATATGTTCATGATCAACCTAGTGTAAGTATATACACAATCTACCATTTAACCTGTATGAATGTGCGTATGGTTTGTTTTCTATGTTTAATCTGGTCAATATGCTGGCTAGAAATTATTGTTTTGTAACTGTTTACTGTATGGTGTAATATTGATATATCATGAATCCTGTATTGTTGATAAAATAGTAGACTTTCATTGTGGTGGTCACTATTATGTATATATGTTTCACTTAGTAGAATGGTAGCCCTTGATCAATGTATTATCCCTTATATAGGTTTACTATACGAGTTGGCTGTCGGGCTACTTGGTGCGTGGACACACTCCCGTGTCACCCACAGGGTAGGTTTCTTTGTACAGACTCTATGGTCTGTTTCATTATTAGGCCATGTTATTTTTTATAGTCTTCATGTCAACAGATACTTTGTTCATCACATGTAAACATGTAATCATATAAAGTCATTTGTGTAATGCATTACTGTGTAATACCTGTATATGATGATATATATGCGCATTTATGTACTTAGTTCATAATGATGATAAGTTGACCACGTGTGATTTTAAATCGAGTATATTGTTTATTTCTATTATTATTACAGAGTGCCTTCGTCCACTTTGCTGGAATAAACAGATTGTACCTCACAACCCGTAGCCTGTGGTTTATGTAACACACACCCTAACACCACTATATCATGGCTGCAACAACAGTACAAATACCATACCAATACTAACTATGACACGATGAACTGAATATACGGATGCTGCTTTCTAGATTTTCTTGACAATGCCTATTAATATTTTTACAACTTAAGAATGTGGAATCCCCTGACTCTGTCGAACTGTTTCGCTGCCCACCTGTTTGACATTGAAGACCAAGGTGATGCCCACGTCCAGGAGGAACTCCTGTGCCAGTCTCGACACGGACTTCTCCACGATCAGCACACTCGGACGGAATGCTGCAATCTTTGCAACACTGTTCTTCAGAAACTCCCTCTCCTACAATACACAAGTACCAGACACAAGCCTGAGAGGAAACATCAACATGCTACAAGAATACACAAACAATCCTTGTATGTCAATTACCTGCAGTATCTGAGGTTCCAGGGAGGAGAACCTGTTGTATACCTCTAATACTCCATACTAACAGACAACTGGATGACGAACATGGTACAGAGTCTGACCTGCAGTATCTGAGGTTCCAGGGAGGAGAACCTGTATACCTCTAATACTCCATACTAACAGACAACTGGGAGAAGAACATGGTATAGAGTCTGACCTGCAGTATCTGAGGTTCCAGGGAGGAGAACCTGTTGTATACCTCTAATACTCCATACTAACAGACAACTGGGAGAAGAACATGGTATAGAGTCTGACCTGCAGTATCTGGGGTTCCAGGGAGGAGAACCTGTTGTATACCTCTAATACTCCATACTAACAGACAACTGGGAGAAGAACATGGTATAGAGTCTGACCTGCAGTATCTGGGGTTCCAGGGAGGAGAACCTGTTGTATACCTCTAATACTCCATACTAACAGACAACTGGGAGAAGAACATGGTATAGAGTCTGACCTGCAGTATCTGGGGTTCCAGGGAGGAGAACCTGTTGTATACCTCTAATACTCTATACTAACAGACAACTGGGAGAAGAACATGGTATAGAGTCTGACCTGCAGTATCTGGGGTTCCAGGGAGGAGAACCTGTTGTATACCTCTAATACTCCATACTAACAGACAACTGGGAGAAGAACATGGTATAGAGTCTGACCTGCAGTATCTGGGGTTCCAGGGAGGAGAACCTGTTGTATACCTCTAATACTCCATACTAACAGACAACTGGGAGAAGAACATGGTATAGAGTCTGACCTGCATATCTGGGGTTCCAGGGAGGAGAACCTGTTGTATACCTCTAATACTCCATACTAACAGACAACTGGGAGAAGAACATGGTATAGAGTCTGACCTGCAGTATCTTGGGTTCCAGGGAGGAGAACCTGTTGTATACCTCTAATACTCCATACTAACAGACAACTGGGAGAAGAACATGGTATAGAGTCTGACCTGCAGTATCTGGGGTTCCAGTGAGGAGAACCTGTTGTATACCTCTAATACTCCATACTAACAGACAACTGGGAGAAGAACATGGTATAGAGTCTGACCTGCAGTATCTGGGGTTCCAGTGAGGAGAACCTGTTGTATACCTCTAATACTCCATACTAACAGACAACTGGGAGAAGAACATGGTATAGAGTCTGACCTGCAGTATCTGAGGTTCCAGGGAGGAGAACTTGTTCTCCACTCTCTGGTACTCAATGGCCCCCTTAAGGAGGAGGATCTGGGGGTTTGGAATCTGCTGTTGCATCTTCTTGTGGGCTATGTTCTTGGTGAACACCACACCATGCAACATGAATGTGTCCTGCTTAAGATCTCCAGGAATCTGAAGCAGAAATATCTTATACAGAGCATAAAAGTGGATTTTGTTCACTAAATTCACTATTTTCCCGACTATTAAACAATGACTGTAAAATTAAACTGAAAGTATGTCACAAATGTGATAAATGGGCTTTAAAACCTGGGAATATTCCAGACTCACCATGATGCATGAATACCTCTCTTGTTCTTAGTGAAAATGTGAAAATATACAGGATACTATCTCATTCCTTGTTGACAACTTTTGCCAAGAGAGTTTTTAATCAATATTTATTAAGAATGATGCATTTGTACAAAATTTAGAAAATGAATGAAATAAGAAAACCTATTAAAACAAAACAACATATACGTCAGTGTTGGCAATGGCCGAACCTACAATGTGTCGAGTGTTCTCACCTTCTTAATGTGGATGTACTTCCTGATGTCCGGGTCATCTCCCTCGACCTGGACGTCAGGCCGCACGAAGCGGCTGACCTGGAGGATGATGTAGGAGATGACCTGCTGCCAACCCAGAGACAGACCATGCTGACTCAGCAACTGCTTCAACATAGCATCCCACATCTCCGAGTGGGCTTTGCTGGATACAGACAACATAGGATGTATCACATGAGCCCCACAAACACACATTTGTCCATGTTAAGTCAAAGCAAAGTAATCTGCAGAAGTCTGCCTCAGAATGTGTGAGATTGTGGTACATTTACAGAAGTAATGCCCACAAATCACTGCTGAGGTTGTTAATCATAATAACAACAGCAACAACAAAACAGTGTTATCACTATCCTGCGTCATGGGGCACATTAGAAATTTAAATGTTCATATAGAAGTGAATATTAACAATAAAATAACTAATTTCAGTAGTTCCTGAGATAATTTGCACCCAGTAAAATAACATGGATCAGGGGCTGTAACTCTGTAAACAAATAATTTAAAGGGACCAATTTAAACTAAGTCTTGACAAGTATCTCCAAGAATAAGCATGCAAACCTTCATTCATGCAACTTCAGTAGTTTCTGAGTAAACTTGTTCCCATTTCACGCACTATGCACTTAGTGAAATAACATTGATCAAGTCCTGTAAGTCTGTAAAAATATAATTGACTGTTTGACCAATTTTCGAACTCATTCTCTTAGATGAGCATGCAAACTTTCATTAATGTAACTTAAGTAGTTTCTGAGAAAAACTTGTCCCCATTTCACACAGTTGAAAAGCAAAGAGCAAGGCCCATAACTCTGTAAAAAATGAATGTACAACAGCAACTCATTTGAGATCATGACATCAGTGTGTAAAATTTCATTTCTCTAACTCGAATAGTTTATATGTATTGTGCTTTTACAATCTGGATATCATGCTCAAAGTGCACTGTTATTATCCCGGTCAATTGATCAGTATGCTCTGCTCCCTGGCCTCATACAACTCAAGCTGTCTGTGATGCTGTAGAAGGTTAACAGTTACGTTACCATCTCATCCTACTGGGTACCCATTAATTACTGGGTCACATGCCATAGGAGTCATCATGTGCTTCAGTGCTCTTCACTGGTGGTCATGTAAGGTGACTTATTCATCCAACCAAAATACCCACCTGAGACCTGCAACTATCTTATCAAATGGAGAATATTACATGAATTTGGATATTCATGATATCTGTATCCTTACCCCGCATATATATTACAATTTCCTTCCTCTCTTTGATCACATAACACAGAACCAAAAACCTTTTCCATCCCATAGCCCTTCGTTACAGGAGTTATCTGTCCGTGATACTTCACTGCCCCCTCATCAGCACGTAGCTTGACGGGCAACAGCCAGGTGGGCATGTATTGCCTGTCATTGCCTGTCACATACTTACTCAAACATGCAAAACTAGGCTGCATGGTCAAGTACCTTTGAACCTTTGATATACGAGACCCAGAGGATCAGAATCTCAAGTTGGAGTGAATAACAACATTAAAAAATTGCAAAAGTCCACATGGAAGATGGCGCTCGGCAACCCAGGACGAAGAGAGGTGTCATCTTCATGGCCAAAAAAGGTTGGGGTAAAAGGCTGTGGTGATTGGATCCCACGATGGCCCCCTTTTAGGAGTCAATCCCAAAAATGGACGCAGGTCCCAGGAGGAACACAGATCCCAGGTGGAGTGTTACAGATAAAGCGCCAGTTGCTGGATCAAAGGTATGTTCGGGAACTCGTGGACAACCTCAGAGGTGTGTCCAATGTCATTCAAGATAAGAGACACTAGTGGAAGTCAGTCAAGGTGACATTGAAGTGCTAACCATGATTGTGCAGGGTGAAGACGCCTGGGCGCGACAGGATACAGTGCTGAACAGCAATGTAATTATCATGGCTGTCACTTCCAAGATCAAATGTAGTCAAGGTAGAAAAAATGGTATTCATGGACGTCGTATGTGTAGAAAAAGCACGTTTTTGGTTCTGTATTGTATCAGGATAAGAAATAATTCTGTTTTTGAAAATTCAAAATATATTGCTGTAGTAAATAACTGTACCAACCTGAGCCGTTCATATGCAAGTTTCTCTCCATTCTCTTCACGGAGCTGGTCGGCATTCCTCCAGCCGTGGGGGCAGGTGATGGTGTCAGCTGAGGCAGGGACCGACTTCCCCACAAACAGGGAACCTGTTGCACAGAGAGACAGTGAAGGGAAGTCATATGGTCAGCGTAATGATGTGGGACGAATATCATGTGATCATCAATAGATGTGAAGATTAGTCAGTGTGGTGTTACACATCTCCCTTTACCCCCATCCCAACATAGAAGTGGCACAGAGTCAGTGTGGTGTTACACAACAGCCATTACCCCCATCCCAACATAGAAGTAGCACAGAGTCAGTGTGGTGTTACACAACAGCCATTACCCCCATCCCAACATAGAAGTGGCACAGAGTCAGTGTGGTGTTACACAACAGCCATTACCCCAATCCCAACATAGAAGTGGCACAGAGTCAGTGTGGTGTTACACAACAGCAATTACCCCCATCCCAACATAGAAGTGGCACAGAGTCAGTGTGGTGTTACACAACAGCCATTACCCCCATCCCAACATAGAGTTGGCACAGAGTCAGTGTGGTGTTACACAACAGCCATTACCCCCATCCCAACATAGAAGTAGCACAGAGTCAGTGTGGTGTTACACAACAGCCATTACCCCCATCCTAACATAGAAGTGGCACAGAGTCAGTGTGGTGTTACACAACAGCCATTACCCCCATCCCAACATAGAAGTGGCACAGAGTCAGTGTGGTGTTACACAACAGCAATTACCCCCATCCTAACATAGATGTAGCACAGAGTCAGTGTGGTGTTACACAACAGCCATTACCCCCATCCCAACATAGAAGTGGCACAGAGTCAGTGTGGTGTTACACAACAGCCATTACCCCCATCCCAACATAGAAGTGGCACAGAGTCAGTGTGGTGTTACACAACAGCCATTACCCCCATCCCAACATAGAAGTAGCACAGAGTCAGTGTGGTGTTACACAACAGCCATTACCTCCATCCCAACTTAGATGTAGCACAGAGTCAGTGTGGTGTTACACAACAGCCATTACCCCCATCCCAACATAGAAGTGGCACAGAGTCAGTGTGGTGTTACACAACAGCCATTACCCCCATCCTAACATAGAAGTAGCACAGAGTCAATGTGGTGTTACACAACAGCCATTACCCCAATCCCAACATAGAAGTGGCACAGAGTCAGTGTGGTGTTACACAACAGCCATTACCCCAATCCCAACATAGAAGTGGCACAGAGTCAGTGTGGTGTTACACAACAGCCATTACCCCCATCCCAACATAGATGTAGCACAGAGTCAGTGTGGTGTTACACAACAGCCATTACCCCCATCCTAACATAGAAGTAGCACAGAGTCAGTGTGGTGTTACACAACAGCCATTACCCCCATCCCAACATAGATGTGGCACAGAGTCAGTGTGGTGTTACACAACAGCCATTACCTCCATCCTAACATAGAAATGGCACAGAGTCGGTGTGGTGTTACACAACAGCCATTACCTCCATCCTAACATAGATGTGGCACAGAGTCGGTGTGGTGTTACACAACAGCCATTACCCCCATCCCAACATAGATGTAGCACAGAGTCAGTGTGGTGTTACACAAGGGTTATAGCGAAAACGGCACCTCAGCAAAACGTCACCGGGCGAAAACGGCACCGATTGGCGAAAACGGCACCTCGACTGGAGCGAAAACGGCACCTTTTTTTTTTTTTTTACCTTGGTCAAATGAATGATATTACACTTACATTGTAACTTGCAAAGGCCAATAATTGTGAGATGTTAAAACAAGTTTACATTAGAAATTAGCCTCTGCTCCAACTATAATCCAACTTAGCTTATACGCAACTCAACTTATGGTGAAAACATAACATGCTTTGACGAAAGATAATAGAAATTAAACTCACATCGTCTCTTACAAACACAACTAATTGTGAAATAAAACAAATAAGAAATTAGCCCCCTACTCCAATTTACTCACCGACTTTTATTCACTATACGCTTTGAAGTTTTAAGAACCTTTACTCAATTTAAGCTGAAACTGTATTTAATAGGCCTAACATGGTGCTGTCAGATCACAACTATTCACAATGGCCTTTCGATGTGTTGCATGCGAGAAGAATGACAGAAAAAAAATCAACATGCTGTATCATGTGATAACTGTGACCAGTGGAACCGGACTTTCTATGGGCCCGTTATATGGAAATTTGCCGTACTGACTTCCCTTTCCGCCGTGTGAAATGCGTAGCTCCCGTCATTGAAGAGGTGATCGTATGAAATGAGAGTACCAAACCTATCGGATGTTCACATTACGGCTTCAGATGTACTCAATACATCAAATACCATGTAAATAAACCCTATATATTACTACAAAAATCGTTGTTATCGTTATTAAACATAGATAGAGGTTCCGTTTTCGCCCGACACATAGTAGCCGTTTTCGCCAAATGCGGTGCCATTTTCGCCAGAGAAATCGGTGATGTTTTGCTGAGGTGCCGTTTTAGCCTGCACCCGTTACACAACAGCCATTACCCCCATCCCAACATAGAAGTGGCACAGAGTCAGTGTGGTGTTACACAACAGCCATTACCTCCATCCTAACATAGAAGTAGCACAGAGTCAGTGTGGTGTTACACAACAGCCATTACCCCCATCCCAACATAGAAGTAGCACAGAGTCAGTGTGGTGTTACACAACAGCCATTACCCCCATCCCAACATAGAAGTAGCACAGAGTCAGTGTGGTGTTACACAACAGCCATTACCCCCATCCCAACATAGATGTGGCACAGAGTCAGTGTGGTGTTACACAACAGCCATTACCTCCATCCTAACATAGAAATGGCACAGAGTCGGTGTGGTGTTACACAACAGCCATTACCTCCATCCTAACATAGAAATGGCACAGAGTCGGTGTGGTGTTACAGATGAGCTCTATATTTTCACCTTCTTTCATTACAAACTCTTTCGTATTATCAGTTACAATTATACAAATCACTGGCCAAGGAGGTATGCAATGCAAAAATGCCATATTACATGCATGACATTATCATTTGAATTGTAGTCAACACAGATACCTTTGAGAAAGTCATCAGACAGCCCAGTGCTTGGCAGGGGTTCATCCAAGCCATCTCGGGTCACGGCTGCCACTAAAACACATGATGGCAGTGCATAACAAAATCACACCTAAACATGTTAACTTCACAAATTTCATGCTGAATAATTCTAACAAAATTTTAAATTATCTAATAAATTGTATATTCATATACTTATCCTATCTCACACTATGCATTTCTTCTTATTCTTCGATCTTGGTGTGGAAACGCCCTAGAACAAAGTTTCCAGCTTCAAAAACACCACTCACTCAAACACATCCCATACATCACCACTGTGATCATGGTTCACGCACCACTAAAATCACATGCGACACGACCCCAGCGACCTGATCACCTGACATATCCCGCACCCTCATTCACAATCTAGAGTGTACAGGCTGGTGTAACTGTGATGCGGGGATGGTTGGGTGGGCACTTAGCATGCGAGATAGGATAAATATATAAATATACAATTTATTAGAAAATTTACAAATTTTTAAACTTATCCTATCTCACACTATGCATTTATACCACGGTTGGATGGTGGGGCGCAGATACCTTAGCCTGTAAGGACCTCAACCGTGAGACCTACACGAGGAAGCTGGAACTAATCAGGAAAATTCAAAGGCTTTTACAAGGATTACAACCAACGTCTAAGCACGTGTCCCTCTAACACCAGCTGCAGGAGCCAGCACAATCAAGAAGATCATCATGAACGTAAAGTTCGAGGTTTTATCCACAAGTGAGTTCATAGTCAGCCAGGAGAAGTGACGGAAGAAGACAGGGAGATCCCATGCTTGAGGGCCAAGTCTGGAAGATTGGTCCGTAAGGTGGTATGAGCGAATCAATGTCCGAAGGTCAACAACAGTGGAAACCTTGGAGCCTGAAGTCATGGTAACGCCTGAATTACTCGCAGTCTGAAAGATCTGTGTAGATCCATCGGTTCGGGAACTGTAGCCAGTTTTATCCCATTAATGAGTTGTTGGTGCAGAACTGATCGCTCCCCAGTAAGTGCCCACTGTCAAACCATAAGCTGCCTTGTACTTCTTAAGTGACATAGGTAATCTGCTAGTTGTGGTGTAGTAGCTTGGCTGCAGAAAACCCTGGATCTAGCAAACTGTTGGAAACTTTTCCATTTATCGTCACAGAGATTCTCGTTGATTGACAAAGTGCTAAAGAGGTTGCCTTAGCTGCTCTAATGGAAAATCCTCTTACGAGACTGCTCTTGATATACTCCATATATGAAATTCTGGTCTTGGATGGACCTGTTTGGAGGGAGGATGTAGCAATAGATGTGACCAGTTTGGAAGTCTTAGTAGTGGAATCACTGCCAGTTCGACGAGCTCTGGAACCCAAGTTCTTGTCGGTCAAAGGGCGGTACCAACAGCAGTTGTAGGTAGCTTGTGTGTAGAATCTTGTAGTATCCGTGGTATCAAGGCTGGTGGGGGAAACGCATACGCGTTTAGGTCCTCCCATGACATTGTCAGAGTATCGACTGACCAGGCTAGTGGGCCCGGTGCTGGTGACACAATGTTATCTGATGCAAATAGGGTTACTAGTAGACAACCTTTTCTTTTATTGCCAGTTGGAATGTTTCGGCTGTAGCTTCCATTCTGTTGGTGATAGTCTGGCTGGTCTGGATAAGGTGTCTGCTAATCCATTTGCCGCTCCCGGTATATGTCTTGCCTTTAAAGGTAAGTTGAGCTTGTCTACTAAAGGTGAAAAGTCAACTGTAGGGGAGTCTCTGATTTCATCGTGCCTTGAAGGTGTATAGTGTATGCCACAGTTGAAATGAGTGTCCCGATGATCAGATGTTGGTTTCTTGACTGTGGGGTCCAATTAAATATTGCCCGGATTACAGATTCATATTCCAGATAATTGATGTGGTAGAGCTGTCTGCTTCTGACCGATGCACGAAGAGAGAGAGGTCTGTTGATTCTGTGGAAGAATGATGATCTTATGACTGAGGACGATCTGTTGTTCATCTGTTTTATCTAACAAAAGTTATATCTGGGATAACATCTTCTCAGTAAAGAACATATTCTCAAACTGTATGGGGTTGACTACCGTCCGTGATTCGAACCCACACTGCCAGAGTAAGGGACCTAATCCTCAGCACACAAAGTCAGCGAACTAACCCACTCAGCCACCGAGGCTTCCTGCAGGTAAAGTGGACGAGTTCTTGATTGGAAGATGTGTCGATGTATCGATTAACCCATGTGTCGATGTATCGATGTGTTGATGCGGCTTGACTTCCAAAGCTGAGTAAAGGGCTGTAGTCCAACACAATGACTGTGGAATATTGTTATTTCATGTGAGAAGAAACAACAAAAACAAACAAAACAACAAACTATACTCAACAACAAATGTTCCTGTGACATCAATATTTTAGTTCATTTTTCAAACACGTTAAGTTTGGTTTTCAATATTGTAGTACATGTATGGAATCAAGTCAAAAAAACGCAACTGCTACAGAAAAGCATGCATTTCATGCAAAAGTTGACTTTTATGCAAGCCCCATGCATTTCACTACCCAAGAATGGGTATAAAAACGTGCGTTTACGGGATTCCATATGCATTGTTTAGCATTGTGCTGAGAACAAACACTCAGAAAAACAACAAAATTACGCAATTATTCAACATTACGAAATGCCACGCCTGTCCGAAAATGAGTGTCTGTGAGCCATTGGTATGCTTGAAGCAAGATCGAGTCAACATGATGTTGCAAGACAATTTAACGTCCACCGAAACACCATTTGGTGTTTATGGCAACGTTGGAGACCAACAGTCAGAGACCATCCTCGGAGTGGCAGGCCACGCGTAACCAATAATCGACAAGACAACTGGATTCGAACAACACACCTACGAAATCGATTCCAGCAAGCAACAGTGACTGCAAGAAGCATCCCTGGCATTCGACGAATATCTTCACAAACCCTACGTCGTCGCCTCAGATGTGCAGGGATTGTTGCCAGAACACCCGCCAGACGTCCCATTTTGACAGGAAACCACTGTCAAGCACGTCTACAGTGGTGCAGACAGTGTCTACGCTGGACGGCCATGCAGTTGGGACAAGTTCTATTCACTGACGAGTCTCGTTTTCACCTCAGCCACAGCGATGGACGGATTCGAGTGTACCAACGTCGAGGTGAACGTTACTTCAATCATTGTGTCATGGAAGAAGATCGGTTCGGGGGCGGCAGCGTTTTGGTATGGGGTCGGATTACAGCAGGGCAGAGGGCGCATTTGATAGTGGTAGAGGGAAATCTCATTGGACAGCACTACCACGACGAGATCATCGGCCCTGTTGTTCTATCGTTTTTGCGTCGTCATGGCCCAGGCATTACCTTTCAACATGACAACGCCCGGCCTCATATTGCTGACTTGTTCAGGATTCTCTTCAACAACGTGAATGTCATCCCCTGGCCGGCTCGCTCCCCTGATCTCTCACCAATCGAGCACATGTGGGATGAAATGGATCGGCGCCTTCGACATCAACCACGTGTTCCACAGACACTCCAGGAACTTCGAAACATGCTCCAGCAGATATGGACAGATATCCAACAGGACTTTGTGCGAGGCCTGGTCCATTCGATGAGACGAAGATGTGTTGCTTGCATCGCAACCAGAGGTGGACACACACGCTATTGATTTGTAAATTGAAATTTTGGCATGCTCATGTTTTTTATGAAATCACGCATTTTCTGAAGTCAGTATGGCAAATTAAACCATTTGAACACTTACAGAAGTCTTTTATCTGTTGCAAACCGAAATTGTTTCAGATTTGGTAAAAACCATAACTTTGCAATAAATCTTATTCAATGTCACAGGAACTTTTGTTGTTCAGTATAGATATGTATACAAAGGCATATTTAGCCAGTTCTAGCTAACTTTATTTCACACATGTATCGGCATCGGGAAAGGATTTGTTTAATAAGATTTCATAGACTAAAAGTTCGTCTAGGTGAAGGGATACAGACGACAGAACCATACACTAGCCATTTAAAAGCGAGACGACTGTAGAAGCCAGGGAGCGGACACATGCACAGGGGTGTGGTCCGCACAGAGGTGGGAATCACAGCAGTCAAACGAGACGGAAAGCGATTCTCCTCAATGGACAGCGATGTAACCATCGCCGAATTGATTAATATCTTGTTAAGCAAGAAAACGAAGGTACAGCCACAGGGGATAACACAATCGTTTGGGTTTCAAAGCAGAGGAAAAAACAACATGCACGAAAACCATAAACAATGCCTTGAACCAACGAACAGTCACCTTTATCGAACACTTAGCTAAGTAAGTTGAGATCCAGTTCTGACAAGGCTATACACAGTAGACATAGTTATTAATACCACACACTCTTCATGGTAACGGTAAACTTTAGTAGTGAAGTTGTATATTTAAATTTTATATGTACAAAAAATAAAATTCTCTGTTCAAGTATAACGTCCGAACGCCATAGCGATAGAATTGAGAATGAGGGTGCTGGATATTTCAGGTGATCAGGTCACTGGGGTCTTGTAGCACAGGATTTTAGTGGTGCGTGAACCATGATCACAGTGGTGATTTGGTGATGTATGGGGTGTGTTTGGGTGAGTGGTGTTTTTGAAGTTGGAAACTTTGTTCTATGATGTTTCCACACCAAGATCGAAGAATAAGAAGAAATGCATAGTGTGAGATAGGATAAGTTTAAAAATTCTTGTATGTTTCAGAGTTAAAAATGAATAATTACATTTTGACAGATCATTGGGCACACTGCCACTGTCTGAGCGTTCACTGACATAGAAGATAGCTCGAGAGCCAGACTCAGAAGAAATGCTTTTCCTCTGATCAGAGTCTGTTGTGCTTGACCGCTGGTCTTCACCCATGGAGGCTGAAAAGAGATGAACTATGATCATTAGACAATTTAAGAACATCTTTAGACCAAACATTTAATGATACAACCTGCTACAAGAATGTACAAAATGGAATCTTTTCATTAGGCTAAAAAAAAATATCTGGTTCTCAGGCACTGCCGCATCATCATAAAGTCTGCCGCATGTTTCGTTTTTATTTCCATTTTCAACAACAACAAAATCCTTAAATCTTCCGCGTCTCGAACACACGACCTCAACTGTGCAATGCTACAATACTTAAAAACAATGCGATCCAATATAACGTGCAGTTACTTCCCTTTCCATGCGCACTGCTTTACTGCGCATCTCGTGTGTTATGGTCATGGCGGCAATAGGAGTTTGTGTGCTTGCTTTGCTGTTTGTAAATTTGGTCAATGAAAAAATTAAATTTGCAATACAACATCACTAGACGTGATGATGGTATTCAAATACAAATTCAATGGTATTTGTGTACTGTATGAGGGACAATGCGGAGGTTATTTGTCTCGTAAAATAAGCGAGAAATTGATGCTAATTTATATACCCCGGCTATAAAGCCAATCGAATAAAGCACATCACTAGTGCATACAAAATCTCTACATTTGCAATAAATGTGTTTGTCTTCTGCAGAAAAAAACCAATTACATCGTAGCCCTTCAGCGAATTCAGAGAAACGGAACAGATTATATCATTTAAACTTGGTCAGTACAAATTTGAAATTTAAGATAAAACATCACTAAACATAATGATTAGCCGATTAAATTGTATTTCCCTGTTGTGATTGGCATTGTTTTATATGCAGAGATTAACATTACCATGCATCTTGTCTCGTAAACTAAGCCGGAAGTAGCATTCAGCTGTATACACTTTTCTCGGAATCTACCGGTGATTCGGCCAATAATATAACTTTAAAGAATTTTGATACAATGAGCGGAAGAATTGTATCTGAAACTATTATTTTGTCAGGAATAATTTATTCCAATATAATGTGTAGTTGCAGCTTTACTATATATATGTGAAATAAATTAATAACCATAAGCGTAGCACTTTGGTTCAGCTGATCGCCATTGCCCTAAATGTTTTCGAATGGAAGAATTTGACCAATCACCGTCCATGTGCCTGCGATTGCGAAAACTTAATGTTGACATATAATAGTCAAACTACAACAAGTATGACTTTCAGCGATTCAATGTATGGCATTTACGATATATATATCCATTCTCTATCCACTAAAGTTCGTTTCAAGGCGTCAATAGCGGTAATTTGACCATGGTTGCTGTGAATAACGGCGAGTTGTGCGATCTTCCGATCACTTCACATACGATTTTGCCAAAATGAATTGAAACAATATTGAATGAAATGTTGAATAAAAATATTAAACAGATTACCAACATAAGTCCTGATATATTATGAACTCTTTCAACAACCAGAGATACATGGTATTTCCGGTGTTCCGTGTCTACAGTAATGTCCATGTGTTGCGGAACCCCCCCTATAAAATACTCAACCCTGTGTATAAGACGAAAACCACCACCACCACCCCCACACACACATACCTTGAAAGCCTCCTATTCTAGTTATGAAAAACCCGCCTTATACACAGCGATATACGGATTTGGATTCTTACTAGTGTGTAAACAACCAACAAAAAAACAAAACAAGAGTGCTCTGAGAGCACAACATCCCCTGCATGAATTTTTTTATCGAGTTTATATTTTCTTTGTATTTTATGAAATAACAACAGGAGATGGCACTGCATTTGAAACAAATTGTGCAGAACATTTTGTCTGGAGTAATCCAGTCTGAATGCTAATGCCATAAGGATGTAGCTCACCCACAAAAGCCTTATACAAGGAAACTAACTATAGTTATAGTTATAGTTAGATATTGTGATATACTTTGGAAACTGGAGGAGGAGTAGATTTCATGAAGCTCCGTAAAACAGGGGCAGTAACTCTGTCAAAATTAGTCGAAATGAAACGGGACTGTGATATGCTTATCATCAACATGTCAACATCTTGTGTGTAGAGTGTCAGGGATATTCTCTGGAAACTGTAGGAGGAGTTGATTTCACAAGCTTAGTACCTCTCTCTCACATTTAGGCAAATGAAGCTCCATAAAACAGGGGCAGTGACTCTGTCAAAATTAGTCAAAATGAAATGGGACTGCGATATGCATATAATCAACATGTCAACATCTTGTGTGTAGAGTGTCAGGGATATTCTCTAAAAGCTGGAGGAGGAGTTGATTTCACAAGCTTAGTACCCTCTCTCACAATTAGGCAAATGAAGCGCGTAAAACAGGGGCAGTAACTCTGTCAAAATTAGTCGAAATGAAACGGGACTGCGATATGCGTATCATCAACATGTCGACATCTTGTGTGTAGAGTGTCAGGGATATTCTTTGGAAACTGGAGGAGGAGTTGATTTTACAAGCTTAGTACCCTCTCTCACAATTAGGCAAATGAAGCTCCATAAAAAAGGGGCAGTAACTCTGTCAAAATTAGTCGAAATGAAACGGGACTGCGATAAGCGTATCATCAACATGTCGACATCTTGTGTGTAGAGTGTTAGGGATATTCTCTGGAAACTGTAGGAGGAGTTGATTTCACAAGCTTAGTACCCTCTGTGGGACGGACGGACGGACGGACGGACTGCGCCACGACATAATCCCCCTTCAGCCATTCAGGCCCGGTGGGGGATAAAAAGGGCTGCCTGCACAATATTTTCAAAAGCTATTGCCTTTTTTTATTCAGCCTTAATAATTTTGTATTCTCAGTCCACCTACAGTCATCTCTGTCCATGGACTGAATCTCCTTGAACCACAGTGGTTCACTACTGGCCGCTGTCTCCTCAACGGTGGCCTGACACTGGCCTTGGGGTGTGGAGTCCACCAGGCCGGCATGTTCCCCCGGCTTGTACAGGCAGAAATCATCCTGGAACACCAGCAGCTGACTGGACACAGGCTCCAGGAAGTTGGCAAACACCAGAGCTTGACCAATGGCCACTGCCTGGTCCCTGGAAACATCATATAGGAGTTGCTGTCTATCTCCAACTTAGTTGATGCATGTCAGAATCAAAACAGAAACATGAGCTAGTATCTTAATAATGAGAAACATTGGTCAATTGATAAGATCTGAGCCTCACATAGAAATAATTAAGTTATGGTGAACCTTTTGTTCTGGACATTACATGATGTCATGGAGGTGTGCCACAAAAACAATGGAGCAAATTGTGTCGCTGTGACATAGTAAAAGAAGCAGGGGTCGGTGACCTCAGGAAAATGGACAACCATGAGGAACATACAGCAGAGGTAAACAGCTGAGTCTTAGAAGAGTCTTGAAGAAACCCCACCCTCGAAGGAACATACAGCAGAGGTGAACAGCTGAGTCTTAGAAGAGTCTTGAAGAAATCCCACATTGGAAGGAACATACAGGAGAGGTTAACAGCAGAGTCAAGGAAGAGCCTTGAAGACAACCCCATCCTGGAAGGAACATACAGCGGAGATTAACAGTAGAGTCAAGGAAGAGCCTTGAAGACAACCCCACCCTGGAAGGAACATACAGCAGAGGATAACAGCAGGATCTAGGAAGAGCCTTGAAGACAACCCCACCCTGGAAGGAACATACAGCAGGGGTGGACAGCAGAGTCTAGGAAGAGCCTTGAAGAAACCCCACCCTGGGATGAACATACTGCAGGAGTGAACAGCAGAGTCTAGGAAGAGCCTTGAAGACAACCCCACCCTGGAAGGAACATACAGCAGAGGATAACAGCAGGATCTAGGAAGAGCCTTGAAGACAACCCCACCCTGGAAGGAACATACAGCAGGGGTGGACAGCAGAGTCTAGGAAGAGCCTTGAAGAAACCCCACCCTGGGATGAAAATACAGTAGAGGTTAACAGCAGTGTCAAGGAAGAGCCTTGAAAACAGCCCCACCCTGGGATGAACATACAGCAGGAGTGAACAGCAGAGTCTAGGAAGAGCCTTGAAGACAACGCCACCCTGGAAGGAACATACAGCAGGAGTGAACAGCTGAGTCAAGGAAGAGCCTTGAAGAAACCCCACCCTGGAAGGAACATACAGCAGAGGATAACAGCAGGATCTAGGAAGAGCCTTGAAGACAACCCCACCCTGGAAGGAACATACAGCAGGGGTGGACAGCAGAGTCTAGGAAGAGCCTTGAAGAAACCCCACCCTGGGATGAACATACAGTAGAGGTTAACAGCAGTGTCAAGGAAGAGCCTTGAAAACAACCCCACCCTGGGATGAACATACAGCAGGAGTGAACAGCAGAGTCTAGGAAGAGCCTTGAAGACAACGCCACCCTGGAAGGAACATACAGCAGGAGTGAACAGCTGAGTCAAGGAAGAGCCTTGAAGAAACCCCACCCTGGGATGAACATACAGTAGAGGTTAACAGCAGAGACTAGGAAGAGCCTTGAAGACAACCCCACCCTGGAAGGAACATACAGTAGGGGTTAACAGCAGAGTCAAGGAAGAGCCTTGAAGACAACCCCATCCTGGAAGGAACATACAGCAGGGGTTAACAGCAGGGTCAAGGAAGAGCCTTGAAGACAACCCCACCCTGGAAGGAACATACAGCTGAGGTTAATAGCAGGGTCAAGGAAGAGCCTTGAAGACAACCCCACCCTGGAAGGAACATACAGCTGAGGTTAACAGCAGAGTCAAGGAAGAGCCTTGAAGACAACCCCACCCTCGAAGGAACATACAGCAGAGGTTAACAGCAGAGTCAAGGAAGAGCCTTGAAGACAACCCCACCCTGGAAGGCCGGTGATCTGTTTGGATGTGATGCAACACCAGAAATGATCCAGCGATTCCATGATATGGTGATGACTGACCGGTGAATGACTGTGTCATATTACTTGTTCAGTCAGCATTTCCCAGCAGAGTGTACATTCCATTATCACGGAAACTTTTGCAAAGTATCAGCTCATTAGGTTCCAAAGCTTCTAACATCTGTTCCAAAATACACCAGGCACAGCCTGTCTTGTGATAATCTAGCTCTGTTTGAAGGTTCTTGCAATGATGTGTGACTATAGCTGAAACTTCGATTTCCCACTTCCTGTCGAAACAACAACACAGTGAAAAAGCTGAAGCATCACCCCACCAAAGAAGGCAGAGACTGCCCCATCAGCTGGAGAGGTTAGGGCCTTCATGGATGCTGAGGTTCTCATCATGGTGGACTATCTTCCAAAAAGCCAGTCAATAAATGGAGCATGTTATGCTGCATGTTTGAAGACATTACGGGGATGGAATGACGTCGGAAGCTGAGAAAGGGTGTGCTCTTCCATCAGGACAATGCTCAAGTGCACACAGTCACTGCCATGGATACAATCCAAAAGTGTGGCTCTGAACGCTATCAAACATTCCTAAACATGAAGAAAGCTCTAGCTGGAACACATTCGAACAATGACATCATAGCAGGTGTGGAGAAGGTGGGATAAAATCCCTCCAACATCATTCGTAAAACTGTATCACAGAAGAAGGGGATTATGTTGAAGAGAAATCAATTTAAGGTCTTTCTATGTGAGGCTCAGAACATATCAATCAGCCCTGATATATAAATACTTGGAGGCAATCAGGGCATAGTTAAACATTGCATCTAAGTGATGGGTCACATGAACATTGTCGCTAAACATCTCAACAACCTGGTAAACACAACAATCACTAGGCTACACTACTACCCCTACTAGGTGGAACTTCACAAGAAGATTACAAACCTATTAGCAGCCTTGTCATTTGTGAGAAGCCAGTTGACAAGTTCTTTACCCATAATGCATTTGTGATATGTCCGGAGACGAACTCGGTGACTCTGCATTTCAACTCCACTCACAAGGTCATTCATCTGCCACCATAATTCTCGCAACTGTATAGAATCCTGGGAAACATGCAAACAGTCAGCAAACAAACATGAGGTTCAAAACCATTATAGTGTGTGTCAGTAAATAGTGACTGCATGGTGTAGTATAGTGATTACATCAATTAAACAAGAATTAAATATGAACTGAAATATTGCATAACATTAATGCAGTTCCCTAGCCTGTAGCCTGCACCTGACCTGGATGAGTATCTTGCTCTCCCGGAGAAGGGATTCTTGTATGGAGAAGTCTGCATGTGGGGTCAGGTCAAAGGGCACATTCTTCTGTACACAAGTTGACCCTGTATCCTGGGGGCTCACAGATCTACATCGAAACATGCAGGATGAGCAACAATTAACACAATCGGCAGTCAGAAACAAGCATTTTCAGCAGTTGGCGGAAGCATAATCCAATTACAGGCTTAAAACTGATTGAAAACAACTAAACCACTTTTCCGATTGAGTCTGTATGATGCCTTGTGTACTTGGTTTGACAAGGCAATGTGGTGATAAAGAGAAATTATATATCATTCCAAAATAATACAGCCAGGCAATCATTCTGGAGATACTAGAACAGCCAACCAATCATTCTGGAGATACTAGAACCCGCCAGTCAATTATTCTAGAGATACAACAGCCAGGCAATCATTCTGGAGATACTACAACAGCCAGGCAATCATTCTGGAGATACTACAATAGCCAACCAATCATTCTGGAGATACTAGAACCGCCAGGCAATCATTCTGGAGATACAACGGCCAGGCAATCATTCTGGAGATATGACAACAGCCAGGCAATCATCCTGGAGATACTACAACAGCCAGGCAATCATTCTGGAGATATGACAACAGCCAGGCAATCATCCTGGAGATACTACAACAGCCAGGCAATCATTATGGAGATACTACAACAGCCAGGCAATCATTCTGGAGATACTACAACAGCCAGGCAATCATTATGGAGATACTACAACAGCCAGGCAATCATTATGGAGATACTACAACAGCCAGGCAATCATTCTGGAGATACTACAACAGCCAGGCAATCATTCTGGAGATACTACAACAGCCAGGCAATCATTATGGAGATACTACAACAGCCAGGCAATCATTCTGGAGATACTACAACAGCCAGGCAATCATTCTGGAGATACTACAACAGCCAGGCAATCATTCTGGAGATACTACAACAGCCTGGACATCACAAACAGAACTTCCACTCTGTCTGATCACAAACAGAACGTACCCTGTCTGATCACAAACAGAAAGTACCCTGTCTGATCACAAACAGAACGTACCCTGTCTGATCACAAACAGAACGTACCCTGTCTGATCACAAACAGAACGTACCCTGCCTGATCACAAACAGTATGTGTGCCCACCAGTCTTATCACAAACAGAATGTACCCTGTCTGATCACAAACAGAACGTACCCTGTCTGATCACAAACAGTATGTGTGCCCACCCTGTCTGATCACAAACAGAACGTACCCTGTCTGATCACAAACAGAACGTACCCTGTCTGATCACAAACAGTATGTGTGCCCACCCTGTCTGATCACAAACAGAATGTACCCTGTCTGATAACAAACAGAAAGTACCCTGTCTGGTCACAAACAGTACGTGTGCCCACCCTGTCTGATCACAAACAGAACGTACCCTGTCTGATCACAAACAGAACGTACCCTGTCTGATCACAAACAGAACGTACCCTGTCTGATCACAAACAGAACGTACCCTGTCTGATCACAAACAGTACGTGTGCCCACCCTGTCTGATCACAAACAGAACGTACCCTGTCTGATCACAAACAGAACGTACCCTGTCTGATCACAAACAGAACATACCCTGTCTGATCACAAACAGAAAGTACCCTGTCTGATCACAAACAGAACGTAGCCTGTCTGATCACAAACAGAACGTACCCTGTCTGATCACAAACAGAACGTACCCTGTCTGAGGACTGTCTTCCCTGATGCTGGCGATACGACGTAGGTTGGGACTCCAGATTCCAAGATCCTGGAAGCTGCCTGACTCAAAGTCTATGGAGAGGCTCCTCAAGTCTTCCCTGGACACTTTGACATCTCCAGCTTGGTCGGACTGCTGGGCGTAGCGCAAAACCACTTTACAGCAGTAGATGCAGACTCGGATACCACCTACAACACAGAAACCCTCTTCTATAACCAGAACTGGGCTAAATACAGATCACAGGTCCAAGATATACCTTCACAAAAACCAGGATAACGGCCCAATACATAGATCTCAATATATACCCTCACTATAACCAGGATAACTGCCCAATACACACATCTCAATAAACACCTTCACTATAGCCAGGATAACTCGCCAATACACAGATCTCAATATACACCTTCACTATAACCAGGATAACTGCCCAATTCACACATCTCAATATACACCTTCACTATAGCCAGGATAACTGGCCAATACACAGATCTCAATGTATACCTCACTATAACCAGGATAACTGCCCAATACACAGATCTCAATATATACCTCACTATAACCAGGATAACTGGCCAATACACACATCTCAATATATACCCTCACTATAACCAGGATAACTGCACAATACACAGATCTCAATATATACCCTCACTATAGCCAGGATAAATGGCCAATACACAGATCTCAATGCATACCCTCACTATAACCAGGATAACTGCACAATACACAGATCTCAATATATACCCTCACTATAACCAGGATAACTGCACAATACACAGATCTCAATATATACCCTTACTATAACCAGGATAACTGCCCAATACACAGATCTCAATGTATACCTTCACAATAACCAGGATAACTGGTCAATACAAACATCTCAATATACATCTTCACTATAACCAGGATAACTGCCCAATACACAGGTCACAATATATAACCTCACTATAACCAGGATAACTGCCCAATACACAGATCTCAATATATACCCTCACTATAACCAGGATAACTGGCCAATACACACATCTCAATATACACCTTCACTATAGCCAGGATAACTGGCCAATACACAGATCTCAATATATACCCTCACTATAACCAGGATAACTGCCCAATACACACATCTCAATATATACCCTCACTATAGCCAGGATAAATGGCCAATACACAGATCTCAATGTATATCTCACTTTAACCAGGATAACTGCACAATACACACATCTCAATATATACCCTCACTTTAACCAGGATAACTGCCCAATACACAGATCTCAATATATACCCTCACTATAACCAGGATAACTGCCCAATACACAGATCTCAATATATAACCTGACTATAACCAGGATAACTAGCCAATACACAGATCTCAATATATACCCTCACTATAACCAGGATAACTGGCCAATACACACATCTCAATATATACCCTCACTGTAACCAGGATAACTGCCCAATACACAGATCTCAATATATACCCTCACTATAACCAGGATAACTGCCCAATACACAGATCTCAATAAATACCCTCACAATAACAAGGATAACTGCCCAATACACAGGTCTCAATATATACCCTCACTATAACCAGGATAACTGCCCAATACACAGTTCTCAATATATACCCTCACTATAACCAGGATAACTGCCCAATACACAGATCTCAATATATACCCTCACTATAACCAGGATAACTGCCCAATACAAAGATCTCAATATATACCCTCACTATAACCAGGATAACTGCACAATACACAGATCTCAATATATACCCTCACTATAACCAGGATAACTGGCCAATACACACATCTCAATATATACCCTCACTATAACCAGGATAACTGCACAATACACAGATCTCAATATATACCCTTACTATCACCAGGATAACTGCCCAATACACAGATCTCAATACATACCCTCACTATAACCAGGATAACTGGCCAATACACAGATCTCAATATACACCTTCACTATAGCCAGGATAACTGGCCAATACACAGATCTCAATGTATACCTCACTATAACCAGGATAACTGCACAATACACAGATCTCAATATATACCCTCACTATAACAAGGATAACTGCACAATACACAGATCTCAATATATACCCTCACTATAACCAGGATAACTGGCCAATACACAGATCTCAATGTATACCTTCACTATAACCAGGATAACTGGCCAATACACACATCTCAATATATAACCTCACTTTAACCAGGATAACTGCCCAATACACAGATCTCAATATATACCCTCACTATAACCAGGATAACTGGCCAATACACACATCTCAATATACACCTTCACTATAGCCAGGATAACTGGCCAATACACAGATCTCAACGTATACCCTCACTATAACCAGGATAACTGGCCAATACACACATCTCAATATACACCTTCACTATAGCCAGGATAATTGGCCAATACACAGATCTCAATGTATACCCTCACAATAACCAGGATAAATGGCCACTACACAGATCTCAATGTATACCTCACTTTAACCAGGATAACTGCACAATACACACATCTCAATATATACCCTCACTTTAACCAGGATAACTGCACAATACACACATCTCAATATATACCCTCACTATAACAAGGATAACTGCCCAATACACAGATCTCAATATATAACCTCACTATAACCAGGATAACTGCACAATACACAGATCTCAATATATAACCACACTATAACCAGGATAACTAGCCAATACACACATCTCAATATATACCCTCACTATAACCAGGATAACTGGCCAATACACAGATCTCAATATATACCCTCACTATAACCAGGATAACTGCACAATACACAGATCTCAATATATACCCTCACTATAACCAGGATAACTGCACAATACACAGATCTCAATATATACCCTCACAATAACCAGGATAACTGCCCAAAACACAGATCTCAATATATACCCTCACTATAACCAGGATAACTGCCCAATACACAGTTCTCAATATATACCCTCACTATAACCAGGATAACTGCCCAATACACAGATCTCAATATATACCCTCACTATAACCAGGATAACTGCCCAATACAAAGATCTCAATATATACCCTCACTATAACCAGGATAACTGCACAATACACAGATCTCAATATATACCCTCACTATAGCCAGGATAAATGGCCAATACACAGATCTCAATGTATACCTCACTTTAACCAGGATAACTGCACAATACACACATCTCAATATATACCCTCACTTTAACCAGGATAACTGCCCAATACACAGATCTCAATATATACCCTCACTATAACCAGGATAACTAGCCAATACACAGATCTCAATATATACCCTCACTATAACCAGGATAACTGGCCAATACACAGATCTCAATATATACCCTCACAATAACCAGGATAACTGGCCAATACACACATCTCAATATACACCTTCACTATAGCCAGGATAACTGCCCAATACACAGATCTCAATGTATACCTCACTATAACCAGGATAACTGCCCAATACACAGATCTCAATATATACCCTCACTATAGCCAGGATAAATGGCCAATACACAGATCTCAATGTATACCTCACTTTAACCAGGATAACTGCACAATACACACATCTCAATATATACCCTCACTTTAACCAGGATAACTGCCCAATACACAGATCTCAATATATACCCTCACTATAACCAGGATAACTGCCCAATACACAGATCTCAATATATAACCTCACTATAACCAGGATAACTAGCCAATACACAGATCTCAATATATACCCTCACTATAACCAGGATAACTGGCCAATACACAGATCTCAATATATACCCTCACTATAACCAGGATAACTGCACAATACACAGATCTCAATATATACCCTCACAATAACCAGGATAACTGCCCAATACACAGATCTCAATATATACCCTCACTATGACCAGGATAACTGCCCAATACACAGTTCTCAATATATACCCTCACTATAACCAGGATAACTGGCCAATACACAGATCTCAATATATACCCTCACTATAACCAGGATAACTGCCCAATACAAAGATCTCAATATATACCCTCACTATAACCAGGATAACTGCACAATACACAGATCTCAATATATAACCTCACTATAACCAGGATAACTGCCCAATACACAGATCTCAATATATACCCTCACTATAACCAGGATAACTGCACAATACACAGATCTCAATATATAACCTCACAATAACCAGGATAACTGCCCAATTCACAGATCTCAATGTATACCTTCACTATAACCAGGATAACTGGCCAATACACAGATCTCAATGTATACCTCACTATAACCAGGATAACTGCCCAATACACAGATCTCAATATATACCCTCACTATAACCAGGATACCTGGGCAGTACACAGGATACAGATCTCAACATCTACCCTCAATATGACCAAAACAGTTGAAAGCTGATATCATATATTTTGGCATTTCCACCAGGGAAAACCCCTGGCTGACAAGGTGGTTCTCGAGAACTTCTAACCTGAAACTAGTGGGCAGTAGACTTCAAATTCCTTTCAATGACAATTGACATTGTTTTTTTCTCTTAGTTTTGGTGTATCTTCAGAGCAGCACACAATATTCACATCAAGCGATAGATTCAGACAACCTGCCTTTATATCCAATGATCTTCCCTGGTAGTTCCTGGTTGCAACACTTGCTACAGAAGATCTGTCCACAGATCCTGCAGTGATGGCGGCGGCGGAACGTGGTGAACTTGTCCCCACAATCATAACACTCCTTACAGCTGCTGTCGGGCATCCAATACTGCTTGAAGTCACTGTCCTTGTACGTCTGCAGGGTCTGTTGGGGAGATAGTCTCATCAGTATCACGCCAGTGGACCACACAGTGTATCATGTCACACATTGAACATGTTGCCTCAGCCTAGACTGTTTGTTTTGTTTGTTGTTTAATACCACACCTAGCAATATTCAAGCTATATGATGGCAGTCTGTAAATAATCAAGTCTGGACCAGACAATCCAATGACTGATATCATGAGCATTGATCCACGCAATTGGGATATGATGACATACTTACAACCAGCATAGTCGCCTCTTACAGTAATCCTTTTCATGGGTCCACCTAGACTGACCACCCTGACAACAAGGCATGGCATTCTGATTCCCAATTCTGTGAAAGGTTTTCCACAGAAAAGAAAATCATCTTCTAACTGTTTATCTCTGATCTAAACTTTTATGAAAAACACAAAAAACAAAATGTAAAAGTTTTCATGCAAACAAAACCCGAAAATTGTTTTGTAAGTTTGCCTCTCTTGGCACCAAGTGTTTGTCAACTTACATTGCTACGCCTATCTAGAATGTTGCCAAGACGACTGAGCACACTTGACAACGTCCGCTTCTGGACATGGTCATCTACAGCCTGAGCCTCAGAACTCTCTTCTGATTGGCTGCTGCTGTCATCATTCCCTGCAACACAAAGTATATTCTTTGGATTCAATACACTAGCTTAGATTCTGGCTTGTATACTTTGATAGTCAATTTGTGGAACAGCAACCTGTTTTAAACAAACACAACTGCAAACATGCTCAATCAAATAGTTACTGGCTAAATTACCGTATATGCCGACCATAGATAAGCCAAAAAAAATAGATAAGCTGAGGTATTAACTTGGTCCTTTAAATCTGTATCAAAATGTTATGTGTGGTAGATAAGCCGGCCCCCCAACCTAAAACTATATCTCGTTGTAATGTCATTGGAAATAGAATATCAACAAATCTGTATTGAATTACACAAAGTTAATCCTGCCGTTACCCCATCGGTAATAAAAAGTGTTTAATATATATCTAGACTACGGTATATCTATTGACACCTTGAAACGAACCTTACTTGAGAGAGAATTGATACATATATCATGAGTGCCATACTTTGACTCGTTAAACTTATATTTGTTGTAGTTTGATGATTATATGTCAACATATTGTTTTTGTGATGGAAATAGCGAGTCCGCCGAAACCTCAACAGTGATTTGTCAATTGATTTGTGAAAAAAGTAACGGACAATACACAAAAGTGCTACTTTGCTGCAAAACCCTGGTTATGGTTATCATTATTTTGAAGATATATGGTAAAACCTGCAATTAAAATAAAGCGATATCAGAATATATTATTCGTAGAAAAATAGTAATTTAAGATACTATTTTTTCCGATCATTGCATCGAAATTCTTTTCCGTTATATTATTGGGCATGTTTTAACGTAATCACCGGTAGACTGGGAGACCACATGTGTAGAGCTGATTGCTATTTCTGGCTTAGTTTACGAGACAATACACACGGTAATCTTTATCCCTGCATATAAAACAATGCCAAGCACAACAAGAAATACAATCAAACAGTAAATCACCTATTCTTGTGATGTTTAATCGCAAATTTCACATTTTCATTGACAAAATTTGTTACAGCGTTGTTCATTCACCTGTAGCGATACGATGTAGTTTTTTTACCAACAGAAAAAGAGTTTGATGAAAGTGTAACTCGTACATAAGCCGACCCCTTTCTATAGAATCCTTTTTCTGGTCCTCAAAATTTGGCTTATCTACAGTCATATGTGGTAAAAAAAAGAATATTAATCACTGTTATTGAGGCCACAAAAAATCAATTATTTGATATTCATCTAATTTTTTTTTAAATATGAAGCATTTATATATTTTAGGCTAAAAAAACATGATCGGTTCTCGGGAAAAGGCTTTTGGAAAAATAGAGTGTGTGGGCATCTCTTTGTCTGGATCTGTCCGAACTAGTATGTAACCCAAAATAGTTGTGCCTGGTCATAATGCCATCTGGTTATAGTGCCATGTTTTCCTCAGAACAGATTTCCACAGTGCTAAAGTCCCTGGTTATAATGCCACCCTGGTTAAATGCCACCCTGGTTAAAATACCAATGCCAATGTTTTTCAGGACCAACGTTCCAATTCGCTGATTATAATACCATTGTTAATCAATTATATTGGTGAACAGTTGTGTACAATCAGACCAGGGAAAGGGCCTCCTACTTAAATGTATTCCTTGATTACTTAAGTCCGGAAAAATGGGTCCCTTTGTCCATCTTGAAGCAGCTAGTGCTGTTCACTATGGTATGTTTTCAGGGAGGAAGACCAAGCTTTGGTACTATTGTAACTCACAGACCTCAACTTCAGTGAATCTTCATGTTATCCAATGTATGTTATCAACAGCACACACAAAAATCTACCATGCTTACCAACCAGTTAACCAGCTTTGTGTATCTTAAAAGTAGCATCACCGTTGCGTTATATTTTTAACATTCCGTGAATTAGTATTAATTTTCTTAACACAATTTTACAATCTCACTATAAAACAATGATTATACTCTTAATTATTGTTTTCTTAAAATGCTGCATAACACAATATTGTTTTAATATCCAAAAGATTTACTAACATGAATAAACAATGTTTAAGTAAAATAACAAAATAAAAGGGTACTCTGGAATATTTAACAACCCTATTTTCTTCTTCTTGCACACTTTGGTGTTCATTGTGTATCTGGACTTGTAGCAATTTATTCAAGAGTTCATTCAATATTGTTTACATTGTCTTCAGCGAAAATTGTGTGTGAAGTGATCAGCAGATCGTACCAACTCACCATTATTTATGGCAACCATGATCAGATTATTATCGTTAGCGTTATTTTTAGTATTGCACCATTTCACTGCCAAGGTTGTGTGTTCGAGACACTGAATATTTACAAGTATTTTGCTTTAAAATGGAACTAAAAACAATACGTGCAGCAGAATTTATAATGCTGCGGCCTTCCCTGAGAATAGTCAAAAGTGCAATAGTCATATCCTGAAAACAAACTGTTGAAGGGATCTGTGTATATGGACTGTACATGGTGTGATTTCGCCGGAATATTTTAGAGGATATTATTCATGATCCCTAACATCTTTCATGGTGTATGGTGAATTTCATCAAATAAAGGAAAAAGGTAACCCATGTCCTGACTTTCTTCTACTGAGAGAAGTTGGGGGCAACAAATGATGTAATGCCATGTTTGGTAGCGAGGCTGGCAGGGATGAAAGTCTGATAATATTTTTATTGTGACCTAATGTTAAAAAACAGACCTTAACTGATCTTTATGATGCATATATTATAAAATAAGCAAGTGTTTACCAACACCTGACACAAGTAGTGCTTGTTACCCTTCACTGTTGCCAGGTTCCCTGCGGCAATGGATGTAGTGGATGGGAAGGTGGCCTCGTCCGACACCCCAGAAGTCAGTGACACTTTAGAGGGCACCCGCTGGGAGATCTGTATTGGCATAGAGCCAGTTCTCTCTACTGATGCCTCTCGGGATGAAGCTCTACTACCTGGAGTAGAGGAGCCACTGGAATTGTCAGAGTCATCTGAGACAAGAGACAGAAGAATTAGGAATTCTGTGGATATGAGTTGTGAATGTCGGAGTGAATATTGTTTAACCATTGTAGCAGTCATCAGTTATCCAGTAGATAAATAGTCCACTTTGGACCAGGCAAACCAGTGACAGATGCCATTTAATGATAATGATCATTTTTGGACTACTCTTACGACAACATTTGACACTAAAGAACTGAGCACAAAAGACAAGTTCAGGCAAGGGGACTTGTCACACATGCTTAGCAGGAATCCTATACCTTGATATACATATTGTATGAACAAATGACTTTCGTGTCACTGACACTAGTGTCTAGTAGTAGGTGAGCAATGGATGGGCATACAATTAGTAGCAGCCTGATAGAAATATTTACAAACCTGTAGAGGTTATGAATTCTCTGATGAAATCCTCCTTGGGGCTTTATTGCATTTTCCTGGCTCAAGAAAATCTATATGACATAGTTGTAACCATTTTTCCTTAATAAAATGTTGCCACACAAAAAACTTCATTTTTGTATGATATACGACCACCCTTATGGTGCCTCACCCTCCACGGCGCCCCGCGCCAGGGGGAGTAACTCTCACCCAAATCACTTTCCATATGTCTAATGCTGACGGAATGTGGGGAGGTGGGTGGCCGTGCCCCAAGGAGTATTTCATCAGAGAATTCATAACCTCTACAGGTTTGTAAAATTCTCTTTCAGATTAAATCCTCCTTGGGGCACTTATTGCACCAAGATAGACTCCTAAAGATAATCTAGGAAGTGGCATCCTTCAGCAACATGCGTAAATAAATACATTGTATTCTGATTATTTCAATGAATAAAAAAGAGTTCAATAAATGGAACAAACCTTATCATGAGGCACCACCGTCGGGAGGCGCGGGCTAGAGACAGGGCGTGGTCGACCATATACTATGAAATAGCCATTATTTGTGGCTTATCATATTCGAGAACTTGAAACATCCTCCCGCTTTGTTTGAACAAGTGAGATAGGGGCGAAGATCCTGCAAGACTTAACCTGTGCAAAACTAGGTCTGAGGTTCCCTGAGGATCGAAGGAGTGCGTGTGCAGAAATGAGTATTATCGAGTAGTAAGGAGTAGTATAGGTAATAGGGGTTCTGGCTCACTTCCGTCAAGAGATTAAACTAAATTCCATTATTATATATTTATGTAAGCATTCTTCTAAATGTTGGTTTTGACACGGATTAATTGTTGTCTCCCCTGTTCTATGAATTTTTTTTCCTCGTCTTCGCTACTAATACCACTGGTCTTTGATCGAATCTCCTGCTTCATTGCGTTGTATTTGGTGAGTTCTGACAACATGGATATCTTACAATCAGCCATTGCTGTTGAAATATGATCCTAAATGCTGTTCAACTTTGATTCGGCGAGTATCCGAATATTATCGTGTTTAAATGCTTTCTTTTGCAACTTACGAGAAATGAATTTTATCGCTATTCCTGCCAGTCCTGAGACTCCGGTGCCTATTTGCATGCCAAGTACGATAGGCGCGGCAATTATAGTTGATAATAAACCGACACCGGCTACACCGAGTCCCATGCTAGCCGTTACAAGCGTGGTGTCAACTCCGTCGAGAGCATTCACGGCTCTGTGATACTTTTTATACAATCCAAGTCTCAACTCCCTCTCCTTCTCTATTCGATGTTTTATGTCGCTTATTTGATGTAATCGAAATTCATCAACTTCATCGAGCGCTGGATATAAATCCATATTATTATTATATCATATAATAGTCTTTTATTGGTCTTGCTTAAATGTTTTGAGAGTATACATCAACCTTATCAAATGTATATTATACGGCATGAATATCTTAGTAAGAGAAAGGCTGTCACTTTTAATAATTTGGACCCCCTCAAGGGTTGCAACGGGTGATGCTCCAATATGAATAATACTGCAACGTTGACGTTGGTGTTTCTTTAGCCATTTAATCGATAGACCTGGGCCCACTTGCACAAAGCGATCTTAGCGCTAAGATGATCGTATCTCCCATACTTTAACATAGGCTTACAATAGTCTTAGCGCTAAGATCGCTTTGTGCAAGTGGGCCCTGGTAATATTTCGAAGGCATCTTCCGGTGCATCTCCGAACAAGACTTCAATAATAAGAGTAGAAAGATTAGGTATTGCACTCAAGTTCTGTTTAATATCATTGAATTCAGTAACCAAATTTAAACTAACATTTTTTTTATGCCAGACGAGTAAATAACATATGACCTGGGTTTTCTGGCAGGGGGGTGACTAACACACTTTTTCGTTTTGATGGGATATAAGCCCTGAGTACAACCCCACTATTTATCATCTTAGTTAAATTATGTGCCTTACCCATCATCACATACGGTGGGGTAATGGCGATATTCAGTAGCCACTCGATTTGCTTCGATCATAGTCCATTTATTATCATCGTTGAGAGTAAGATTATACGAAGTGTTTTTATGGAGTCTACTAACGTCGACATCGCTTAAATGTCCTAGATTACCTGTGAATGTAACTTCTTTCCGCTTGTATACATTATCTTGTAAGTGTAAAGCGTATAACTTACCATTGGTACCGGGTTTACCGAATCCTTCTGTGTCTCCGAGATCAGAAAGCGCAATTGTACATGTATTACATTGTCTGAGCGTTCCAGGGCCTGATGAATCAACCATTATTTATAATATGGAGTGTTACACTCAAGTATCCTATATATACAGGTTGATGTTTTACATCTAATACAGAAATTTTGAGATCTGAAATAATACCACGCTTTAATTTGTTATATTGTAATGATGAGAAAGATTCCGTTCTACCGCTATTGTATTTTTCATCTTTGACTGGAACAGCTCTGAGTAGAGTTGAAGGACTTTCTAGGTGAATATTATCCGTCGTACTTATCTGATCAAGATGGATGCACAACTCTTTATAGGGAACTAAATCGGGTAATTTAACTCCATGCACTGTTTTGTTGGGTGGTATTAATCCTACTCCGCGTGCAAGTCCAAGTGTATCTGCTATGTTCCAGGCAAAAATTACTTGCTTTTCTCCAGAGTTCAAAATCAGCATCCCATTCGACTCATTTTGTGTGAGACTAACTCCCAAAGGCTTAAAAAATTCATCATTGAGTGAGCATACACTGTAATACCCATCAGGTATAATGTGTTTTTTTCTATTTATTATTGTCTGAGTATTTCTTCTCGCAGCACTTATATTGGTCCACTGCGGGTAATACGTTACATCGCAGAGAACGACTTCAAGTTGTCCATCCGAGTTATCGATAGTATGAAGCAGTTCAATAGACTGACCATTTGTTATTCCCGGGAGTGTAACATACATATTAAATATACAGTGATACCATATCATAACTTAGATATGAAATCAACTTATATTACTAATCAGTCGATATTAGTAAGTGCCTCTGGTGCTAATTTTTTTGTTAAATTCCCTGAAGGTGCACACTCTGTTAAAGCACGATGTCGAAATCAGGCATGGTGAAAAAGAGGCCCACCGTAGTCAAGCTATCGTTCCGAATTCATTTCAATCTCATACTGATAGCCAAACAAACGTTCCGCTAATGTCCAATTAAATTTTTCAACGATAGCTTGACTACGGTGGGCCTCTTTTTCACCATGCCTGATTTCGACATCGTGCTTTGTCAACAGTTTAGTTATTGATCCCATAAACTCGCAACCAAGATCTACTTGAAATAGCTTAGGCCATTTTAGCGGTCCGCGTTTATATATGCGGCTCAGTGCATTAGCTACTTCTGTTGAATCTTTCGAGGTTAATGGCTCAGCCTCTTTGTATCGACTAGCCACATCCACTACGGTTAAAGCGTATTTATACGTTTTGCGTCTTACCTTATCATGGGGAAGAAACAAGAGGTCAGCCTGATGAACTTCATTCGTTGTAAAAATATCAAACTTCTTCCTCGGTATATAACGAGGTGCTGGTAAGTATATTTGCCACATCGCTTGTTTCTTTAACCAATCCTTGGCCACATCTTTAGTTACCTTAGCCGCGTTGGCTAATTTTTTATTGCTCCTATACCTTACCAATATCCTCGTGGGCTATAGTAAATTTTATTCATTATTAATTAATATTGATGTTTCTTTTAATTAGTCTTATCACGATTGTTGAATCGCATCATCATTTTTGCATAAAAAATTCCATCTGTAGTAGCAGTATAGGTATATAAATCTGACTCCAGTGGAAGTGAGCCAGAACCCCTATTACCTATACTACTTAAGGACTGATATTTATCGACTGCAGAAGATAAAATCCGGACCATTACTGAGCAGTGTAACCGGAGGACGGTCTAAAATCTCGAAGGCTCAATCAGCTAGAGATGTAGAACTTTGCCCAGTTCGGAGAACTGACAGACCAAACCGAGCACGCTCGCTTGAGTGTTTGTCGAGTTGGTAATGTTTGATGAACGTGCTCGGCTGGCTCCAAATAGCCGCGGAGCAGATCTCCTCAATGGGCAGAGCTGCGGCGTATGCTTGTGACGTAGCCACTGCTCTAACCGAATGAGCCTTCAACCTGGTAGGGGGTCCCTGCCTTGAAGCGTATACGCTGTACAAATGGTTGAAACTATCCACCTTGAGATAGATTGTTTGCTCGCAGGTGAGCCAGCCTTCCTACCGCCGTAACAGCAAAATAGTTGGTTATCCTTACGGATACCCTTAGTTCTGCTGATATAGGCCTTGAGGGTCCTGCGGACATCCAAGATATGAGCATGTCTTGCAGTGGTCCCCGATGAGGAAGGCTGTGAAAGAGCAGGTAGCTCAATAGGAGCCGTCACGTGGAAGGCGTATGCGACCTTAGGACGGCAAGAGTCCGGCAGCCGAATACTGACCCTGTCCCGGTGGAAGACAGTTAGTTGGGGATCGGCTGACATTGCCTACCCGTCTGCCGGATGTTACCGCCACAAGGAACACCGTCTTCCAGCTCAACAGCTGAAGAGAGAAAGACGACAGATCCCAAAAGGAAGGACCGGACAGCCAATCAAGAACGATGGGGACTGATCCGCTGGACAGGCGATCAGATCCTGTCCACACCTGCTAAAAAGTGCTGCACTAATTGGTGTGCACCCAGGAGTGCCCCGTCGACAGGGACGTGAAAAGTTTGAAGGTCTGTAAAAAAGACCGTAAATTCTGAGTTGGGTGGGGGGCGGGAAAATAGTGTATCAGTGCAATATAAAGATCGGAAAGATACATGCAAAATTGTGAAAACAGAAGCAAAGGCGTAATGTAGAATGTGTTTTGTAAAGCGATACTAATAGCCAATGTCTGTAGTATAATTTTAACACCAAAGGGGCGTGTTACGTGCTAAGGTGTAAAACCCGTAAAAAAGGGAAGTGTAGTTATAATCTAGCACACCACCTTGGGTTTATGTAAAGGAAAACCTGTACTTCAATTTTGTATGATATAACAAAAAACAAGCCGTTTTGATGGCCTTGGTGTTACATGTGTCAGACAGTGGAACTACACAATGGACGCCATTACGGCCATTTGAATTCAAATGTACCGTGCACGTGGCGTTTCTTCTATTAGAATTAAAACACTATAACTTTACAATGCGAGGTATTACGCCTTTGCAAGGAAAGAAATGTACCATACATAAAGTTTGGTCAGTCATGGTCTCTCAGTGAATGATTAGGTTCCTCTTTGAAACTTTCTTGAAAAAATCAAACGTCTTGACAGTCAAATGACATAAAGGAAAGTGATTCGGGTGAGAGTTACACCCCCTGGCGCGGGGCGCCATGGAGGGTGAGGCACTGTAAAGGTGGTCGTAAAAAGGTGGTCGTATATCATACAAAAACGAAGTTTTTGTGTGGTAACATTTTATTAATGAAAAATGGTAATGGTCATATAGATTTTTTTGAGAAAGGAAAATGCAATAAGTGCCCCAAGGAGGATTTAATAAGAAAGAGAATTGAGGTTGGATGGCTTGAGATAGATGTATCTATCATGTCAATAGCCATAGAGACAGCATGGCATCCACGTGACACTCACAATAATCAATCAAGTAGATGACATATGAACATATTCAGGAACAGGTACACACTGAATATCTACTGTGAATCTTTACATCACATAAATACCTCTTGCTCGTTTGAGTAGTCGAGTAAAGAAGTTCCCTGCAGGCCTGACTTCTGAACTGAGCGGACCAAATTCTGTGAGGCCTGTTGATATATCTGAGGGCTTTCTTGTCCCCATTTCCGCTCCAGAACCCCCTCCAGAAGCCACTCATGGACTACAGACACAACAGCTGCACAGTTCTCATTGTTGACAGGATAAGCAAACCTTAATAGAAGAAATGTCAATCACGGCAAACTTTACTACTTGTAACTCACTTAGAAAAGCTCAGATAAAGGTCTCTTTATCCTTCCATTAGCATTCACAATCTAATCAGTACTTACTAATATCCTGACAATATTCTACTTCAATAATTCCATTATTTCTTTCTTTCTTTTATGCCATGCTTTATCATATCCTGACATCCTATTTTCATCGTTCTCCATTATTTGATGGTTGAACTTATCGCAAAATATTGAAGAACAATGCAAGTTCGGAGGTCACATGAGTTGTAAACATGGGTAGCTGTGCTCCAACAACTTTTCATAAAACATGTTAAATATAAAAATCTCGAAAGTAAGCAAAATTTATATACAATGAAAACAACATATTTTGGACTGTTTTTCCTTTTTAACAAAATTGGCTAGTCAGAAATGACGATTTAAAGTAAACAAATCTTGTCAAAACATTACCAACTTCACTTTTCTGCCATATAGGTTAATTCTAAAATTTGACTGCACAAAACCTGATGATGCCTAGTTGTGAATACTAATAAAAAGTATTTGGAATTGATAAGATGTTGCATATTATCAAGTGAGGCAGGTGCATTTGATTTAGCAGCTGCATTACCCCTGTACCATATTCGACGTAATAAGTGCCACGAACTTACAAGCGCCCACTGCGATATTTGCCAATTGAACAATCCCAATTAGCACCCCTTTCGATTGATCAATGTACACAAGCCTTATTTATTTGTGTATAATACGCACTTGTGTGTTAATTAAATTCTGGGAAAATATATCTGTCTTATATAAATATCTCAGGCTGTCAGCATAAACCACGAAATTTATGATCTTTCAACGCTGTTTTTTTTACCAAAATAATATTCTAATAAGAGTCCCCTATTTATAATTTTGAGAGCGCCCTGGGTGCTTATTATGTTGAATATGGTAATTAAATTTCATCAGAGATTTAAAAGCATTTGTGGTTACTTTAGCAATTGCAGGGTCTTTTATTCAAGTAGCGGTGCCTACCATGTGGCTTTCAATCAAGACGATTTAACCAGTGCATATGATTTGGATCAATGAATTAATGATGCAGCATGCAGCAAAATGTTCGAGAGTTACCATTCCACTCACGAGACTGTCAGAGGTCATGTTGACATTGACAAGTTATTACAACTGTTACAGGTCATGTTGACATCGGCAAGTTATTACAACTGGGAAAACAACATTAAGGACCAGAAGAAGAGGCAGAGCTTGTTGAACACATCAAGATCATGAGCAGAGAAACAAGAAAATTAGAGTATGCACATGCCAAATCTGCTACTCAGGAAGCAATTGATAATTATTTTTTCAAACACTCCAAAATAATGACCAAGCACAAGCCCGAGGAACAGCATGTACACCGTTCTGAAGCATTGTTTGAAAACAATAGCCGATAGCCCCGAGCTTACACGACTCTACTCGCCTTATTTTGTGAGAGAAGTAGCCTCCAACCTCGGGGTATCGCGGTACTTGTCATGTATGCTAAACGGAACAAAATGCACTCACTAACCTTTATGTTTATTCGTGTTCTCTGTATCAGATATCATTCATGTTATCAAACAATGCATATTTTATTGATAAAACTTCATTATTTACATTAGTAGCTCCGAGTAAAAGCCGGGCCTCTCGCTCTGTTTGACAAGGGAGAGAACTCCATCGTATCGCGGTACAGAGAAAAGTTGTGTATGGAGGTCCGAATTGGACAAAAAGAGGACATAATTCTACCAACCACTTGGTATGATCATGCCAGACATCAGTGATTTGTCCAGACAAGTGCAAAGACAGCACAAGTAAAAATCTAAATGTGTTATCAGCAATAGGTATTCAATGCAAATTTACCGAAAAGTAAGAGAAAAATATTTTTATAAGTCAACATCAAAATATCAGAAATGATATTTTAAGATTGTTTAAAAAAAAATTGGATGACAATAATTTGTCACAAAATGGAAAAATGTTAAAAGTCAACAAAAATATATAAAAAGCACTCCTAGTATGCCCAAAGTATGTATTTATCTTTTGGTTACTAGTCATGCTAGTGAAGAACGTATTTCTAAGTTTGGCATTATGGCCCTTATGATCTCATACATGTGCGGACTACGTAACTTCCGTTACCTCATTAGTCGCCATGAATATGCAGATGATCTAGTTCAGGTCGATAGAGAAAGTTTATATATCGTTGGCCATTGATAGATCGGGGTAAGGCAATGTTAAAAAAGATGCCAGAAGTATGTATCAACAATTAATAACTCCTTACTTACAGCAGACGGAACATTCCGAGGAAATTGAAATTGTTTACGAAGTGAGCACTTCCTGGTTAATCATTTGCATTAACAGACAGCCGCTAAGAGGCGTGTCCCGCGTAAACTATCGGAAATCACAAATGCCGCGATACGATGAATGCCGCGGTACCACAGGGTCCGAGTATACCAGTATCTGCTCCAGTGACCACACCACAGCTGTAGGTTTACAAAGAGACCAGACTTTTCTCTTGTTTGTAAACAAACACACTTACTCTGAAATAAGAACAGACGGGCCTAATGCATGCCTTTCAGGTGAGCTTTACATACTGTTTTGCATAATTATATAGACATACTACTGTACTACAACTGCGACAGTGGGGTGCATGACAATATAGCTTTACACATCAAAGTAACCGTATCGCTAGCTCTCTGTAGGGCTTTGATGACAGCAATTGGAGGATAAATTCGCATTTTCTCAATGAAAGGTAAACATTTCATTTCATATGTTTATCTAAGGGTGTAGACTTGTCCAAAATAAAACAGATGAAAAACATATCGATGAACTGTGTAAGACATGACAATGTGACAGAGGTACCAGACTGACTGCAAGAAACGGTAAACACTGGCTTTGTATCAAATCAAGTTGGCAATTAGTATTTTGTAACTCATCTGTTAGAAAAACACACAAGCTCTCTCTTCAGTTTGTGATTGACGCAAGTATACTCTGGGCAAATGCTGAGCAGCACTTGAGAATAGAAATAGGCATTAACTAAAGGTATCAGTAATGCTTGCTTGAAAAACACATAGAACCGCCAACAAACTGTCCCTTTAAAATATAGCGACTGGAATGAGTGAATGTCAAAACATGTGAAAATGTCTGTAAATTATCGGGCCTCGACCAGACAACCCAGTGATTGATGTCACGAGCATTGATCCACACAATTGGGATACGATGTCATGTACCGATCAAGGCAGGGAGCCTAACCACCCGATCCCGTCAGTCACCCCTCTACAAGCATTGTCGCCTCTTGCCATGAGTGAGTGAGTGAATACATACATCAAACTTAAAGCTGCATGTCACATGATCAACATTTCAGCCATGTAGCGACGAGAGATTAGATCAGTCAATGAGCAAATAAGCATTCGACAGACAAACTGCGATGTCTAGCCAAAATAACGTGAAACGAATTGACATAGACAAACTCGATCTTGACACTTACGACGACGACTTTCCATGTTTACATTTACTTCCGGTATCAGATCTCGTGATATTGAAGGTTATTTTCGAACAGAAATGTCAAAATGGATGCTTTGTTTCAATTTGTAATTGCGTATAGGTATCTCAGAATATTATGGATTTTTGTGTGCTTTTGGTATTTCTTTTGTTTAGGTTTAACGACATACGAAACGAACGAAGCTAGTACTTCCGGTATTTCGTGGCAGACGAAAATACCAAAGTAAGTCAGACATATCGAAATTTGAGGTTCAACAAGTTACTGTACATTGTCATTCATCCAACTCGAGTTTTAGGATGTCATTTTGTTTCTTCAGTATCTCTCAAACAAATAACATCTTTTCTGTTTCCACTTTTCTGACGTATCGAGTGTAACACTAGTATGACTCGATGATGTTGCAAAATTGAAGCAAGAGTGTTGGGAAAACAACGAAACAGAAGACTCGAAGAGTGAGAAGTAAGAAGTCAAAGTGAAGGTATGTGTATTACTCTAACTTCTCAGCATGATATCTGCTTCATGATATATTGTGTAGATGCAATAAATTTCCAAGTCCCGTGAAGAGATTCGAACCACGGACCCCAGCAAACATTTTCACGTTGCCACGACGTTGTGACAACGTTGTGATAACGTTGTGATATTACGTCCATAGGAGGTTATTCTGAGGACTATCATGTCACAATGTTGTCAACTATCATTGTGTTAGAAAGTTGAAATATCTCATTATGTCCATTTGACTTTAATGGGTGGACTCCCATTGACACTTGTCAGCACAGTACGTTTAAATCTGTAAACAGAAATGGACCCAATAAAATCAGCATACAGAAAGGTACCCTTGGATGAGTCCATTCCGCCCGCAGTCCGTATTGCTCAATGCACTTAACCAGTTCCTTGAAAGCTTACATAGGCCTATACGACACATCATTGATGCCAAACCGCGGTATAATTCAACATGGCAGTACGCGTTTGTAGCTGCAAGTACGCACGTAACTGTCATACTGTTGTATGAGATGCATTCCAGTGTTCTATTTAAAAAACGAGCAAACATACTTGTTGTGTATGTATTATGTTATTTGTCCGACCCGCACATTGGAGGAACATCAAATCTTCAATACATAACAAAACCGTAGTTGGCTCAATCACTGTTTAATGTAGAACTGGCACTGCCTCACACAGCTGCCTAGGTTACAACAACATAATGACGTCACACCTAAAGTGACGTCACTGCACGTGCGCATTGGCGCACTTACAATGTAAACATACCTAACATGCACAACATTTCTCCCCCTTAAAAGAAATTACTTTCTACTTCTCTAACCAATACATTTACAATATTCAGAACACAGTACTATGAGCTATTTTCTAAAGTTATAATTTAACAATGTTACAACTTTCAACCACAAATGATAAACTCATATATATATGATATCTGCTACACATTGCTGAATACTTTATTCAATGACTTAATTGTCAAAACTGTCAGTTTCTACATTGTGTTCTCACAGGGTTAGTCTATCGGGAGGTTTTCTCACTCTTTCTGAACGTCTCACAGTTTGTTTTGCTGGTACATTTGCAATTGTCACCTCACTGTCTTCACACTGGTGTTCATCACATTGCTGTGATGCACTAGGTATTACGATAGGGTCGCCTTTGTTGACCCTGATACTTTCTACAGTCCCTGCACTACAGTCACTTTGAACAATCATGTTCTCGTTACCATGGTTACTAGTTGCATCTCTACACCTTAATTGATCAATATGACGCTTGACAGTTCTATTGCCAATGTCAACATCATAATGTCTTTCACCACATTTTGTCATCACCTTGCCAGCAGTCCATTTGTCTTCTTTGTTGTACTCACGCACCCACACCTTATCATTGTCATTTAGCTGTCTTGTGTCGCCAGGTTGACACAATGAAGAAGACTGTTTTGTAGCAACAACATCAGCATGATTAGGCTTGATTAAGTCAAGTCTACATCTTAGTTCTCTTCCAAGAAAAAGTTTTGCTCGAGTTTCTTGAGTTGTGCAATGGGGACTAGAACGATAGGCTAGCAGAAACCTATCAATCTTCTTCTGTAATGTTGCATCATCCCCTCTAGTTGATTTCATAGCTTGTTTGAAGGATTGAACAGCTCTCTCAGCAAGTCCGTTTGTAGCAGGATGATATGGAGCAGATAAGATGTGTTTTACACCATTACTTCTCAATAATGTTTCAAACTCATTTGACACAAATTGTGGACCATTATCTGTAACAACTTGCAGTGGTAATCCATATTTCGCAAACAAACCTCTCATCACTTTCACTGTCGCATCAGCAGTAGTTGAATTCATAACAATCACCTCTAACCATTTGGAATGAGAATCTACAACAATGAGGTACATGTCACCCATGAAAGGACCAGCAAAGTCCAAATGAATGCGACACCATGATTTTGATGGCCATGACCAATGATGAACAGGAGCTTTTGTTGGATCATTTTGAACATTACTCTAATATTCCACGATGCACAGCATTTTCCAGCATGCACTCGGCATCAGGTGAACGAGAAGTACAAAATGAACTGGTTTCAGTTTCGTGTTGAGGAGTAGGACTCGTCCGCTGTTTAGGGTACCGGGTACCTTTCTGTATTCTGAAATTAGCTGGGGTACATTTCAGTATACAGAAACTGACCAGGGTAATGTACGTGTAGTACCTGTGCCGACAATGACCCCTTCAGCCCCCTGACATCCTTACAAACATATGATAGAATGTTAATTAGCTCGAGGAGAGAATGGTTGAAAGTTCAATTCCCGGCCACGTCATACTAAAAGATGTTATCAGATGGTACTTGTTGTTAGCCTGTCTGGCATTAGGGAATAAGACAAGAACTGGTAGGCTCAGAGTCAGAATACTGTTTGGTATCCATGGTAAATTGTAGCATGGTATCTTAGCGAATGCACACACACACATACACACACACACATTACATAATGCTCTGATCATAACACAATTTGGAGCACTTTTAGAATACAGTACCACAACTTCTCGGGAGGATGTTCTCTGCTGTTAGTCACATGTCTCAAAGACAAGCAACCAGTTTTGTGAGAATCCGTCTAAAGAAATCGCAACTTTCGGATTGTTAGCCCGACAGTTAACTGACTGAGCTACGTTGACACTGTGAAACTAAGTTCAAATTTACTGAGTCATGTCTCCGACGTTACAGAATTGAACAAAAAGGGTCGATTGGGCAAAGAACACTGACAAAGGTTACGGGTAGGCATGGTGTCTCGTGACTGGTCTATGGGCACTTACAAGTGATCCCAATGCCATACTTATTCCATTCCATAATCTCCGAGATACCGAGTGGTGAGGAATGTTGAACTCACGCAAACGCATTAATGATATGGTATTTAATAATTCGTTAGGTGATTATTGTGACAGAAAAGTATGGTAGGGAACACTGTGAACGTAATGTGGATCATAGTAAGGAACGAGGGAGGCATAAGCATGGCTAGTGACACCACAAGGGCAGCGTTAGAAATTGGCACTAGTCGTGTAGTCCTTGCCAAACTGCCCAATAGTTAAGGTATCATAATGTCCAGAAGAAATTTGCCATATCTAAGGATTTTACTGTGTGTTATCATTAACGGGACTAGCGGACTAAAACTGTCAGTTTCTACCGCTGCAAGGGTGAGTCTGCTCTTCATTCATTTCCAAATAAATGAAGCGGGTGAGAGTGTCTTGTGTTAATGTTTCAGGACAATTTCCAGAAGCCAAAATATTTGACACTAAACCATTTCATCCTGCTTTCTCGATGTTTTTGTGTGAAGAATATTAGGAACCACTATAGAATCAATAATAGCCACTAAATGGGTACCTAACCCTAATGATAGTAAAGCTAATGTTGATTGATCGTAAAGGGGATGATCCCTCCAAGGGCCAAGGAAAGGGTTTGGGGTAACCAACCCTAACACCGGCAACATTTTGATGAGTTCAGCGCCAATGTAACTGATATACCTAATGAACTGCATTCTCGACTTTATAATGAAAATTAATGAATGTGCATTCATAAACTAGTAACTTCTATAAAATGTGTCGCTATATTTAGAAAACAAATATTCAAAATTCTCAACATCGCTGGGCTTATTCAATGATATTGTGTTTGGAGATGATAGATCACTATGTATGCCATATTTCGTCATAATTACTTTCATTGTTTTTAAAGTTTGTTATGGCTTAAAAAAAATAAAAGAATTGGTTCTCAGGCAACGACTTTTGAAAATAAAGTGTGGTCTGGCTGTAGTTTTTTTTTGCTTGTTCAAACTTGTATGTTACCAAGTAAACAGTTGTGTACCATCAACCTGGGAAAGGGCCTCCCTACATAAACAAGCATACAAACTCCTATTGCTACAATGACCATAATACGAGATGCACAGTAAAGCAGTGCGAACGCAAAGGGAAGTAACTGCATGCCATATTGGATCACATTTGTTTAAGTGTTAGTATTTTTTGTATTTTTTAAAAATGGAAACAAAAATGAAACTTGCAGCAGACTTTATGATGATGCGGGCAGTGAATGAGGACCAAGACTATTATGTTTTTTTAGCCTACGACAGGTTGTAAATTGTTAATGTACATATCCTTTTTATCACCACCTCTGCTCTTAGTATCAGGATATCGAAGTTCACCCACCTAAAGAGCAGAGTACCAGGATCAATATTGTAGAAATTACAGACATTACAATAACAGTAAACACACATGTTTAAAATACCGAATTTCGAAATAGTTTACTTTGAACATAACTAACATTTCCCATCCTAAAGCAGGCATCTTTTACTATTTTCTTTAATTTTTTGGCTTAAAAGTTTCAGCCTTGTCAGAACTAAATACAGCAACAATAAATCTAAATACATGTAGTTGCATTTTCACTGTTCTGTCTAACATGTCTAATGCACTATCGGTATCTGTAAGAACAGACATATATAATAAAGCATTCTGGCCTTGTTGCTAGGGATGCTGTCATTCAGACACTTTACAGTGATACATTCTAGGAACACTTACATGGTCCATTTGCTCAAGCACTGCCTATGTGACTAAACAACAGACCCCATTCATTTTGACACCGTAACAAGACATCTCAATATTAAGCATAGGACTCTAACCGATTATGTTAGAGGCGATGGTTTTGTGATTTAGTAACTGTTGAAACAGTTCAAAAGCAGGAATAATACATATTGGACATGTCAATGTTTTAGACAATCAATGTTGTCGTAATGCAATATCATGGTGTGGAAAATGTCAAATCTATAACTCTTCTAACTTTAGGTACATCTTGTTACTAATTGTTAATTTTTAAAAGTCTTTCATGGAGGTGGGATATGAAAGCATGACAAATGAGGTCAACAAATGAAGGCACCATACAGGAATTCTCGCACATGCATTCACACAGAGAGAAGACCCAAGGGGGGTAGGAGTGGGGTTGGGATGGGGGGCAGTTGATATGGGATAGTGTAGTTTCTCCAGGAAACAGTTCTGTCATACATTACGCATGCCATTATCGTATCAATGAAAGTGTGGGAAGTGATGTGAGTTATATTATTACCTAAATAAATTCAAACAGATTCTCAAACCACTCTTTTTGATATTACATTTGCAGTTATTTTATCAGATAATGTAATTATATTACCGAGAACAACAAGACAGCGCTGATACAACACACCATTTTGGTTCATGCACTCTGAGATATTTCACGAGGCTGAAAACAATTTATCTGTCAAATACATGGGATGCAGAGCAGCTTCCATGCAGACCTTTGGCAATATAGTTTCAATGGTATGATGAAATTCTAAAGTAGATTTCCTTGCCATTAAATCTCTGTTGTGAAAATCGCAAGCACTGTCCAGAGATGCTCACTTTCGACCAGCAACGGTCACTCTTGCACCCAAATGTTTGACTGAAATTGCTTGTAACACTATCTCTAAACAGCTACTGACAAATGATGTGGAGTTTATCTTACTCATGTTAGCGGCCCCACTAAACTTGTAGTCTTCATGGTCTATGTACTGTGTTATGTCAATATGAACTTTACAAACAATAACTTGTAGAAAGAAATGACTTCTGTCTTGTTATTGTTTGAATTCAACAAAGAATAAGCAGGCATATGCTAAGGTGTGATAATAGTATTGACAATTTGTCACTTCCCTAAAACTCAGACCATAGGGTGCATTTAGTCTTTTGTGACATTTTGACACATTGTTTAGAGTATCAAACAAACCAAACTGCTTTGGGACCATCAGATGCCATGATCGACCATCGCAAAGGAAAGTAACTGTAAACTTCTGTTCATGGGTACCTGGGTCAGGTAGGGCAATAGCTATTGTCTACTAATCCCAGCCCTAACCTGTTCTCTTTACAAGTTACATTTAGTGTTTTAAAATGTCTGTTCTTATCTTTTAGTTGACAGTCAAACCATGGATGACTACGTTACAGAACGTCATTTAAAACTGATGCGTGAAAGGTTGAATGCTGAGAAGATCAAGCTATGGTTGACCCCATATACTTTGGAATCCGGAGAGAGAGGGGATGTTCCAAAGGTTAGCAAATTCTTTCATTTGATCAGTTGTTCATCCAGGTCAATGACTCGGGCTGCAACTTTAGCCACTCATCTGAGAGCCTGAGTCTGGTAAATGTATTTCTGATCTAACATGAAAGCCATTAATAACACAATAATTGTTTTATGCACATTACCATATACTCAGTTGGTAAATGATGAGGTGTGGTGTGTGTAAGGATTTGATACTGACACAGTCTGGCTTCATACCCAAGATCAACTCTCATTTATGACCTTAGATGTTGAAAACGCAACATGTGTCACAATCACGTACACAAGATTCTTGTATGGTTCATGATGTGCACATTCATTGCCGGTTGCCAGGTCCTTTAATTGCACATGCAGATGTCAGTAAAAGGTGAAAGTGCAGATGTTGCTAAATGGTGAACATGCAGATTTGATAAATGGTGAACATGCAGATTTGATAAATGGTGAACATGTGAACATGCAGATATCAGTAAGTGGTGAACATGCAGATGTCAGTAAATGGTGAACATGCAAATATTGGGAAATGGTGAAGATGCAGATGTCAGTAAAATGTGAACATGTAGATGTTGGTATATATGGTGAACATACAGATGTCAGTAAATGGTGAACATGTAGATGTCGGTAAGTGGTGAACATACAGATGTCAGTAAATGGTGAACATGTAGATGTCGGTAAGTGATGAACATACAGATGTCAGTAAATGGTGAACATGCAGATGTCGGTAAGTGGTGAACTTGCAAATGTTGGTAAATAGTGAACATGCAGATTTCAGTAAATGGTGAACATGCAGAAGTTGGTAAATGGCAAACATGCAGATGTCAGTTAATGGTGAACATGCAGATGTTGGTAAATAGTGAACATGCAGATTTCAGTAAATGGTGAACATGCAGAAGTTGGTAAATGGCAAACATGCAGATGTCAGTAAATGGTGAACATGCAGATGTTGGTAAATAGTGAACATGCAGATGTCAGTAAATGGTGAACATGTAGATGTTGGTATATGATGAACATGCAGATTAGGTAAATGGTGAACATGCAGATATTGGTATATGGTGAACATAAAGATGTCAGTAAATGGTGAACATGTAGATGTCGGTAAGTGGTGAACATGCAAATGTTGGTAAAAAGTGAACATGCAGATTTCAGTAAATGGTGAACATGCAGAAGTTGGTAAATGGCGAACATGTAGATGTCAGTAAATGGTGAACATGCAGATGCTGGTAAATGGGGAACATGCAGATTAGGTAAATGGGGAACGTGCAGATCTCGGTAAATGTTGAACATGCAGATGTCAGTAAATGGTGAACATGCAGATGTCAGTAAATGGTGAACATGCAGATGTCAGTAAATGGTGAACATGCAGATGTCAGTAAATGGTGAACATGCAGATGTCAGTAAATGGGGAATGTGCAGATCTCGGTAAATGGTGAACATGCTGATGTCAGTAAATGGTGAACATGCAGATGTCAGTAAATGAACATGCAGATGTCAGTAAATGGTGAACATGCAGATGTCAGTAAATGGTGAACATGTAGATGTCAGTAAATGGTGAACATGCAGATGTCAGTAAATGGTGAACATGCAGATGTCAGTAATGGTGAACATGCAGATGTTGGTATATGGTAAACATGCAGATGTCAGTAAATGGTGAACATGCAGATGTTGGTATATGGTGAACATGCAGATTAGGTAAATGGTGAACATGCAGATTAGGTAAATGGTGAACATGCAGATGTTGGTATATGGTGAACATACAGATGTCAGTAAATGGTGAACATGTAGAGGTCAGTAAATGGTGAACATGCAGATGTTGGTATATGGTGAACATGCAGATGTCGGTAAATGGTGAACATACAGATGTCAGTAAATGGTGAACATACAGATGTCAGTAAATGGTGAACATGCAGATGTTGATAAATGGTGAACATGCAGATGTCAGTAAATGGTGAACATGTAGATGTCAGCAAATGGTGAACATGTAGACGTTGGTAAATGGTGAACATGCAGATGTCAGTAAATGAACATGCAGATGTCAGTAAATGGTGAACATGCAGATGTCAGTAAATGGTGAACATGTAGATGTCAGTAAATGGTGAACATGCAGATGTCAGTAAATGGTGAACATGCAGTTGTCAGTAATGGTGAACATGCAGATGTTGGTATCTGGTAAACATGCAGATGTCAGTAAATGGTGAACATGCAGATGTTGGTATATGGTGAACATTGCAGATTAGGTAAATGGTGAACATGCAGATGTTGGTATATGGTGAACATGTAGAAGTCAGTAAATGGTGAACATGTAGATGTTGGTATATGGTGAACATGCAGATTAGGTAAATGGTGAACATGCAGATGTTGGTATATGGTGAACATACAGATGTCAGTAAATGGTGAACATGTAGATGTCAGTAAGTGGTGAACATGCAGATGTTGATAAATGGTGAACATGCAGATGTCAGTAAATGGTGAACATGCAGATGTTGGTATATTGTGAACATGTAGATGTCAGTAAATGGTGAACATGTAGATGTCAGTAAATGGTGAACATGCAGATGTCAGTAAGTGGTGAACATGCAGATGTTGATAAATGGTGAACATGCAGATGTCAGTAAATGGTGAACATGCAGATGTTGGTATATTGTGAACATGTAGATGTCAGTAAATGGTGAACATGCAGATGTCAGTAAATGGTGAACATGTAGATGTCAGTAAATGGTGAACATGCAGATGTTGATAAATGGTGAACATGCAGATGTCAGTAATGGTGAACATGCAGATGTTGGTATATGGTAAACATGCAGATGTCAGTAAATGGTGAACATGCAGATGTTGGTATATGGTGAACATGCAGATTAGATAAATGGTGAACATGCAGATGTTGGTATATGGTGAACATGTAGATGTCAGTAAATGGTGAACATGTAGATGTTGGTATATGGTGAACATGCAGATTAGGTAAATCGTGAACATGCAGATGTTGGTATATGGTGAACATACAGATGTCAGTAAATGGTGAACATGTAGATGTCAGTAAGTGGTGAACATGCAGATGTTGATAAATGGTGAACATGCAGATGTCAGTAAATGGTGAACATGCAGATGTTGGTAAATGGGGAACATGCAGATGTCAGTAAATGGTGAACATGCAGATGTTGGTAAATGGGGAACATGCAGATGTCAGTAAATGGGGAACGTGCAGATCTCGGTAAATGGTGAACATGCTGATGTCAGTAAATGATGAACATGCAGATGTCAGTAAATGAACATGCAGATGTCGGCAAGTGGTGAACATGCAGATGTTGACAAATGGTGAACATACAGATATCACTTATCAGTAAGTTGAAGATCACTGTGGTACATCTTCAAGTACAAATGCAGGGTTTGAAATTGGTACAAGTCCTATAGCCCTTGCCAAACTGCCCAAATGTTAAAGTATCATATGGACGAGTAGAAATTTGCCGTTTCTTAAGGGTTTTTCTATATGTTATCATTATATGGACTAGTGGACTGAAAATGTTAGTTTCTACCGCTGAAATAGCCACTGTCTAAGCTTAAGGCCTTAAGGATTATGTTACAGTTGAAGCCTGGTGATGTATGCTAATACATTAACATCAAGTTCTTTGTGCTATATTGTAGGAACTGATAAGCAGATATGCTAAAGATCTGGGACTTGCAGAAACAGAAGTTGTTGAGTTGTTGGAATCTCTAAGGCAACATGCTCTTCAGAAACTTTCTGAGCGTGACAAGTTTCAGAAGGAAGGCATAGCAACTTTGAAAATGATCATCACTGCCTGCCAAACAGAAGAGGTATGAGAATGAGGATACATCTAGTATATGTAATGTTCTTTTTAGCAGTTGAGTTGGGCTTTTGTTGTCAAAACAATTTATTTTTATAAACACAATGCCTCAATTATCGTAAAATATTTAATGCTCAGCCATATAATGTGTTGGTTTTAGTGTTTTGTATATTAACAGTTTGTTTTTTTAAATTTAATTTTAACTCAGTTTTTCATTCAATATTGTTTTCCATAAATATAGTGATGGTATAAACATTTTTGTCGTGTTGTATTGCATTGTGTTTCCAACTGTATCCATATGTATACATGAATGGACATATTTAGTTCAAACATATGTTCCAGAAATGACAACTTTTTCTGTTCATATGCAGGGTTTGAGGAAGCATGCTTACACAACAGAAATCCAATTAAGTGCTGATGGATCTGACCTGAGGAAGAAGGTGGCCCATAAATGTAACCTTCCCATTGACCAGATCAAGCTCATCACCTGTGGCCGTGTCATTAAGGATAATGCTTCCTTGCAAGAACAGAGTGTTAAGGTGCCTATTTTAAATGTCAAATCTGCAGTTAACATGGTCCAAGATACTTTTCCAATTATTTTTGTAATCTCAATTTTCAAGAAATTCATTAAAGTTAGGGTTGACATGCAAATATCTCCTGGGTATTAAACAATGTGTTGTCTGTGAGTCAGACAGATATGTTTCACTGATGTTTCAATTATTTGGTACTCTTATCATCAGAATGGGTCCAAGGTGATGGCTGTGCGGCTGTCGGTTGCTGAGGCAGAGGCACACAGGCAACAGAAACAGGCTTCTAATGTCGCCAAAACTCGCGAAGCCGCGGAACTTCTCACAACCAAGATAGACTCAGGTAGGTCAGGTACAGTGTCCTATGTTATGCAATATTGCATGTATACTTTGATAGTACTGTACTACTGTTATTGGGCAGACCTTACATTTAAAATGTACAGTCATATTTAATCTGGGGTATTCTAAATTCAATTGACTATATGATTTGTGGCTATCAGCTTGGGAGCAAGTGACGGGACTTCTTTTGTTTCTACAAGTGATTATGAAAATAACTAAAGATCTACGAGGAATTAGAGTTTATTTTTCCAAAGGGAATTAATGTTGTAGATCCCATGTGAGCAGGAAAGATAAACCTCAATTCCTAGATTTGAGTTGATTATTCTCTTTCTTACCCATAATCTAATTTACTGAACACCTCTCAGGAGATCCCATTGGAATTTATCATGTATCAGCACATGGATGATAGACTAAAAGAATGATGAATGGAAAGTAGTACCGACATCCAATAAACAAAAGCTGAGTTATTTATAGAAACACTTACCAAGAGTATTGCAGAACATTCAATACCTTCTATCCGGCTTGAATTGTGGGTAAGAAAAGACGTAACAGATGATACTTTGAATGTTGCAGAAGAAGATGACTTTGACATCCAAATTGCTGACCAGTCTGGGAAGCCATTACAACTCCCTCTGGAAGAGAAGAAGGTTTGCTGACATCCCTGTTGTGTATTCTACCATATCAGTTGAAAATACTGTTCTGATTGTGACCCCAGTGGTATTGAAGCTATGTTAGACAATTTATTTTGCACAACTCTATCATGTATTGATACATGCTGACTGCTTCAAAATTGTTTGTAGAGCATTAATATATCATAACAAATGCTTCTGACATCATTCTATTGTTGTTTAGGTTTAACTTGTGTATTAACTAGCAGGGATGTGAAATCTCCGCGGAAACGCGGAAAATCTCGTTTTTTAAAACAGTAGTCCTCGGAAAAAATCATCTTCCGCGTAAAAATTTAATAATATTTTTAAAAAAAACACTCCGAAAAATATGATCGAAAACCGGAAAATTGGCGCAGATTGTCCTGTTTTCGATCAGAGCTTTCACCAGCATAGGTTTTCGGACATCATACGTTTTCTGTCACGAATACTTGCACTATAACGTGGGATGTGGCGTCACACAGAAATTGTAAATACTCAGAGTCAGCTGATGGCTTGTTTTTAAGATAAAGTTGTCTTTTAGCCTGTAAGTGAATGAGATGTTTTACAGTTGTTCATGTGATAAGCGAGAAAACTATGAATGTTTCTTCAGCGTCCAAAACCCCATGTCATGGGGATATATGTTGTATTAATGTCTTATGTTTGCAATGGAGTTTTGTTTTTTTCATCAAAAGGTAAGTACAAGGTAAGTTTTTTGTCAATATGCTTCAACATGGGGAAAGGGTCAGACATTGCACGCTTGTGACAGTTGTCCTTGTGTCTGGGGTATGGGGGTTGAAGTTTATGGCAGTATTGCTCCCAAACCTGGCGGGTAGCCAGGTGCGCGAAAGCTATGCCCAATTTTTTAAAAGTACTGATTTAACTTCGAAATTTTACTGCCATCTTGTTTATTTGACTTATGACTTTGGCCATTGACTTATTACATTTCTTGGTGTGAATGTTGTCCAAACTGCACAAAATTGCTTAAATGCAATCAAATGTTTTAAAACCCCCTAGACTTTTCCTCTTTTTTCGGGAAAACCTGCTCCCCTCCCTGATTAGTGCAAAGTCATGTTGATGTGAACAGCTAACCCCCATGCACCGACAATTCTGTGGTAATTAAGAGCTTTGTTTCTGTCAACCTCAGTAGAGGTGTGCGGTATTACCAGTTTACCAGTCTACCCAGATTTAAAATACCAATGAATATGTATCATAATACATTTTGAAAATATTGCAGTGTGCAAACGCTGTGACGTTTTTGTGATGTATATGAGTGGTGGACCACAAAGTTAAAGACACACATACACCGACATCATCTACTGAAAATGCAACCTAATGCATGCAATATATTGTGGTGCATATATCGCAATACATCAGTCAATGCACCAGTGAAGCCAACACCATCACTGAACCTCAGCGTGGTCTGTTTCATTTTAATAAGGGTGCTTCATTGTAGTTGCATGTAGACTATCTACATTTGTTGAATATCTGTATGGCAGAAGGTGTATGATGGCATGTATTTGTTCTAATGAAAATATACTTGGTCATTATATTCTCATTTCTGATCAAAATGATCACATAGCAAGTTATTGCTGTTGGGATGAGTTAATATACTAGAGCATGCAGTGTCCATATTTTGCCAATACAAATCCACCAGTCAGGAAATAGCCCACATTGACTTTCTGTTACAAGTATATATCATGACAGAGCATGATATGGCTGGAGAATTGCTTACATTAATTTAGAAAACCATTTATACTGTAGGTAAAGAAGGGATCTATGTAAGTTTACAGAGCATTATTCATGTTTGCCTCATTCATGTCACACAGTGTGACAATACAGTGTTGTCCTCTGAATGCTCCAGGCCCTGACTCTTGCCATGACACTTCATGAGAAGGGGCGAGCATCGCTGAAGAAGAAGGAGATATCTCAAGCTTTGTTGTTGTTCCTGGAAGCTGACACAGAGTTTAGGTAGGTAAAGAAAAGCTTGATACGTTGGTCCATTTGTCAACACGACCATTGAAGAAGGTCTGTTGATAACATCAGTCAGAAAAAGAATGCACTCCTATGTCAGTTTAACTATTTCATAGGCCTGTAGCCTGTATACATAGCCTAAGTGGTGGTGGGGTAGCCTGGTGGGTAAAGCATTCATTGTCACCGACACACATGCACGCACGCATGCATGTGCGCACACCTCACCACTGAGAGTTGTATGGTTCTGTGTCTGCTACAGCAAGTGCAAGGCTGAACTACTGCATGCTGTCGACAACTATGCAGTCCTGTGTCTGGATATCGTCTGGTGCTATCTCTGTCTCAAGAATGTGGATCAGCTTCCTGATGCAGGTACAATATGTCATATCAGCTAAACCTTCGCAATACCACTATGGGTATTACATGTCAAGATAAATGTGTATCTTTATTTGATCCCTCTGCACTGTTGTCTTCTACAAGAGTCTTTTCCAACCTTGAAATGTGATGCGTTTTGTTGTGCTGCTTGGCTCTCAGCAATTTCATCTTGTTTGTTTCTAGAGTGGAGACTTGAGCAGAGTGAAAAATGTTTCCTCCGAAGTTATGGGGCTAACAATGAACGTCTGACGGCCGTGAAGGTACATGAGAATTAGCATACTTTATAAAATTGTTGACAGCACTAGTTATTACATGAAGGTTAATACACTCTTTTATTTTGGTTGAAAATGTAATACCTTGAGCAAGGGAAAGGCCAATTCACGTCATGGAACTTTAGACATGTAGACATCCTGTAGACATCCTGTTGTACGTCCATAGGTCTCCATGCTGTAGACACCCTGTTGTAAGTCCAGTGTACCTCTACATGCTGTAGACGCCCTGTTGTACATACATAGCTCTCCATGCTGTAGTCACCCTGTTGTCAGTCCATAGCTCTCCATGCTGTAGTCACCCTGTTGTATGTCCATAGGTCTCCGTGCTGTAGTCACCCTGTTGTCAGTCCAGTGTACCGCTCCATTCTGTAGTCACCCAGTTGTAAGTCCATAGCTCTCCATGCTGTAGTCACCCAGTTCTACGTCCATAGCTCTCCATGCTGTAGTCACCCTGTTGTACGTCCATAGGTCTCCGTGCTGTAGACATCCTGTTGTACGTCCATAGGTCTCCGTGCTGTAGTCACCCTGTTGTACGTCCATAGCTCTCCATGCTGTAGTCACCCTGTTGTCAGTCCAGTGTACCTCTCAATGCTGTAGTCACCCTGTTGTACGTCCAGTACGTGTACCTCTCCATTCTGTAGACACCCTGTTGTACGTCCATAGCTCTCCATGCTGTAGTCACCCTGTTGTCAGTCCAGTGTACCTCTCCATGCTGTAGTCACCCTGTTGTACGTCCAGTACGTGTACCTCTCCATTCTGTAGACACCCTGTTGTCAGTCCAGTGTACCTCTCCATGCTGTAGACACCCTGTTGTCAGTCCAGTGTAACTCTCCATGCTGTAGTCACCCTGTTGTACGTCCATAGGTCTCCGTGCTGTAGTCATCCTGTTGTCAGTCCAGTGTACCTCTCCATTCTGAAGTCACCCAGTTGTAAGTCCATAGCTCTCCATGCTGTAGACACCCTGTTGTACGTCCATAGCTCTCCATGCTGTAGACACCCTGTTGTAAGTCCAGTGTACCTCTCCATGCTGTAGACGCCCTGTTGTACATACATAGCTCTCCATGCTGTAGTCACCCTGTTGTCAGTCCATAGCTCTCCATGCTGTAGTCACCCTGTTGTCAGTCCAGTGTACCTCTCCATGCTGTAGTGTCTCTGTTGTAAGTCCAGTGTTAACTGCAGGGTGGGACAGGGAGTGAACAAGCCCAGGCCTTGTTCATGAGGCTCCATCTTCTGCAGGGAGTCATGGCCTTCCATCAACATCGAGTCAAGGTTGCAGCCAAACTCCTTGGCCAGGTAATGTATCCTTAGCTCTGCTTCCTTCAGATATCATATCTTATCACTCTAGGATGTTTGTACACTGCATCTAAGGAAAACAACAAATGATCCTCCAATTCAGATCCGTAATACAGGTAATGGGTCATTTCCCCCTTAAGTATTCACATCAACATTAAGCTCTGGTTTTATGGAGTATGTTTTGTAAGGGTGTGCAGTATTATGGGTATATCGGTAAATTGATGTTAATTTTTTCCACAATATGTAGCACAATATCATTTTTTAATGTTCGATATATCGGATGATTTCAAATAGCGATTTTTATGATGTGTTTAGTGTTATATACTTGTCAAATGCCTTTGCTGCCCCGGAGCATGCATCTGGGGCCCCAAGATGGTTGTGTATTTATTGACTGAGTAAACATAATGTTGTACCAGCTTCTTGTTATGTTCAATTTATGAACGTCAATTCATACCTTAATGTATCAGATTGCTTCTGAATTCAAAATTTAGTATTATACAATATATCATGATATGTATTGCAATACGGCCTTGTGCATCACAAAATATTGTGATACACTTTAAACCTCCATTACCCATCCCTTAATTGTGTTGTGTCAAGGATATTTCATGCTATTATATGGTAATCTCTTACAGGCTGAAGAAGAGTTGAAGTCTTTACAAGTGGATGAAAATCTTATCACTGAAGGTACCTATTATTGAATTCACCCTAATTAATTGAGAGAGAATACAGTTGATCATAGAAATAATAATGACATTCATTGGTGTAAGATTGTGCTCAATATTCCTCTGATATCCACTGACATTAAATTAGTATGTATTAAATTTCTCAAGTGCATGAAGTGTAGAACACTCCACCTGTGGTATGACATTTATTTCAGTGATGTCTGTTGGCTTCAAGGAGAAGGAGGCTCGACTTGCTCTCAGGGCTTGTAAGGGGGATGTCCAGAAAGCCGTGGATCATATCATCAACAGGAGAAAGGTACATTTACATTACATTAAGTTGCTCCATAGGCAATGCTCTGTCCAGGTGCCTCATACTAAGTGTTTTTAACGAATGAAGACCTCTGAAGTGATCACATTTACCTTCAGCTTCAAGATCTGATATCTGAGGCTCTTTGCTCATTTTGATTTTTTTGTACACAAATGGAAAGACCCGGATCAGTCTTGAATGATGAATGCACAACAGTACATGTGTCAGATAAAAAACATATATTAGTATTTGTCTTCATCAGGAGAAAAAAGAGATGAATATGAAGCTGAATCAAGAAAGGAAAGAAAAATTGAGAGCCAAAAAGTTTGGAAAAACTGCAAGTGGAGAGTGGTCAGTATTGGTCAATTATTAGAGTAGATAAAGGAATCAGACCTCATTTCTCTGTTCTGGTATATTTCATACAAGACATCACACATGAAGATTAGAATAGGTCTTCACCAATCCAGGCTTGCCATAAAAGGCGACTATACTTGTCGTAAGAGACGACTGACGGGATTGGGTGGTCAGGCTAGCTGATTTGATTTCCAATTGCGTAGATTGATGCTCATGATGTCAATCACTGGATTGTCTGGTCCAGACTGGATTATTTACAGACCAACGTCATATAGCTGGAATATTGCTGAGAGCAGCGTTAAGCAACAAACAAACAAACAAACAAAATCATACAAGAAATACAGATTGATGCAACACTGTTGGAAATTAAGTTGGAAATACAAGGGATCCTTGTCATAGCTCTATTGTTAAAAGTTAATACTATAGGAGCAAACCTCTTGGACCACACAGGGCCCTGTTCCACAAAACAACCTGAGCACACAGGTGATACTAAGTCGTGGGATTTCAACCTTGGACCTTGTGTTGTGTATATGTCTTTCTTTACTAAAGGTTGTTTTTTTATGTGTTAGGTATTTATTTTTGTGAATTACCTATTTCTAATCATTTATAATGGTTCATGAATAAACTATTTTGATTCAATTGCTTTAAACTTCAATTATAGTTAATTTTTAAAAAAACTAATCACATGTTAAATTAATACTTAATTGTCATATCTATATAATATCTGTCATTAAGAATAAATAGAGGATGTTTGTATTTGCTTGCTAATAATGCAACCATTTATGCCAGGTTGATAAGTTTATTACTTTCAAGATAGCATGTCCTCCACATATGTATGGAATACTTGTTCAATCAATACGTGCATACACTAATTTGTCATCTGTGCTCACACAAGCATAATTTCAGAGGCATGTTTATTCATAAAACTGGCCAAATAATGACAGGTTGCATGGAAAACAAGAAATTTGAGTGAAGCACCTAAGAATTAAAATACATTTTTAAACCTCCCTGTGAACATGGTGAAGCAACATCCGTCAATTTGGAAGGTGATCACATAAATATTTTTGTTTCAGTGGAAGCGGTACCATAATGTCTTCATCTTTCCATTAATGGATTCCTTTTTTGGTAGTTCAAGGGGAACACTCTTAGTTGTTCCCATCTTCTTTATCCTGGATGTGTTATGCTCCATGTTTTTACTGAGGAGGAATTAATAAGTGGTGTTAATGATATGTATACATGGATATCAAACAACACGTAGGCATGCAATCACGGTAGCTTACAATGTGGTGGAAGTTAGCGAAGCAGTTTTTGTTTAGAAATTACATATGACGATTAAGTAAAATTTGTACCCACAAATTATGTTAGAAATAGACAATAAAATCCTAAACTGTCATGGTTTTAACAGTACATTGAGTGATGGTTTTACCCAATGGATGTCATGCAGCCTTACGAACACAACCTTAGTGAGCACTTCAGTTGGAAACTGGGTTTTGATTGAGATAAAGTTCTTTTGTGAAACAGCTGTTACTTCAGACTAAAAATAATTTTTACCTTAGTGGTTAAGGTTCCTTAGCTAAGGTTGTTTTGAGGATGGGGCACAGGATCACCCTTAGTTTCAGATGCGGCATAATAACATGAAGTGAGTGATGGAAAATATTATGTCACGATGTCAATGTTTCAGCCATTTAACAAGTTCTTGTAAGGATCAATGGTGATAACAACAGTAATAGAAAGATCAACTGATCTCATGTTTGTCCTGCTGTGTAATACTGACATCAGACTTGTCCAGTAGCATTCTCTATTTTGACTATTTCACTATTTTATCATTTAAGGATTGATTTTCATGTTGTGCATTTATCGAAGGATATCTGTCACAAATTGTATAAAATCATGGATTTATAAATGTTATATCTATCCCATGTTGACGTGTGCACAGGCTGAACATGCACAACATGGACATGTTGGTTGGTATGGGGTTTGCCAGCGGTGCTGCTGCGGAGGCTCTCAAACAGGGTAATAATGATGTCAACATGGCTCTTGAGGTGAGTTCTTACACCACACTCATCATACACATATTATTCTTCCATCACAAACTGTGTTCATATAGTTTTAAGGAAAACTAAAGCTAACTACATTCAACAGCCTGTATTATGGCAGGGTACATCACATAATAATTACTATCACAACCCCAACCCACAAAACTGGTATGTAATGCAACTCCGCCAACACATAGCAGAGGAAATGGGTATCGTTGACTTGCCCACATGGATGACGAAGGCACATCTCTTCACACGTAACTCCACCTCTGGCAGAAATGGTCAACGAAGACGACAACCTTCTGCGACGGTGACTACGAGGAGGAGAATGTGCAATCAAGCATTAATCAGTACAATAATGGGTCAACCTTACAAGCAATAGACACTCAGCATATGAATTCAGTGACGCCACCACATGGCATGGCCGACCCAAGACAAGTCAACCTTTCGGAATTGCTGCAAATCCCTTCAAGACATGGTCTCCAGGCTCACAAAAACCTTTCAGCCAGCTCATAACCATATCTCACCACCATAACCAGGGACAGGCAACTCAGGAATAATTGATGAACACAGAACTTGCAACAATGGTGGAGGGCAACATGACTGGCAAGGACCCCAACACCTTACCATGGTTGGATGCTATTTCCTCATCTCTCCGGACACAAATATTTGAAATTTAGGATGTTAACTTGGCGTTATTACTCATGCCTGACGAGATTCAAACAGGCTCTCGCACCACTGTCGACTCCTGATAAACTAGTGCATCAGCCTTTATTCATGTGGAATTTTATAACAGCTTTTTCACACTACAAAAGGAAAAATGACTAAAGTTAACGGTTGGTGGTCTCAGGAACTTGATCAATATCTACAAAATATGACAACCGATGCTTCATGGTATACATACCATAAACTGTTATCTGACAAAGCTGCTGCAGCTATTGAGCAACTGAATCAATAACTGTACTGGGGCACGTTTTTCACTTCCAAGAAAGTCAACCTGTATGATCTGTGCCAGGACATAAGATACATGATGGAATTCTGCCCCCTATCAGCAGAGGCAGGTCAGACCACACGGCAGGTCACCCCAAGTTTCGAGGACAGGGGGCATAACCCTTGCAGTTCCCAATCCCAGTATTCAAGAGATTCAGGATTCATCTCCTTTCAAGGTCGGAAAGTGTGCTACAACTACCAAGATGACCAATGCACATTCCCACAATGCCGTTTCTTACACATCTGCATTACGTGCAAGAAAACCCACCCCAGAAGCAGATGCCAGCAGGACCCTACCCCTGATTCAACAGACAGTGCTGGCAGGAATGGGAAACGTCATAAATGACTTGGCTTACAACAGTTGGGCACGATAACATCATCATTGATTATAGACAGTCTCCAAACCAAATTGCAAGATCACCCCGACAAACATATGGCTAACTATCTGATGTCAGGTTTTCAGCAGGGATTCTTCATCGGCATAGAGCATCGTCCAACTACTTCCAAAGTATTTGCAGTCAACGCATGGGTTACACAATGCCACTGTTGTTTCGGACCTGGTGAACACTGAGCTGCACAAAGGTTATATGGTTGGTCCATTTGACTCCAGTCCCTTCCTACATCATAGAATCAACCCATTTGGCCTAGTGGAAGGGAAGTATTGGAAAAAACGAAGACTCAGAGGTGGACATGTCAGCACCACACAATGATCTACTCGACCCCAGCTTAAACTCACTGATTGTTAAAGAGAAGTTCTCCCTCTCCTATGTCAAGGTAGATGATGCTATCACCATCATTAAGCAATTGGGACATGGTTCCTTTATGTGCAAGACCAACATAACAGATGCTGTCAACTTATTCCCTATTCACCCAAGTATCTGGCATCTAGGACAACTATATTATTTTACAGGACTGGTATTTAGGTGTAGATCCAGCCCAAAAATCTTCGACACACTCTCAACAGCCATCTGCTTTATATCCCAAAACAGTAACAACATTAGATATATCCTACATTTGATGGATGATTTCATATGTTTTGTGGAATCACTGACCAAAGAGCACATGATTATGACAGCACTGATACAGATGTTCAAAGACCTTGGCATCCCATTAGCAGCACACAAGACCAGGGGACCATCCACATGCCAAGAATACTTGGGTATCTCTTTAGACTCTGTCCACATGGAAGCCTGTCTACCCGAATACAAGATTTCTCGTATCTTGGCCATCATTGACAGTCTGCTACTTCGTCACCAAGATCGTCACCAAACGGAAAATGTTGGTGGTGTTGGACTTTGCCATGCAAGTAATTTGACCTGGACGTTCATTTATTATCAGCTTGCTGTTTCGATTTGCTTATTCACTACCAAGTTTATCTGATAAACTTCAATGAATCAATCTCAATGAAGAATGCAGGATAGACTTCGACATGTGAAGAGATTTCTTGCGCTGTTGGAATGGGGTTTTGATGTTTATTATGGAAACCGTAGAATCACCAGATGTCACGTTGTTCACAGATGCTTCAGGTGCATTAGGCTATGGAGGATATTTTCAAAGACAGTGGTTTTCCTCACCATGCCCACAAGCATTAACTGAACAGGCAAGAAATGTCTATAGCATTGTTGAAACTGTATCCCATAGTTTCAGTAGTAGTTTTATTGGGTCACAGGTGGAGCAGGAAATGCATCAGATTTTATTGCGACAACACAGCCACTGTCTGTATTGTGAACAAAGGCCGATCTAAGTCTACTATTATCATGAAGTTGATGAGAAGGTTGATACTGCCATTAAGTACCATTTTGTGTTTGTAGCTAAGCAGGAACCTGGGAAGTTTAACTGCATTAGTGATGCACTCTTTCAGTTGCAGTTCACCTGATATCGCCTGCCAACCCCGTGTCCCACCATGGTGGAGACGATATATCCATAACTGAGACAATGATGATTCGACCTCGAATAGTTATGGCCTTGTGCAGTGTCAGAAAGGACATTCCATGTCTATCAGTCAGGTTACGAAACCTTCATCAGATTCATGGCCTCGTGTGATGTAGTTTGGGGCAGCGAACTGCCTCCTTTGTCAGAACAGACACTGTTGCTCTTTGTGATCTACTCTTACAAAACATTCAACCATCAAGTCCTATATTTGTGGACTGAGATTTGTGTACATGAGAGCAGGTGCAGATAATCCATGGGTGACAGGGTCCAACAAACTGAGTGTCATGTGTTAAACCATTGTGCTTTCCTTAGAAGTTTAGTCCATCCTCATGAAAGCATGTGTTGCTTGGCCTTCTTTGCATTTCTCAGATGCGGGGAATTTACATGTGAGGTATTCAAACATCTCTCACTCAAACTCAAGTTAAAATCATCTATCATTGATCCATTCCGACAAGGTATCAACCCTCACCATTCACAGAGTAGGCAACGACATCTGTTCAGTTTCGAGTATGTTCACCTACCCACTCTGGTGGACCCAGGCGACTCGGCAACCTGAGGCCCCCCTATTTGTGTCGCTGGAGGGATAGGCTCTATTAAGAACTTTCTTTATTAAGCAAATAAATATTCTATTAGCAGCAGCTGGTTAAAACCCAGAATCATACAATGGACACTACTTCAGAATTGGTTCTGCTACATCTGCAGCAGCAGCAGCCATACCAGATCACATGATCCAGACATTCAGACGTTGGTCATCTCAGTGCTACGTACGCTACATTCGAATATCCGATGAATCCATTGCCAGGGCTCATAGATTGCTGTCTGTTGTTCTGTTGTGCTGTCTGTGTAGGTTCTAACACCGTTATCAAGCATGTGATGTACAGAGTGTGGTTGACAAGTATATATATACAGGAAGGAGGCAGTGTCTATACAGTAGAGTAGATATCAGATGTAGTTACATTGGAGTGGAGAAGCCTGTTATGTACAAAAAGGGGAGTAAACATATTGACCGGCAAAGTCGCTCCTATGTAATAAAGAAGTTGTTCATCCACAAATATTATCCTTACTTAGTACTCCAACTTCTAAATGCCTCCCAAAGAAGGTATGTATGTGTTGTTCAATGTCATCCAAACAGAGTTAGTGTTAGAGTTAGCCACTATCTTGAGTCCTGTCACTATCAGACAACAGTCTAGTGCTTTAGCATGTTTAGTCACGAATCCATCAAGGTGATTTGGCATCTATATGAACAGGATGTGGAATAAATTTTTATTTTTCACAGTCGCAAACTTGTTGTCAATGCTGTGTCTTTAATTCACCATAATGCATTCAGTGCAATGTTTACATTTTTTCTATTACAGCTTCTTAACATTTTAAGCCAACTGATCATTTGGCAGTTATCCACAGATCCTCTTGTGGTTCTTTACCCCCATATTTACAGTAATCTAAGGCTTTCCTGTCAATTTAGTTTACCCAGTCAGCACTGCCTGGCGATCAGGGCAAGTAGTTAGGGTCCGAGACTCCTGCTTGTGTGGCTTGACCGGAGTGGTGGTCACCATGGTACTCGATCACGAGCTGGTGCACTTGCCTTTTAATTCCAACCAGCAAGGTCAACCTGACAATCTAGGCAAGTATAGTTTGGAAGGTAATTTAAGGTACCGATGTTTACTACAATATCTGAAAAACTATTGGACCGTGACGAACAGGTCTGGTTGTTGATGAAATATAGTGATAGCTAAATAAAGATTTTTTATTCATGCACCGATTGTCTTTAAATGTAATATCCAGTTATGTATGACTGTTTAATAATATCATACCAACTTTGACTGGAGTAGGTCCGATAGTTTTTCAGATATTGTAGTAAACGTCAGTACCTTAAATTAACTTCCAGACTATAGCTCGTAATCCCTGCATGTGTGACCTGGCTTTTGAATATTGGTACAATGAGAATCTCCCTCCACCAAATCTTAATAGATCTTTATTTCTACATCTTGTGTCTGTCGTTTGTCATTATAAATTCAGACTTAAGAATTAAGTGCAGTTTATGATGGCAAACACAAGTTTTAACAACAGTGTTGAAGATAATGTGTTATGTTTTTCCCCCTAAAGATTCTACAGACACATCCAGAGCTGCTTGACATTGTTGATCCAGAGGATGAGGAGTGGGAGGATGTGCATGTCACAGATGATATGTTGGCTCAGGTAACTAGTACAATAGGGTTTGCTTGTATATAGACTACCAGTGGCTTGTTGGCTCAGGTAACTAAACTCACGTCCAAAAGAAACTTTACCAGAGTTTGAAATCACTCTTGCTCAAAAACAACAAAACATACATGCATGAAGTAAAGTGTATTGAGAAGATCACTAAATCAACATAATCAACACTGAAAAAGACAATCATACCACGACCGAGAATGACGTCAGAGCCCCCCAAAGTTTGGTGTGGTACAAAAGTCGAGCTTTCAGAATCATGGACAATAGGCAGAGTACATAAACAATCGCTCACGTTCAATAACAAGTCATTGGTAGCGTGTGTGACCACCAAATGCCTTAATACATGCAAAAACTCTTCGCCGCACAGAAAAAGTCAGTCGTCTGATGAGGTCACGTGGGATTTGACGCCATTCTTCTTGGAGGGCCAAGATCAGTTCTTGACGGTTGGCTGGAGAGTGTGGTCGTTGTCGAACACGACGATCCATCAAGTCCCAGAGGTGTTCTATGGGGGACATGTCGGGTGAGCGTGCAGGCCACGGCAGGACGTTGACGTTGTTGGCTGCGAGGAAGTTAGTGACAATTCTGGCTGTATGGGCTCTAGCGTTGTCATGCTGATAAATGACACCACGTGGCTGTTGTTGGAGAAATGGTAGGACAACTGGACGAAGAATGTTATCCATGTAACACAGAGCTGTCAAGTTTCAATCAATGATGACCAGCGGTGTCCTCTCCTGCCCACAGATCCCTCCCCACACCATGACACTCCCTCCACCATATGGTACGACCTCCTGCACGCAACATGCCGCTGTTCGTTCATCCCTTCGGTGGTAAACACGTTGTCTTCCATCAGCCCTAAACATACAGAATCGACTTTTGTCAGTGAAGACAACCCTCTGCCAGTCACGTCGTTGCCAATGTTGTACAGTCCGGGCCCATCTCAATCGCAGACGATGATGTTGCGCTGTCAATAGCTGTCCTCTGTATGAGCCCTGAGTCTCCTGGCCACTGTCTGTCGACTAACCCTGTGACCTAAGGCATTTGTCGCCGATGACGTCACTGTCAGGAAGCGATTTTGGAGGTGTAAGGTACGCAAATACCGGTATCATGGGGCGTGGTCACCCTGGGTCTGCCTGTTCTTGGCCTGTCAGTGGTCGGCCCTGTCTGTCTGTAACGTTGCATCAAGTTGGTAATGGCAACACGGGAGCAACCGAAGGTTCGTGCAATATGGGCGTGGGTGGCTCCCATCTGTACCATACCCAAGGCTCGTTCACGTTGTTCGACTGTGAGTCGTGGCATTTCTTTTGTGGTTTTTTTTCACTGTGGATGTCTGACTTGCCGTTGCAATCGTTTTATACCCTTACCTGCACGTGCATTTGCAGTTGTCCGTGATGCACGTGTTTTTCACTTTTTCCCGTGTTATCTCGCAAACATGTAACAGACGATTAACATTTTCTGCATACACTATTGTTGTATTTTTAGGTTATGCGTTTTAGATAGACTTCATGGGAAAAAAAATTATACTTTGTCTGAAATTTATATTTTCAGTTGGTAAAGTTTCTTTTGGACGTCAGTTTAGTACAATATAAGTTGAAGCAGGATCATGAGGGGTAAAACCTAACGAGGGACGCATAAAATCCCTTGTACCCGAGTGTTCCTGCTGTAACAAATTTATCTTACCGACATGTTTTAATATGACATTGTAAAATGATTCAAACAAATTCAAAATTGATAGAAACAGCTGTTTGATTAGGTTGCTTTCGCTATGTCACCTGACTTCAATTGACTTGGAAAAAGTGTGCAGGGGATTTGCTTGTGGTGGGGTATAAAAGATTTATTCCCCCACTGAGAAATTTATTCCCCTCCAAAGCGGGTTGCACATTATTTTATTAAGATCACATGGACCAATCAGAACCCACCATTCTGACATGGACATATGATAATAGGGTTTGTTGTCAACAGCAGAAGAAACTAATATGTTTAGTCCACTATTCCTTATTAAGATAGCATGAAACAAAAAAAACAAAAAATAGCCAATTTCTACTAGTCCTTATGATACCTTAACTGTTGTGCAGTTTGGCAAGGACTACATGACTAGTGCCAGTTTGGGACGTTGGTTTGCATGTATGTTGGCTCAGGGAGCTAGTCAGTAATATTTCATGCTGATCACAAAAGCATTGTTGGTAATCAAATAGGGGTCCTGGGGAGATATTTGTTCTTGTAGTTGTAGCCGGGTGGTGGTGCTAACTCTGAATGAGTTATAGCCACATAAGTACCACCCACTTATAACCCCCTTAGATTCATTCTATACATATATATATACATGTTCATCTATTATCACCATCACTTCATTCTATGTTCATTATATGTTGTCCTTGTCTGCAGTTGAATGTCAGCCAACTAACACCAACCTGATACCCTTTTGCAGCCTCTGTAATTTCTCCAGCTTCACCTGGACTTCCCCCTATCTATTTTTAGATATGTCCACCACTTTATGTGACTGAAGCATCTTGACTTCCTTTTAATACCTGTCAGATGCTACCTTTCTTCTGATTGGCCCTTTGGTCCACTTCTTTAAACTTCCTTTCTCACCTGCCCTCCTCATGCATTCTGCATGAACTCTTTATGGAGGAAGGACTCTTGTTTATAGGTGAGAAACATTTCAATATTCTTATCTCTTTCCATCCTGCTTTAGAAACAATTATATTCATAGAAAGGGTGTCACAGCTTTTCATTAAAGTAAAATATATTTAATTGCATTATTATTTAATTTGTTATATCTAATAGTTTGCCAGCTCACACATTTTGTGTTACAATAATTGAGCACATGGTCTTCAACCATGTGCTCCCCAACATATCCCTATAAATTAATCTGTTTCCTTTTGGCTTAAATTAAATTATAACATATTCTGCATGAACTCTTTATGGAGGGAGGACTCTTGTTTACAGCTTCCCTCCCACCATCTACCCCAAAAGAATAAATATCATCATCATCTTCAAGAACTGCCTCATGTTTTGACTAGCAGCCCAGTGGCTGGACACATGACACCACGCCCGGCTACAAAATGGCGCCCAACGTGGGGCTTCTAGTTTCATCAGCACCATCACTTGTACAGTGAGAAGAGGCAGTTCATCATTCATTAGATGGAATTCAATATAGAAGAGTTCATTCAGTTTCCAAGGACATCTTATACACTTATGTGAATGAATAGTTCATTCATCATTGTTTCATGAAGTGTATGGACCTTTGAACTTTTGATTTTTTGTGTTTCACAAATTCAGGACATTGACTTTTGAGCCTGACTATCGAGACATTTGTGATCCACCTTGTATATTTCTATTTATCCTGTGATATATATTATATGTTTATCATGTTTATATTTGTTTGGAATTCATAATCATATTGACTTTTACAGAGTATTGATTATATTACAAATTCTATTTCTACCACATTTCTATGTCTACAGTGTTTATTTAAATTATATATATATATATAGTATAGATTCATTTTCATCTCGCTGACAAGTTTATTCTGAAAAATTAATTGGAGTTCATATCTATTCAAAATTTCACCACTGATCAAAATTTCAGGTTAATATTAAGTGTAGCTGGTAATTATTTGACTTTGATTCCAAATTTATATTTGAAATTATTTAACATTTAACTTAAACAGTTCAATTTCAAAATCCAAAGTTTTTTTTTTACTTGATATTTGCATTGATACCCTTCTTACTTTACCTGTGTCAGACTCTATCCTCAGTACTTCTTTTTCCATGCTGTTCCTGCTGTCTTTCCTTCCGTGTTGACATATCTCTCTTCAGCAAACCACTAACATGTTTACCATAAGTATTTTGTCTTGTCTTGTGTTGTTTCTTCATTTCATCATATACCATATCCCATTATAGGCTTCATCACTATCATCAGTCATATTAGATCTTCTCTTTGAAATATTTGAACACCATCAGTGATTAGGTCCTCAGTATTTCCCTCAATTGCATATCTATCTCAAGTAACAGTATATCTGTGATGTGAGATATTTGTATAGTTTCCCCTCATATGTAAGTTACATATGTGACTGTGGAGTTCAGTCAGTATCTACCGTTACATTTACTTTCTGTATGTACAACTCAGTTATTGCTGCATGTTGACTTATTTCCAGCGGTTGTCTGGTCTGTAGTACTTGCAGTTACTGCTTGTATCTGGGATGACTTTGTAGTTGTTGCCAGGTTAGTCTCACACCGTAGCCTTTGCTTGCTGGATTATTTCATTTCCATTGGGATCATCTGGCTAGTGTTTCATTTTACCTGACCTCAGTACATGCATAAGTTGTCCTTCAGGTGACCACATCCTGATTGTTGTTCGGCTACTTGCATTGCTACTGAACTTTGCTGCTTACCTGGGGTAGTGTTTAGTTCCCCGCAGTTGTAAGTCTACCCATATCACACCATAGTCGATCTTGTATCCTTGCTTTTGTAGGAGCCCTGCACTTGGTTTCCTAATACTTAGGAGTTTTTGCACTTTGCGATCGCCTTGGTTCATAATATTGTTGTTGGGTCCCAACGTATAGGATCCTTGTTGCCTTTTTGGAGGTTTGTCATACTTGTATTATCATACACATCATGACTCAGTCGGACAGTGATGTTAGATCACAGGTTGATCAGGTTGTGGATTTCATCCATCAGCTTGATCCCTTAGTCCGTACTAGTTTACTCTACCGTCTAGCAGATGACGCTAATCCACATCCACCTCAGACCACTTATGTAGCTGATGTTGGGTCTGGAGATACGTTGTTTCGGCCGCATGTGCCTCCACCTCCTGTGGATAGCCAAAGGGTTGTTCCCCAACCATATACACCTGGGCTACCGTCACTGCTAACACATTCACCTCTGGGGTCTCCTTTGTTGCCTGATATATGGTCACCCATGGAGCCTTCCCAGCGGACAATACCCCCACAAGACCATAGCCCTAGGATAGAATTGCCGAAATGTTTG